AACATCGCTCATGTTGTATGGGAGGCTGGAGGAAGGCTAGTGGCGGCCAAACTAAAACATGACACAAATAAATCTATAAAGTCACTGACAACTGAATTGAGTCATGTTGCTAGATGTACACTATCGGAATTCTCTACATCTAGTGGTGTCAGTCACGATGTCCACTCTCTCCATTCTTGTTTTAATTTTATCATAGACATGCTCCTAGAAACAACCTTATCCTCGTCTGAATTTTCAGGAGTAGACCTTTTACCAGGTGGCTCGCTTATTGACTTAGAATATGCCGATGACATTGTCCTACTTGGTGAAGATGCTGACAAAATGCAGAATCTTCTGACCACACCTAGCAACAATGCAAGTATGTTCGGGATGTGGTTTTCCCCGTCGAAATGCAAAATATTGCTTCAAGATTGGGTTTTCATTGGCACCTTAACTAGTGAAAAGGGAGTGAAGTAGTCGGGGGTGTTGATCACTTCACTTATCTGGGAAGTCTCATCAGTGCTGATGGCCTGGTGACTGACGAAATCTCAGCACGGATACAGAAAGCTCGATTGGCTTTTGCCAACCTGCGTTACTTGTTGCGCAGGCGAGATATCCGTTTGCTAACCAAAGGACGAGTGTACTGTGCAGCAGTTCGCTCCGTCTTACTTATGTCTGTGAAACATGGACAGTCAGAGTAGAAGATATTCGTAGGTTACTGGTTTTCGATCATAGGTGTCTTCGAACCATTGCTCGTATATCGTGGGACAACCGAGTGAGCAACGCTGTTATTAGGAAACGGGTGCTAGGTAAGAATGGCAGATCAATAGATTGAAGTACTGAAACTTCATCAGTTGAGGTGGTTGGGACAATGTGTTGCGTATGCTCACCACCGACTGCATCGTCGAGCTTTCTTTGTAGTGTAGGAGTAGGTGGAAGAAAGTTAGGGTCGGCCAAACCAAAAACATGGGCAGAAATCCATGAAGTCACTGACAAGTGGACTGAGTCATGTTGTTAGATGTAGACTGCCTGGTTGGGGTCCACGAGATGATAATAATCGATGGTTAGAGACCTTGAATAACATGGCTCAAAATCGTTCGCAATGGCGCCGGTGCATTTATTCTTTGTGTTCTCTCAAATGCTAATCTTATGGATTCTTCAACTTTGTAAACTTTTCTCACTGAATCATATTTCTTGAATATCTTCTAATCCTAACCTCTGCGATTACTTCTAATACCTTTACTACCTCTTCTACTATTGGATTTGAATTGACAATTATATCTCTGTGCTAATGTGGTATGGCAACATGAACTGATGTACTTTCGTACGAATTCTACATTGCATCTGACTGACTGACTGACACTATCTGGTTGGGGTTCTGCGAGGCGATAGTAATCTATGTGTGCAGCCCTTGAATAGCAACAGGTGCATCTATTCATTGTCTTCTCGCAAATTCTCTAATCTGAATTCATCATGACCTTCATCATCCTATTCTCATATTTATTTCACTGAATCGGGATACTTCTCGAATGATATCTTCGATCCGCAATACTTCTGATAATGTCTAATACTTCTTTTACCTCTACTACTATGGAATTTGAATTGTCAATTTCATTTCTCTGTGTGGTTGTGTGCTGTGTCCAACTTGAACTGATGTGCCTACGTACCAAGTTCTATGTTATTGCTAACTGAACAGTAATCTAAACTTTATCAATGAAACCTAATATTTTTGGAACATTGTATGTAGAAGCAAAGCTATCACCCTCAGGTTATATAAATGACCCCATGATATCATATTTGTTGAGTTAATACTATAATGAATTAGTTATTTCATGTTATGAGTCAGTCACTTATTGTCGGAGATGTTAGAGCCCCAGAACTCGCTTGATAAATGCCTTATTTTGGATCACAAGTTTGCCAGCATGAGCTGATCAGTTGACCTTGAGATTTCAATTCCCAACAGGAAAATCCATGGCTGTGATTGGCTGCTGTGTATTTTAGTGTGGCTATTTTTGTGACTGTCCCAAGGACGTTTCTATGATGTATAAATAATAAACGAGATTTGTGTGCTTGATTGCACTGTGCTTGCTGGGTGTTGTAGAATATACTTTCTACGCTTATCAAGTCTTCTGTTTTGCAGTTTGGGATTCAACGTAGCCTACCTGGACGCTGGTTCATTGTCTCGTTGGCGTTTATTCGACTAAGGTGAACTCGTAATAGCTTCGAGCGTACCTAATGACGAACTTAAACACTTATTCAATCTTGATGTCGAGTTATCTATCTTGAAGTTAATTAACTTCAAGATAGATAACTCGACATCAAGATTGAATAAGTGTTAAGTTCGTCATTAGGTACGCTCGAAGCTATTACGAGTTCACCTTAGTCGAATAAACGCCAACGAGACAATGAACCAGCGTCCAGGTAGGCTACGTTGAATCCCAAACTGCAAAACAGAAGACTTGATAAGCGTAGAAAGTATATTCTACAACACCCAGCAAGCACAGTGCAATCAAGCACACAAATCTCGTTTATTATTTATACATCATAGAAACGTCCTTGGGACAGTCACAAAAATAGCACACTAAAATACACAGCAGCCAATCACAGCCATGGATTTTCCTGTTGGGAATTGAAATCTCAAGGTCAACTGATCAGCTCATGCTGGCAAACTTGTGATCCAAAATAAGGCATTTATCAAGCGAGTTCTGGGGCTCTAACATCTCCGACAATAAGTGACTGACTCATAACATGAAATAACTAATTCATTATAGTATTAACTCAACAATATGATATCATGGGGTCATTTATATAACCTGAGGGTGATAGCTTTGCTTCTACATACAATGTTCCAAAATATTAGGTTTCATTGATAAAGTTTAGATTACTGTTCAGTTAGCAATAACATAGAACTTGGTACGTAGGCACATCAGTTCAAGTTGACACAGCACACAACCACACAGAGAAATGAAATTGTCAATTCAAATTCCATAGTAGTAGAGGTAATAGAAGTATTAGACATTATCAGAAGTATTGCGGATCGAAGATATCATTCGAGAAGTATCCCGATTCAGTGAAATAAATATGAGAATAGGATGATGAAGGTCATGAGGAATTCAGATTAGAGAATTTGCGAGAAGACAATGAATAGATGCACCTGTGCTATTCAAGGGCTGCACACATAGATTACTATCGCCTCGCAGACCCCAACCAGATAGTGTCAGTCAGTCAGTCAGATGCAATGTAGAACTTCGTACGAAAGTACATCAGTTCATGTTGCCATACCACATCAGCACAGAGATATAATTGTCAATTCAAATCCAATAGTAGTAGAGGTAGTAAAGGTATTAGAAGTAATCGGAGAGGTTAGGATTAGAAGATATTCAAGAAATATGATTCAGTGAGAAAAGTTTAGAAAGTCGAAACTAGAGTTGTTGAAGAATCCAGAAGATTAGGATTTGAGAGAACACAAAGAATAAATGCACCGGCGCCATTGCGAACGATTTTGAGCCATGTCATTCAAGGTCTCTAACCATCGATTATTATCATGTCGTGGACCCCAACCAGGCAGTCTACATCTAACAACATGACTCAGTCCACTTGTCAGTGACTTCATGGATTTCTGCCATGTTTTGGTTTGGCCGACCCTAACTTTCTTCCAACCTACTCCTACACTACAAAGAAAGCTCGACGATGCAGTCGGTGGTTGAGCATACGCAACACATGTCCCAACCACCTCAACTGATGAAGTTTCAGTACTTCATCTATTGATCTGCCATTCTTACCTAGCACCCGTTTCCTAATAACAGCGTTGCTCACTCGGTTGTCCCACGATATACGAGCAATTCTTCGAAGACACCTATGATCGAAAACCAGTAACCTACGAATATCTTCTACTCTGACTGGCCATGTTTCACAGCCATAAAGTAAGACGGAGCGAACTACTGCACAGTACACTCGTCCTTTGGTTAGCAAACGGATATCTCGCCTGCGCCATAAGTGACGCAGGTTGGCAAAAGCCAATCGAGCCTTCTGTAACCGTGCTGAGATTTCGTCAGTCACCAGGCCATCAGCACTAATGAGACTCCCAAGGTAGGTGAAGTGGTCGACACGCTCAACTACTTCACTCCTTTTCACTAGTTAAGGTGCCAATGAAACCCAATCTTGAAGCAATATTTTGCATTTCGACGGGGAAAACCACATCCCGAACATACTTGCATTGTTGCTTAGGGTGGTCAGAAGATTCTGCATTTTGTCAGCATCTTCACCAAGTAGGACAATGTCATCGGCATATTCTAAGTCAATAAGCGAGCCACCTGGTAAAAGGTCTACTCCTGAAAATTCAGACGAGGATAAGGTTGTTTCTAGGAGCATGTCTATGATAAAATTAAACAAGAATGGAGAGAGTGGACATCCGTGACGGACACCACTAGATGTAGAGAATTCCGATAGTGTACATCTAGCAACATGACTCAATTCAGTTGTCAGTGACTTTATAGATTTATTTGTGTCATGTTTTAGTTTGGCCGCCACTAGCCTTCCTCCAGCCTACCATACCACCATGAGCGATGTTTTGTGGTGTCGGATTGTTATATTTCTCGAATGATATCTTCGAACTCTAGTCTGTCCGATTTCCACTCATACTTCTACTACTACTCGATATTAGATGTTACAGTATGGCAACTTGAACTGATGTACGTACGTACCAAGTTCTACATTGTAGCTGACTGACTGACTGATATTACTAACTGACTAACTAACTGTTACATGTCAATTTTTGATCAACAACTTACTTTGCACCATAATCACCTGTATTCATCAACACTAAACGTTTACTCAATTGACTACCACGTACAATCGAACCAAAATTAATTGATTCTGTATTAAAATTTATATCATATGTATTCACTGCACCATGTACAGAGAATAATGGCAAAAACATATTGGTATTCTCTTGCTGCTGATTGGGCAATACTGTTTTTTCGTTTTTGTGACTACCATTATCAATGTTATTATCACTTTGATCAACACGTGAAATTTCACATAGAACTTCTTCAGTAAATTTTGCTAATCGATAATCCGATTTCAAGCCTAACATCATCATCACTTCACCGCCATTTGATGAAACAATGATCGGTGTCATAAGTTCTGTGATTGGTCCAAAATAATTGAACTGCTGTAGTGGTTGTTTATCGACAGAAATCGATTTACTACAAAATTGGGCATGAATTAAAGTAGTTTGGTTGTTATTATTATCACTACACTGTGGTTGATTCAAATGTATGCGATGTATACATATCGGAGCGGAACTTTTATTGATCAACTTGATAAATCGGCGCGATATTTGACCAGTTTTTAAATGACCTAAATTAATACATTTTTTATTGTCGATCAGCTCATCTTCTTCGTTTAATTGAGTGAATTTCGGAATGCCTTTCTTAGTTTTACGATGATTATTACTCATAATGTATAATGGATATACAATTGGTTCAATGATCAACTGACATCCTTTGCCTAATAAATTAATTGAATATTGACTGCAACCATTAATTTCAAATGTCAATGTTTCACTGTAGGCCTGTTGATCATCTTGTGGATAAAAATGAATTGGCATACAGAGAAGATTGGAATTTGTAGACTGGTTGATAATATCATGTTGTTGTTTTTTCGGTAAAATTGTTGGCTTTAAATGATAAGAAAATATTCTGGAACATTCTGAAATACATTCAATGCTCATTTCATGATTCAAATCAGCATTACTAATATATAAATAACGTGTACAAGGTTTCAGACCAGGTTGCATAATTAACTGTGATCCGAAATTCAAACAAGTTTCTGAAAATTGAACAGTTTGTTTTTTTGTTGAACCGGATAATTTCAAACCATACACTGGACCATCTCGTATAATTAAACAAATCCCTAGAAGATTATATAATTTCAAACGATTTACACCTAAAATACTTAATTGTTTCGGTGGTTGAAATTTAATTGTACAAATGGATTTTTCATTCGGTGCCAAACTACCAGAATTTGGATTGATTTCTAATGATGCCGGTTGCACACTATTGTCCACATTGAAACCATTGATCAATTGATCAATCAATTGGCGGTTTTTATGAATTTTGGTTTCATTTTTATGATTCGACGACAATATTGGCATAAATTGACATAGAAAATCAAATTTAAATTGTCCATTATTATAGATTATAAATTTTCGTGTGATACATTCACCAGGGGATAATTCGCCAAATTTTAATTCTGTCAATTGATTTGTTAAATTGGTATCACGTTGAATTCGATGTATAGATTTATTCATTAAGTCAATGAAATTTACACCAATACATGGAGACCATAATGGTTGAATTTCAACTTGTTCGATGGTGGTTCGTGAAGAATTGTCGATTGAATTATTTTTAGTAATATTATTGTGTAAAACATTATCTATCCATATTGATGAATGAATGGTATAACCTTGAGCTTTAACATTCAATGTTAAAGGTAGATTACAATGTTTCACATGACATTGTACATTGATATTGGTTTCACGTTCACCATTTGCTTGAAAAGTTATTTGTATAGGTAATCTATGCAGAAATTTAAAACAAGAAAGAAAAAATATTATTTTGAGTTTGTTAAAAAAGAATGATCAACTTTCAAACTCATTTATCACTGTTACAAGTAGTGATGTGATTAGATGGTTTCAAGCAAAGACATAGATGTTTGATTCAACTTGAAGATTAAGCGAAACTGAACAAATGTTACGAATACTGTGATGAATTCATTCGAGGATTGAAATAAGCTCATATAACATTTGGTAACCAGTGGTGTTTAACGCTGTCGGTGTAATGTTCGTCACTTGATATACTTGAAACCATTACAGGTTCACCTTAGTCGATAAACGAGAACGAGACAATGAACCAGTGTCCATGTAGGCTACTCTGATCCGTTGCCCCAACTAACTGAAGAGAAAGTCTTGATATAGCGCAGAAAGTGTGTTCTACAAACACCCAACCAGCACAATGAATTTAAGCACTCAAAGTGCGTTTATTTATACATCATAGAAAGGTACTTGGGAGAGTCACAAAAATAGAACACCAAAATAGCACAGTAACCAATTACAGCCAAGGATTTCCCTGGTGGGAAATGTGATCTCATGGTCAAGTGATCAGCCCATGAATAAAATCCAAACTGAAGACGTTTATCAAGTGAGTTGTGGGGATCTAACGTCCCATTAGTCGAATGTAGGCAGTAACTACCGTGGACAATCGGTGAAGTTGCATGAAATCTTTAGATTGGTAAGAGTTAGAGACATCAACACCATCGGGCACTTGCCGTCTCAGTGGTTCAGAGGTTAGGTGTTCGCCAGAGCAAGACCAAAGCTCCTGACGTCGATTCATGCGAGCAGCAGCAGTCGTGGATATGCATTGCTGATGAGTCTCATATCAGGAAAAAACGGCCACCCTGTGCTTCTAGGTTCCTTTCTACTGGTAGTCTACCAATGATCCCTTCATAATGTCAATGTGAAAAAATAATTGCGATAAAATCACAATTAAAAAACAATCTTATATAATCATTATGTACATACTTTTCACCAGGTGATATCCGACCAAACATTGGTTCAATAACAATAGAATCTTGTTTCCCAGCACTATGAAGACTTGACGGTAGAAATTCAAATTCCAATATGTTTGAAGATTGTTCTTCTGCACCATCGTGCATCATCATCAACATCGATAAATCAGTTGATGATGTTAATAAAGGCGGCGGTACAGTTTCTTGATTCATTAAGTATACCGTCTTGCTAACTTGATGACCAATAAGTACAGCGTTAAAATGTACATGGGATTGATCAAACAGTATGTTTGGTTCTCTTGTATTCCCAACAACAAGTAATGGAATACTGTAATTATCGAATTTGTTTATATTAAAACGCCAAAATGATTCAATTAAACCAAGTTGATAAGAAATGTATTCAAATCCAATCTGTTCAATGTTCAATATGAAAAAAAGTGGATAAAGTTAATGCTTTTTATTCATGTTTGTTGTAGTTTAATATACTAAATCAGAGTAGGGAAAAATGTGTAGGGTTCGTGACTAGGTACGCTTGAAGCTATTACGAGTTCACCTTAGTCGATAAACGCGAACGAGATAATTACCAGCGTCCAGATAGGCTACCTTGAATCCCAAGCTGAAGATAGAAGGCTTTGTAAGCGTAGAAATTATATTCTACAAACACCCATCAATCACAATACAATCAAGCACACAACTCTCGTTTATTTATACATCATAGAAACGTCCTTGGGACAGTCACAAAAACAGCACACTGGTGGGAATTGAAATCTCAAGATCAACTGATCATTCCATGTTCGCAAACGTGAAATCCAAAATAAGGCATTTACCAAGCGAGTTTTGGGGATCTAACATCCCCAACAAAATGACGCTAATAATAGATTTCGCAGTGCCTTTCCTCAACCATTCTGATGTATATGCACACGAGCGCTTAAAATAAGGACCTTTGAGCTGGTGGAGAAAATTTCTAACACAGGTGAATGATTGTAGTGGTGTTTCGTTCTCTGAGCTGGATGTTTTGGTTGTGAAGCTTTCATTGTTCTTCTGAAGAACGTCATCAGCACAAACTTCAGATGGGAGTGAAGTATTCGAATTTCTCTACATTTTATCCGTAGCTTCTTCATTTAACCTCGGTGTTGATTAGTTGTTGTTGACCTTAAGTCTGTCGTTGTTTGCACCTTTGTTTTGATTAGTATCCCCCTTTTGATCAGTTTCTTGATCGTATGTTACACCTATGATTTTTATGATTGGTTGATAATTTGGGTCAATGTCGATGTGTTTGTTGATTGCTGATTGACCTAAAAATTCTCTAGTGTTTTTTGTCTTCTCTCTATCCAGTATTCCAGCATTGTTCCAATCGAATGTTGTGGCGTTTGACTGCTAACTGGTGTTCACGTCAAACGCCACAACATTCGATTGAAACAATGTGGAAATACTGGATAGGGGGAGGACAAGAAACACCAAGGATATTTGAGCATTTTCAATGTAGCTAACCTCACAGAAACAGTGAACATTGATTGACGCGCTTTAATTAACTGATCGCAGGCATCTTATCCTTAATTCACTGTATCATTGCTAACTTCGCTAAGAATGTAAAACAAGTAATCTGTGTGACCGAATTGGTCTTTTGTACTGTTACATGTAATTTACTGGTGACAAATGTCATTTTACTGAATTTCCGTAGTAAATATATGAGCATCTCACTCATTTAATACCTCTAAATGATTCTTCAATAAATTGCAGGAGTCGTTGATGAGCACTGCTGATGAATCTCATACACTGGGACGAAAAATCTGTCGACTGCTTCCAGGTTTCTTTCTAATGATGGTCTAACTTTGATTGGTTCATTATTTCAAAGTCTTCAATAATAGTCAGATTCTACATTTAAACTATGATTGTCAATACCATTAAAACGATTATCATGAATGTCAAATATATCAACGAAGAATATTCTCTTCGATAAATTCTCTTCAGTCATAATAAATCTGTTAAATGAGAGCAAGATGTGAATTTCTATCGGCATTTAATAACGCCTGACTAAATCTTACACTGTGAGTTGAACACAAGGCGAACGCTGAAAAGTACACGGTGAATGCTGAACTTGAAGTTTAGTTTATGTATAGAAAAATTAGGATATTTATAGAGTTATTCATGACTTTGGGCTTCTGGAAGGCTCGAGAACCATACTAAATATAGTAGGGGCGTGGCACGTGATTCTGCATTTGCCATATTTTTCTCCGAAGGTTCTGTTCAATTCTTGTTGAAAAAAATGTTTCCTGGCATGCCTGGGCCTCTACAGACATTTCTGAGGGATATTTCTGGGCTCCTTAACACCTAAATTCTACAGTAATATATCCCAATCAGTAATCCAAAATGCAGTGATCAGGTTTAAGGCAAATAAAATCATTTTGAATGAGAGCATGTGAACTATTGATGACAATAAAAATGTCCGCAAAACCTTCCTCCCTGTGTTTTCGACGCTTAAACTAATCTTATTCACGAATGTTATCATTATTAATATTACTATCGTTATGATACGACGATTGTAACTTTTTGAGGAGGTGACTGTCCTATTCACTGATAGGTATTTCCACCATATTATTTTATGCAAAATGTGATTCTTGATTTGTAGTTACAGCACTATTTCTTTCATCCCATGTTAATCATATTTATTCTTTGAAACCACAAATTGATCAAAGTTAGACCATCCCACTGGAAAGACACCTAGAAGCACTGGATAGTCCTCCCATCGTAGTATGGGGCCTCTCAGCAGTATATTCATAAAACCTCATCAATCTTTCCCTATTCCCGCGAGCATGGGTTATGGATGCTCAGTGCTGAAGAATCCCATATTAGGACAAAACACCCGTCTAGTGCTTCCAGATTTCTTTCTACTACTAGTGGTCTGACAATGATTTATTCACCATTTCAATCTCGAATAACACACACACGCACATATACAAAAGAATTTATCAAAAACAAACGTACATTAACTTTTTTTCCAGCTAAAATGATTCCTTTCTCTACAAGACATTTAATTGATTGAGGTTGTTTGATATTAATGGAATCTTCATTTGTAATTATGAATTCAAAATCTTCTCTTGTTGTATTAATAATTGAAAAGTATCTATAAAGATTTAATAAAATAAATAGATCGGGAAATAATTTAAAATAATACTCATAATTGAAAATTGAATTTTTTTGAAAAGTGATTAACTGACAAAATTTATTCTTTACAAATGAATTTCAAATATGGAGTTGTGGAGATTGTTGGGTTTCATTGAGATTACGAACCGACCAATGTTAGACTGGCATTAAGAATGTGAAAAACCTGGAACGGCCGTTTCGTCCTAGGATCAGACTCATCAGTAGTGTTCAGCCACGACTCCCGTTCCTGGAAATCGAACCTAGGATCTTCAGTCTCGTGCTTGAACACCCGCGCCATAAGTGAGATATCCGTTCGCTAACCAAAGGACAGGTGTACTGCGCAGCAGTTCGCCCCGTTTTCCTATATGGATGCGAAACATGGCCGTTAAGAGTAGAAGATGTCCGTAAGTTACTAGTTTTCGATCATAGATGTTTAAGAAGCATTGCTCGTGTATTCTGGGACAACCGTAAAAGCAATGGTGTCGTTAGGAAACGAGTACTAGGTAAGGATGGCAAATCAATAGATGAAGTATTGAAACTTGTTCAGTTGAGGAGATCGGGACATGTGTTATGAATGCCCAACCACCGACTGCCTCGACCAGCTATGTATTGTGGTGTAGGAGTAGATTGGAAGAAAGCTAGCGGCAGCCAGATCAAAACATGGCAGAAATCCATGAAATCACTGACAAGTGAACTGAATCATGTTGGTGGATGTAGACTACATGGTTGGGGTCCGCGAGATGATAATCATCGATGATTAGAGACCTTGAATGACATGGCTCAAAATCGTTCGCAATGGCGCCAGTGCATTTATTCTCTGTGTTCTCTCAAATGCTAATCTTCTGGATTCTTCAACCCCTCTAGTTTCGACTCTCTAAACTTTTCTCACTGAATCATATTTCTTGAATATCTTCTAATCCTAACCTCTCCGATTACTTCTAATACCTTTCCTACCTCTTCTACTATTGGATTTGAATTGACAATTACATCTCTGTGCTAATTTGGTGGTATGGCAACATGAACTGATGTACTTACGTACGAAGTTCTACATTGCATCTGACTGACTGAGAAAACTGTTTATATCTGTTAACCATTTAGAGGTGAATCGAATGGTTTCATCTTAAGGCAGAGGTAAGAAGCAGCCATACGGAAAACATACTACGCTGTTAAACTGATTGTAATTGAAAAGACTAAGCCCATTATTCCACATAGGCCTAGACATTGCTCAAATGATTACATCATATCCCACTCCATGTATAAGTTTATATGTTTGTGTGGATATGTGGTGTGTGCTACTTATACGAACGATATAAGTAGTATAAGAAGGGAAGTGAAAGAAGAAGTCTCACGGTCAGAAGAGGAAAACGGAAAGCAAATGGAGCAAAAGCAAGAAGTAAATGGAGCACCAACAGGAAGTAAAGGAAGCAACAGCAGGAATGGAAGAAGGCTGGAGCGTTGGAAGTCGGGACTCAAAGATGGTGTGCAAATAGAGTGTTCAATGTAATGTTTTCGTTTTTAACTGTCTTAGTTTTCTCAGATACACATGAGCAGTATGAGCAGTAATCGGAAAGGGGTTCGAAAATATTGTTCATGGAGTCTAATCCAGTAAAATGAACTTAAAAAGAAAAGGATAAGAGTGTTGAAGAAACCAGAGAATTAAGATTTGAGAGAACACCAAGAATGGACGCACCTGAGTGTTTGCAAACGCTTTTGAGCGACCATGCCGTCCAGGGTCTCTAACCAGGTGGTTCATACTTAACAGCATGACTCAGTCCACTTATCAGTGACTGCATGCATTTCTGCCATGTTTTGGTTTGGCCGCCCCTAACTTTCTTCCAACCTACTCCTGCACCGTAAAACATTGCTCGATGAGGAAGTCGGTGGTTGGGCATTCTTAACACACGTCTTAACCATCTCAACTGATGAAGTCTCAATACTTCTTCTATTGATCTACCATCCTTATCTGATACTCAATAGTCCCAAGATAAATGAGCAATGTTTCGGAGACACCTATGATCGAAAACCAGTAACCTACGGATATCTTCTACTCTCACTGGTCATGTTTCACAGCCATAAAGTAGAACGGAGCAAACTGCTGTACAGTAGACTCGTCCTATGGTTACCAGATGAATATCTTGCCTAAGCCATAAGTTGGCGCAAGTTGGCAAAAGCCAATCAAGCCTTCTATATCAGTGTTGAGATTTCGTCAGACACCAGACCACTCACTGATGAGACTCCCCAGATAAGTGAAGCAGTGAATACGCTCAACTACTTCACTCCCTATCAATAATTCAAGTGCCGATGCAACCCGATCTCGAAGCAACATTTTGCATTTCCACAAGGAGAATCGCAACCTGAAACTAAGCATAAACACACCATGAAAACCTTATCAGTAAAATGAAACAAAATTCTTCTTTTTACCGAATAGATTTCAAGCCTAGACCAATTGTATTGAATTCAATAACTCTAGTCAGTGGATCTAAACTGCCACCGAATGGTGTTCCAATTGGTCCAGGTAATTGTGAATTTCTTCTACCACTCGATATATAATCTGATTCGTATAAATCAAAGTGTAATATTGAGCTTTGTGATTTTCCTGTCAATGTGATAATTGGTGCTGTTGCAATTGGTCGATTACGATTGGTGCTGGTTGTTTGTTGAGTTAAATTGTCAATTTTACTAATGAGTTGTGCCTCGAATTCACCAAGTGAAAGTGGACTAAATATGACCTGAAATTAAGATTTAGATTCAATTAATTAATTGGAAACAATATAGATTGAATTCATGTAGAAACAAAGAAATATTTTTTACACATTTGAAATCATCAATCAGTCATTGTTAGACCACCATTAGAAACCTGGAAGTACTGGACGGCCGTTTCGTCCTGGCATGGGACACATCAGCAATGCGCATCCACGACTCCTGTACCAGGTTCGTGAGGAAATTCTTGGAGTTCTAGTGAGAAGACGTGACCAGTGGTGTTCAAACCTGTCGGATGTAGGCAGTAACTACCAAAGGCTAATGGGTGAGATCACACAAAATCCCTAGATCAATCAGAGTTAGACATGCAGTTTTAGTGGCTGCGTCAAATTCGAAGTAGGGCTCACCAATTTAGCGGTCAGCTATCTGACTCCTGTTCGTACGGACGCTTAAACATGCTGTGAAATTAATCTTCCCTTCTAAATCCGTATTGTTGTACTTAAGCGACGGCGATAATAATAAGAACGAACCAAATACGGATTCGGTTGTATGTGAGTTTATTTCATGCATTCATTTAAACAAACAGACATGGCGAATATGAAGCGTAAATGAAAAGTGGAGTGAAGTGGAGAAAGTGTTACGCCAGCACGTAAACACGTCAACTTGATATACTTGAACTATTACGAGCGAGGATCAAGGATCCGGTGACACAACATGCTACTCAAATCCGATTATGCCAACCCCCCATATTCAGTGAAAATAAGAAGACTTGGATGTGAAGTAGAATCTGTATTCTACAAGCATTCAGAAAGTACGAGGTCCAAATCCAGAAGAGAAACAGGATCGCGGATTAGGGATCCGGGACCGGGTCCTGGTCCTGGTCATAAAACGTTACACATAATGCGTATTTATACATTTTGGTCGAATAGGAAACAGCATCGAATTCTGTATCATTGACAGTTAAGACGACCAATAGGAAGTAACATTTGAAGTGACATTGATAGTTAGGACAACCAGTAAGAAAGAACATTTGAAATAACATTGACAGTCCGGATGACCAATAAGAGACAACACTGAACTATTTGACTTTGACAGTTAAAACGACCATAATTTTGACCAATAGAAATCAACCAATAGGATTTGACCAATAATTCTCTTAGGATATTGGATGAATATCCTAACAGAAAGCGAGCGGGCCAACTTCATGTGATGAAGCATGACAGCCGAACTCCATCGTAAACATGCAGGATCTTACACAAATAACTGACAAGGTCAAAACATGAGTGAAAATGTCAGTTAGCTTGTCCGAAATCTGTGGCTAGCCCTTTGAACTAAACTTATCACAGTACACACTCACACACTACAGTAGTCTTGAACATCAGTTATTAGGGAAGGAAAAAAACCATATAGCAAGTGACCATCATAAATTTTCATAACTAAATAATTACCTCGAAAAATTGTGATTTCCCAGGTAATATACTGTCTTCAATCGGATAAACTTGAAATGGAACCAGCGATTGATCAGTCCAGCAGTGTTCATTCTGGTTTTCATCGCTAGTGTTCTGATAATGATCATCTTTTGTACTCATTAAATTATTCATTTTATTATTCGTATCATTTTCAGGCATTGATGAACCACTACTAATCATTTGAATTGACCATTGAACATGTAACGTCACTAAGCCTTGATTGAACAATTCAAATCTATATGATCATGAGAAATATATACATATGAATAAAATGATTAATATTATTACAGGATAATGTTGATATGATTGATTACGTAATAGAGCGGTCCTACTGTGGTGCGCGCTACTTACAAGTAGCATATGACGTGAGTGTCAACGCAATGTCTGGCAGCAAAAGATGAGGGAAGATCAAGAATGGAAGAGCTGGAACACAATGGAATTTGTGTATGAAACGCATGAATAGTAGTGACAATGGATTGTTGATGTTTTGCAACAGGAACAGTCCAGTTCGATATGATGGATTGATATTTTGCAAATTAATGATTAACAATATGGTTTTCCAATTTTACTGAGTAACTCTATAATTTGAGATTGAATACAATTCGGTTGCCTTCACCTGTGTTCTCCTTCACAACACTACTACGGATACATTGAAAACAGAGAACTACTATACTGAAAGTTCGCTGACCGTGTAAAATAAGAATTACGAAAGGCTGATTCAGATGATCCTGTACGAAATGCATTCCCAAAGTGCGCTCATTGTTATACTTGTATATTACAGTCACGTAACTCTGCCTGCAACCTCTCCTCTCGGGCTACTGCCGGTCCCAAGCCTCGGTATAGAAGGGGAGTTCGGTGTGGCTGAGTTGGCGACCCCATCCCGTAGATAACTAACTCGCTAAAAAAACGGTAACCAGGAAAAATTACAATAACGTAATATTTAGTTAATAAATAGAGAGATACATAAAGCTACTGTTAAAAAAACTTACTCATAGTACACACTGAATTAGCATACAAAGAATATGAAGGTCACAGTGAATGAAAGTGTACAGTTATCTTGCTGGACGAAAGTACTTACGTACGCCTGTTAACACCAATGGAGCATAGGCGGCCGATTAGTATTCTTCAGCCTACTCTGTCCTAAGCCTTACGTTCTATAGTCCTATCCAATTGCTGCTCATTCTTATCATGTCTGTCTCTAATTCTTAGTGCAATGTGTTCCTTTACCTTCCTCTTTTCCATTAGCCTTGAGGATTTCAAATGAGGGTTTGTCTTGTAATGTAGGTGTGTGGTTCACCCCAGTGTGTGTCCTATCCACCTCCGACGCTTCTTCCTGATTTCTTACACCACTGGAACCTGGTTTGTTCTCTGCCATAGTAAGTTGTTGCTGACAGTGTCAGGCCAACGAATCCGGAATATTTTGCGTAGACAGCTGTTAATAAATACTTGTATCGTCTGAATGATAGCTTTGTTGGTATACCATGTTTCCACCCCATACAGTAGAATGGTCTTGACATTTGTACAGAAAATTGTGTGTTTGGTGTTGGTTGATAGTTGTTTTGAGATGCAGATGTTGTTTATTTGTAGAAATGCAGCCCTTGCTTTGCCGATTCGCACTGTCACATCTGCATCAGATCCACCATGCTCATCGATTTTACTGCCCAAACATGTAAATGTTTTTACATCCTCCAAAGCTTCATCGTTATTTGGTTTATACACGCTGTGCTGTATCGGAGAACTATGCCTTTCCGTTTGTGTATGTTGAGACCTAAAGTTGCAGAGGCTGCTGCTACCCTGGTTGTCTTCGCTTGATTGACTTTGTTGTTGCGTGGTCGATAGAAGACTCACATCATCTAGGAAGTTCAGATCGTCCAGTTGTATCCGCATTGTCCACTGTATCCCGTACTGCCCTCCAGATGTTGACAGCTTCATAATCCAGTCCACCACTCCGCCCGGAGCACCTCTAGGGCTACTACCAGTCCCAAGCCTGGATAAAGGAGGGAAACCACTCCGTAGAAAACTAACTCACTAAAATTATGCTTACCAGATAATAATTCAATAAGATTAAACAGTTCAACCTGTTTTTTTCATCATCAATCAATAAACAAACCTGTATATTCTTTTCTCAAAAATATTTGTCTCTTTAAAATCAATTCTAGTTGGATCACAACGAAATTGCACGAAATCAGCTACAGCAGACACTAACAATTCCAATGGTTTCGGATCTGGTTGATCTAACACATCTTCATAGCTAGGTTCTGGTTCAATTTCAATGAATTTTTGTTTACGACAACTAACTTCACTAGTTGAACCATAATTTGGATTCAATTGAGATTTTTGTTCTTGCATTTGATCTGAATTTGTTGGCTTGTTTAATGAGTTTGTTGTTCCTGTGGTGGTTGTTGTGGTTGGCACTGAACGATTTGATGAATCTGGTCCGCTCATTCTGAAATGGCAACGAATCAAAATAAAAAATAGATCAGGTATTAATTAGTAAGACTGTTTTACGCCAGTCGAATACATAAATTAAAGTTTCATAAAAGTCAGTCAGTCAGGATTTGATTTGAGAGCGAATTCGGTCCCGTGTGCTGTTACGGATATGAGGGCGGTTGTCATTTCCCGGCTGCCCACAACGTGGAAGGTTGTTACTTGAGGGACCTGAAAAGGAAGATAAATTAGTGTTGATCTTATAGACCTGGGTGCGTGACCAAAAAGCCCAAGGGACAACTGCTTGAGGCCGGTCACGCACGGCCTTTTTGTGAGAAGTTTTTTGAGTGTTAGCTCCGCTCTTGAAAGCCCTTAGTGGTCACCCTTACCGCTGGAGACGGAAATCCGTGAGGTAGGGTAAGGTGTGACATCTTTAGGGTCGACCTTTTCTAACCCTTCCTTCCTTGTGAGAAGCCAGCATCGCTGCATATGCTGGTTTTGTGAGGGAAACACCTTACTGCTGCCACACCCCTCTGCAGTCAGCAGTACGACTTCGCCCTCAGACCTTGGGTAGCTGCTTTTAGTCTCATCGTTCTCCAATCGAACTGCCTGGCATGGTAGAACCTTCAGGAACATGTGTTCCAGCCAGTATAGCTCGGTTCGGTCATGACAATAGGCAAGCCCGACCACCACGTCAAGCTTGCAGCTTCGGTCGGGAATGTTTCATAAAAGTTAATGGAATCGTAAATTATCGTCATGGAAAGTCAGTCAGTCAGTCAGTTACAACGTTGAACTTCGTACCTACATACTTTAGTTCAAGTTCCCATGTCACATTAGCACAGCGAGAGATCGAATTGTCAATTCAAATCTTATTGCGCTCGAGGTGGTAGAAGTATGAGCAGTAATCAGAAAGATTACGGTTTGAAGATGTTATTCAAAGAGGATAATCTAGTGAATTAGATTTGACAAGAGAAAGATCAAGGCCATGATGAATGCAGATTAGAATTTGAGAGGACAAAATAATGATTGCACCTGCACCATTGCGAATGATTTCGAGTCATGTCATTGAAGTTCTCTAACTATCGGTTACTGTTATCTCATGGACTCCAACCAGGTAGTCGACACCTATCAACATGGTTCAATTTAGCTGTCAGTGACGTCATGGACTTGTGCCATGATTTACTGAGCAAGAATAAATAGATCAGACCTTGTTTTAAATGCTTATAGTCTAAAGAAAAATGAAAGCGGGACAACTCTATTTTCAGTGGGGTATTTATTTGCCTTCATTTTTTTGTTTGAGTCAGTTTAAACGCACACATACGTCAGAGTTAAAAGCATCCTTATCCGACTTTAGCAGAGTTCGTCCGCTTTCTTACCATATATTGAGGCGTATTAAATCGTCTGGGAGTCTGCAATTGGTAGCGTTAATCTGGAACACATATATTGTGTGTCATGTACTACTTTATTATGTTCTCTATAAGTTGGTTGGCTTATTCTTTATGTTCTCATTGAGTTTTCTAGACAGTAGCACCAGTGTATTTTCTATCGACGTAGGACTAGATTGGTTATTAACCACAATCTGGTTTTAAGAACAATCTGCCAATCACTTGTAAAGAAATTCCAAATGACTCGCTTCTGTTTCGAGTATATGCTAGTGATATTATTTAGAACGATATTGGCAATCTCATGATAAATAAGCCGTTCAAGTCAGAGAATACACTAAAGAAGATTATATGTAAGTATGATGTATACTACTCAAAAAGTGGCTTAAAAGTAGTATACAATCGAAATGCTATGGAACGTCGCCCAAAAGTTACTGCTAGAGAAAAGAGTGTCGGATTTGGATGTAGGCACAGTTAGAATTCAGAAGAATACGGCTGATAATCCGCTCGTTTTGCAAATGAAAGTTTGACGATAAAGTGTATCCATTTTTGACGAGTGAACTGAGTCTTACCGTCTATGTTCATCACATAGGTACAAACCGATCTCAAATACATGGAAAGTCGTCTGGATATTTATACAGTTGAAGCTTCTAAGACTTTTCCATATATGGTTTAGACCTTACATCGTAAACAATAAGAAACACTCATAGATATATATTTACTTCAAAAAATAACCACAATTAACACTGATATAAATTTTTGAAGGTTGTGTAAACAACTAAATTATTAGCTTACTTTTCTCCCGGTACATCAACCCAACGAATCACTTGTTTTGTATCGTCCCAATCAACAGGCTAATTTGATGGGTACATAAAACGAAAATCAAACAATTCACATAGATAACTCAATCAATAATGTCTTACCAAAATATTCAATCACAAATAAACGGAATAGCTATATTCACTGTTTTCTGGTTGTCAATAGTTGTTTAATTAAGCTCAGCTGTAAAGATGTACAACTAAAGTTAATTGAAGTGCTTACAAAAACACTGATATCATGAAAAAAAATTGAGAAGTCAAGTTGTTTAACTAGTAAGTCGCAAGTCGTCTTCATCTGGGCTTATAATTTGAAGCTGGTGTCCCTAATGAGACGTTAAATCATGAATAATGCTAGAAAAAAAGGCTGAGATTTAAGTTGACTTTCATAATGTTCATTGTGTTTAAACTAATCAATCGTTAGCGAATCCCTGAGTCCGTTTATCAGTCACAACGCAGAACTTCGTACGTATGTACATAAGTTCAAGCTGCCATACCACATTAACACAGAGATGCAATTTCCAATTCACATTCCAAAGTGGTAGAGATAGTAGTAGTGTAGTCAAGGAGAACACAGGTGGGGCGACCGAATTGTATTTAACGAAAATTACAGAGTTACTCAGTAAAATGGGAAAACCATATCGTGAATCGTTAATTTGCAAAATATCAGTTCATCATATCGAACTGGACTGTTTCTGTTGCAAAACATCAATCCATTGTCTGACATTCCACTGTTCATGCGTTTGTTTCATACAAATTCCATTGTGTTCCCACTCTTCCTTTCTTGATCTTTCCCCTTCTTCTGCTGCCAGACATTACGTTGACGCTCGCGTCATATACTACTTATAAGTAGCTCGCACCACAGTAGTATTAGAGGTAATGGAGAAGATTAGGGTTTGAAAATATTATTCAAGAAATATAATTCAGTGAGACAAATTTAGAGAGAGAAATATCGAGGTGATGGGGAATTCAGAAGATTACTATTTTATAGAACAATCATTGGTGAATGTCAAGGTATCATGTATTTCAAGTGATAAGAGTAGTAATCGATCGAATTTTAAAAAAATCATTCAGAGCTTTAAATATGACAGAGGCATTTTAACTGTTTTTTCTTAACTTGTTTAGCTTCAGAGTTAAAAAGTCATCTGTCATCTCAACCTCAGGTTTCTCTGATGTCTCAGAAAATGGCTTTTTATATCTGCACATTTCAACTTCATGAAGCTTAATTGGGCTCTATTCCTCAATGTGCATAAATGTTTTACTTAGCTTTCAGTTTGCTTTTACCACACATGATCTTAGCTCAAAGAACCAAGACTGCGCAGTGGCGGTACTGTAGCCAATGAAGTTTATCTGAGGCGCGCTTATTGCTAATTGAAAATTACTATTACCATTCTTCATTTCATTTAAAAAACGTCCGTTATTCAACCGCCAATCGGATTATGGCTCTCTGTGATATAGTGAACCAATCAGAAGTGATCAAATGAGAAGGTCATTTGATGACTGTCGAAGAATTATCTAAAGGACGTATACATATCATTGGTCAAGAACTTTTTCTAAACAGGTGGAATACATAAATATGGATTATTCGGCAGTGCAATAGACCTTTCATTCTGCATTAGCCTTCCTGCTAAAATAGATAGCTCAGAAGTAGGAGGTTGGCATGTATCCTATTCAGATCTCTGGAACTGGACATCATTACAATCGGTCATATCACATTTTCCATTTGTTATGCATGAACTTAAACATGTCATTTGAACTACTACGAGTTTACCATACTCAGAAAACGAGAGCGAGGATCGAGGATCCGGCTACATGACATGCTACTCTAATCCGAGTGTCCTAACCCCCATTAAATAAAAGAAGAAGACTTAATATGAACTAAAACTTGTATTCTACAGATATCCAGAATGTACGAGGTCCGAGTCCAGAAGGGAATCAGGATCCCGGAGAAGGTATCCGGGTCCGGGTCATAAAACGTTACATATAATGAGTTTCTATACATTTAGGTCGAACAGTGAACAGCATTGAAGTCTGTGACATTGACAGTTAGGACGATCAGTAGAAAACAACATTTGAAGTGACATTGATAGTCAGGACGGCTAATGGGAAAACAACATTGAAGTACGTGACATTGGTATCTAGGACGACCATAATATTAACCAATAAGAACTGACCAATAATTCTCTTAGGATATGAGATGAATATCCTAACACCATTTCATACTGCATAACCAATGGTTATTCTGGTTATTGATCGCAGAATTCATGTACTTTTTGTGACATGCAATTGATCAGGCATAGTATAAACATGTATGAATATATTTATATGCATAGCTTACTTTCGTACAACCTTCTGGAACAGGTACAACAATACGATGTAAGTTACATTTGATAGATTGAGATTTAAGTGTTGTCGGTGAACCGGATGGTTTGAATGTCACTTCAATTCGTCGTGACTGGTTTACATGTAAATGACCTTCGGCAGGTCGAAATTGTAGAATTGGATTATTAGTTGGCCAACTGAACCGGAAACTTGTCGGTTCTGTCTCCTTAACTTTACCACAATGAGTGATTGTTATTGTACGCGTTATCGTTTCACTTGGACCACAATCACCGAAATCAAGATGGTTATGTTGTAATGCTAATTCAAGAAAAAGGAATAAATTTTAGTTGATTTAACTATACTACTAATTGTTTTATAGTAGTTTGTGAACGAATCACTTCTATAGGTGTCAGCAACGGCAGGTCCAAATAACCTGCAACTTAGGCGAGCCAGTAGCGAGCTAATGACTGAAAACTGTATTTAATATTGACGAGTAACATTAGATATGCCTCATTGAATGATAGAGTATAATTTAAACGTAACTGAGAAATATTTATTCAGAATACTATGAAATCTAGTGTTGAACTTGTGTGTCAATAAGGTTTACATTTTATCAAGCAAATTGATTTTCGATTTGAAAATAACCTTGAGGCAACTTATGTGTTTGTCATAAACTTTTATTTGACTGGAAAAAAATTGTAAATAGAAATCTCTCAAGGAGAAGCCTTTGGAATGGAGTTCTGTGATGACTGGAGGATAAAAGAGTGAAAATATTTTAGGTCATCGTTCTTGTGCTAATTAGGCGTGAGTCTCTTCCTTTCTCGTGCGATTATCTTGTTTCTGATGATTGACTGGATTATGAAGACGTCAACATCTCAACGGAAGCAGGAATACAGTGAACAGCTCTGATGTAGCTGGACTATTTGGACTTCTCAGAATATCTAGCTCCTGTATTCCACATACAGAATCAAAAGCAAGAGAAGACAGCCAATGAAACAGCAGCCTCTAGAATAGTAGGTCTTAACATGTTCAAGAGACGAAGTAGGATCCTCAGACCAAACGACTGAAAAGTGAATGAACCGGTAGTAAAGTGGTTTGGAAAATGTATTTGGTTTTCTGTCAACTACTTATTATCTCACGATAATAAGGAATTACTTAAATGTAGGTCATAATGAGATGGTCGAGGAAATTTATAGCTCAACACTATTACAAATACTACTGGATAGCGGGAGCACACACAAAGAACACCAGATAAATTTTAGAAGCTTGGCATTCAGGTCCAGTGACAGTCAACAGACTCATCGACATTGACCTAATCTATCAACTAATCAGAAAAATCATTGGCAAACCTAGAATCAAGAAACAGATCAAAAGGGGGATACAATCAAAATAAAAGTGCAGACAACGACAGGTATCAGGTCAACAGCAATCAATCAGGATCGAGGTTAACAGAACAAGCTACATGGGGAAATTCGAATACTTCACTACCATCTGAAGTTTTTGCTGATGATCAAGTTGTTCCAAAGAACAACAAAAGCCTTCACAACCAAGAAGTCCAGCTCAGACAACACAACTCCACCATAGCAGTTTATAATGAACTGAAGATTCAGTAAGAAAAAATTACCCTTACTTATAATACAATGCTAAATGTTTATTTACATCAAAAAGATGAGTTTTTTGAGAGAGAGTCTCCAGATATAACAGAACTAAATCTAACATGCAATTAAAGTGTACAATAAGATTGAATAGCGATAGACTGATGAAGACAACTCTATGCTGAAGATCATAAAAAAAGTTTAGAAACTAATTATTTGATAATAATTATTTTGCATATTCGTAAAAATGTAAAAGATTAATAAATATTTTTGAGAAGTATAACAAAAACACAGTAAAAAGATTATTACTTACCTGATGTAGTTTGAATTTCATCTTGATTAGGGTCTGTTAAAGTTGTTGAGATGCAATAAAACAATGAAGATTTATGGCATTAAAGAATATTTGTGATAAATGAATACACACATGTAATTTTCATAATGAATCAACTTACTTACTTAAACATGTTACCCCCCAATAGAGCATAGGCCAGTGACGAGCGTTCTACTGAGAAGACTGAGGCAGGCGCAGAAGATTGTCTGATACAAATTTACACTCTTAGTCAATTAAAAACGAAAACATTACATTGAATGCTCTATTCGCACACCATCTTTGAGTCGTGACTTCCAACGCTCCATCCTTCTTCCATTCCTGCTGTTGCTTCCTTTCCTTCCTGTTGGTACTCCATTTATTTCTTGCTTTTGCTCCATTTGCTTTCCGTTTTCCTCTTCTGACCGTGCGACTTCTTTCACTTCCCTTCTTATACTACTTATATTGTTCGTATAAGTAGCACGCACCACACTACAACCTACTCTGTACCCAGCCTTCCTTTCTAGTTCTGTTCAATTGTTTTTCAATCCTCTCATATCTGTCTCCGTCTCTCGGCATGATGAGTTCTTTGGTCTTTCTCTTCTCCTTTTGTCATAAGAAGTGTAGGCTTGTCTTGTGTGTCCTATCCACCTCCACTGCTTCTTGCTGATTTCTTCCTCAAGTGAAATCCATTTGTTCTTTCCCACAGTAGGTTGTTGCTTATAGGGTCTAGCTACTGCTGTACTTGTTGTTGGGTTTGCGATTGTACAGTCAGATCATCTGCGAAGTCTAGATCATCCAGCTGCATCCTAGCTGTCCACTGTATTCTATGCTTCCTCTGAAATGCTGAGGTTTACACAATGCAGTCAAGCACTAGGAGAAAGAGAATAGGTACGAGCAAGCAACCTTGTTTGGTACCGGTTTTCACTTGGAACGGATTTGTGCGCTGTCCTCCAATTATCTTGAAGTTTAATTCCCCCATAAGAGTTCTGTATGATGTTGATCATTCTCTCAGGTACAATGTAGTTCTGAAGAAGCCTCCATATTATCATTCTGTCCACTCTGTCAAATGAAGTTGATGTATAGTAATAGGTGCCATTCAATCGCTTGTTGCCCAATGATCAGTAATGTCACAAGCGTCTATTGAATCATTTATTCGGTTTAAAAACATTCCATTGAAGATATAATGAATTAAGCTGGTTTTTTAAAGTTTTATTTTTAGGTTCTTGAATTAATAATAGTCAAAAAGAAATACCCTTTTTACAGACTTTATCTATGTGAATAGACTTTAATGAAACTAACTGCTACGTATAGCTATTCAGTCCTAACGGCGTCCAATTCAAATATCCCAATACGACCCAAAATGCTATTTCCAAATCTCCTAGATATCAGAACGTAACACCGTGGAAGGAAGTTGTTTATTGGGTCGAATACAGAAGAGAGGTAGGCAGGAGAAACGGAATTATTAAGTCTTTCAGACAGTGCGTATTTATACATTAAGGTCGAATAGGAAAGAAAGAGCATCAATGTCTGTGACATTGACAGTTTAGGACGACCAATAGAAAAGAACATTTGAATGACATTGACAGTCCAGATGACCAATAAGAGGCAACATTGAAGTATTTGACTTTGACAGTTAGAACGATCATAATTTTGACCAATAGAAATCGACCAATGGGATTACACTTCTAAAAATATTACTCTTAGCATATTTGGTGAATATCCTAACACTAACATCTTACACTAATGGACTACATATCAGTTGAATAATGGCTATGATATTTTTACAGAAGAAATACAAAATCCAGCTGATTTGCTCTTGTCATGACTTTTGTGTACAACGTGACTGCATACGTACATATGTACGTACATAATCAGTTCAGGTTGCCATACGACATTAGCACAGAGAGAGATTGTTGGGGATGTTAGATCGCCGAAACTCGCTTGATAAATGCCTTAATTTCGGATTTCACGTTTGCCAGCATGGGCTGATCAACTGACCTTGAGGTTTCATTTCCCAGCAGGAAAATCCATAGCTGTGATTGGCTGCTGTGTATTTTAGTATGCTATTTTCGTAACTGTCCCAAGAGCGTTTCTATGATGTATAAGTAAACGAGATTTGTGTGCTTGATTGCATTTTGATTACTGGGTGTTTGTAGAATGTACTTTCTACGCTTACACAAAGCCCTCTGTCTTGAGCTTGAGATTCAAAGTAGCCTATCTGGACGCTGGTAATTGTCTCGTTCGCGTTTATCGACTAAGGTGAACTCATAATAGCTTCAAGCGTACCTAGTAACGAACATATCAGAGATCAAATAATAAACTCGAATCCCATAGTAGTTAGTTTCGGTAGTAGAAGTATTAGTAGTAATGGAAAAGATTAGAGATCGACAATATTATTCAAGAGGTAGTATAATCGAGTGAAATAAATTTAAAAAGAGAGAAAAATAAAGAAAGGTCATGAGGAATTTAGAAAAAAAGATTCACATGATTATCAACAAACGACGCAAATGAATTTTATAATCATCACGTTGCACAAACGAATGTCGTCTATCTGAACTCAGTCAGTAGCGCTAAGTTCATAATGCTGTGGCTTTCAAAGAAGGGCGGTATTATGTTCAAGTCATTGGGTGAACATCAACTTCAAGATCCAGGTATATCTCGCTTATGATGACTTTTGAATAGGGAATAACACATCTTCTGAATTCCACCGCTATTCACTATCCCCGTTCACTTAACAATACATGCGTGTAACCTAAAAGCAACGTCGAAGAAATCCTCACAGGATTCATCTGTACCGAATGAAAACTAATCAATCGCAGTCCTACTTATCATTAGGAGGATTTAAACAACACCGATACAAATGAATTATCAACAAGGTTTGTTTACATACAATAATTAGGAAAGTTGAGATCGATGTTCTTTAAAAAAATATTCTCATATTTTAGTGGCCCGAGCGGTGGTTCCAATTTTGGACAAATGATTGAATACTCCGTGAAATAAATCTCTTATCTAATTTTCATACATCATTCTTAGGCGAATCGCGTCTGTGTGACGGCGGTTATCGTAAGCCCAATACAGTAAGTTTCGGACAGATTTATTCTTGAATTCACGATATCAGACAGATTATAAAATGAATCATGAAAGCGAGGTGAAGCAAACTGAAGTGGAGAAGGTGAGTGGGCCAATTCCATGTGAAGAGGTATGATTAAGAATTCGTAATCAGCAGTGCACATCCGCGAATCCCACAACTCTCAGGACTCAACTGCAGGACCTCAGGGTTTACGAGCGAACGCCTACTCTCTGGATTAATGAGCCTTGTTTGCTATCTTTCGTGAGCACCGCTGATGAGTCGCATGCGAAGACTAATTGGCCGACCACTGCTTCCAGGTTTCCGATGGTGGTCTCAGTGATCCACTCATGATTTGTGAAGGGAACTCATTAATCTCCACAACCGTATCATAAATATTTATGATCAGATAAATATAAGCTAGATATGCGATATCTGAAGTACACAATGCTCACTTACTCCGAACTAAGATAACCAAGGTTATAAGCGAATAATTGACAAGGTCAAAAAGGCGTGCGAATTAGTACTTCGGGCAGAAAAGATTAGAACAAATCATACGGGATCAAGATATTGGCACACACACACACAACAGTACACATTTATCATACATTGTAGTGCCTCCACATATATTCCAGTTCGCTTCCATTTAATTTGGTTAAGCCCTTTCGATTAATTTATTTAACCAAGCCATTTGTATTGCAACAATTTATATGTACCATTCGTTCTTATTATTGTCTGGTTTGTATGAGCTCACATGACGTGTCCCACTTGTCATTTGACCTTGTCAACTATTCGTCGCTTTTATTCATGTGTGCCTATTTCGCTTGTTACATGTCTGTCTTATATTTGTCTGACTATATATTCTTAGTCATGCTCTCTCTCTGGGAGTTGGCTCATTATTCTCCTCCAACGCGCTTTACCTGTTCATTCGCTTCCTTCACCCATTCGTTCGCATTGTAATCAGTCCTAGGAGTTGGCTCATTAGCCTTCTCCACATCGCTTCGTACGATTCGCTTCAGTCGCTCATTCGCTCGCCAGTGTACAGTACACAATAATGGTGATCCCGACGTCGAAATCGACAGGCACACTACAACACAATCAGATTTCAAATATAAAAGACATTTAAAAAAAACACAAAACTTACCATAATCTACATCATCCAGCGTTGATTTTGTGGCTGAAACTGATCGTTTCAATGCATTTTGTATACTGGAATATTTTTCCCAATCCAGCTGCGGTACATTTTCAATACAAACTTCATCATTTAATGTTTCACCAATTAATTCAATCAGTGTATCTTCATATTCATTATGAATTATTGACAATTGAATTTGTCCATAATTTTTAACGTTACGTTTAGTTGGTATATAGGATACGATGAAATTAAATTGATGCTTAGGTTTTAAAAGTAAACCAATCAGATAGGATTGTTTCTCTATAGATAATTCATCATGTTCAACTGTGAAAGAGATTTTTGAGAAAAAAAACTTTAAAATAAACAAGTTTATTGAAAATTCGTTTGATGATTTTATAATGAAAGGAAAATATTCCTAGGAAGGAACAAGAAGATGAAAAAACTTGTGCATTTTCGTTATAGTGTTTGTGAGTTTCATTGAGATCATGAATTGATCAATGTCAGACTATCGTTAGGAACCTAAAGCCGCTGGACAATGCTCTTAGTTTATTAGTAATGACCCACTCAGAAGTGCACATCCGTGACCCCACAAGCATGAGCGCCTAACCTTTGGACCACTGAATTGGCATCCAGAGGTAATAATGTTTAACTTTAATCAATCCACAATATTGTTTGACCATTATTGATCGTGTTCAGTGAGTAACTACTTCACACACGACACAATTAAACTGCACTAGTCACGACTTCTCAGTAGAACTCAGACTACTCCCTCAGGAATCTAGTCACTGGTGAGTATATGATGACTGGCATTATAGAGTTGTGGATTGATTTATGATTTCAGTGAAACTAAACAGTCTTCAATAATAGAACGAAACATCCAGTGCTTTCGGGTTTCTAATGATAGTCTAACATTGGTTGGTTCATGACTTCAGTGGAACGTAAACACGTTCAAAAAATATATACTACGCTTATTAATTACTTCTAGTAATCGATAGGCAAATAAAGGGTGATTAATTCTGATGATCTGTCGATAGATTAGGATTTCTATAATTGAAGAAATGCGTCCGATACTTAAAACAATCATCAATCAACACCAAAGTCTCCATTTTCAATATAAATGTCTAAACAGTTCTATTGCATCGAACGGAAACTCGGAGAACTACGAAAGCCATTATTCAGAAGATAAAAGTGTTTATTAACAGTTGTCTACGCGAAAAACGTCAGGTCCGTTTGTTAGAAACCACCAGCAGCTACGTACTAGGCGAGAGAATAAACCATATTCTAGAAGCGGAAGAAATCAGGAAGCGCTGGAGTTGGATAAGACATATATAGAGGAAGGCACTGAAATGGTCCACAAGACAAGGTCTCACTTAAAATCTTTAGGACAAACGGAAATGAGGAAGTAAGAAGAAAACATTACACTGAGAAACGGAGAAAAACATGCAAACAATGAAGAACTACTGAATGGAACTTGAAGGGAAGTCTCTGGACAGTGGAAGTAAATCTTCTTTTTTCTAGATTTACAGATGCGTTGATCATTGTGGATTCCTTATGTGTTGAGATCTCTCTCTCTAAACTCGGTATACTTTGTGTTAATTGTACTGTTCTTTAGATAAATCGAACTTCAGTTTCACGTGTGTCTCTGAACTTTATGCTTAGAAGCTTCAATAGGACTAACTAACAGAATTAGTAGTCGATGATAGATACAGGCATAACTGATAGTTTATGCAAAAATATTGATTTTTTTAAAATAAAAATAAACAGTATAATCGTTTTAAACTTACCTGATTCCGATTCATCAGTGAAATCAGTGGATTGATTGTTTTTGGGATTGTAAAATAGTAACGAGTCATTATTCGATTGTGGCTTTATTGAAAATACTCCATCTGGATCAATTAGATCAACATTTAACTGAAACAAGAAAATTTTTTAAATAATTATCAATAGTTTCGATGATCATCGTTCAAATTATGTTTTCTGGTTAGCGTCTTTTTAACGAGTTAGTTTTTCTGTGGGATGCGGTTGCCAAACCCATGCCCAACCCTCCTCCTTTATTCGGGCTTGGGACCCGCAGTAGCCCCAGAGGGGCTCTAGGCGTCTTAATATTTTTATGCAGATTCTTGTTTTATAATATTGACAACATGAATATATGCTTGTTAGACCACCATTAGAAACCTGGAAGTACTGGACGGCTGCTACGACCTGGTATGGGACACCTCAGCAGTGCACATATGTAGTGCCTCCACATATATTCCAGTTCTCTTACATCTAACTTGGTTAAGCCCTTTCGATTAATTTATTTAACCAAGCCATTTGTATAGCAACAACTCTTTGTCGGATGTAGACAGTAACTACCAAAAGCAATGAGTGATGTTGCGCAAAAATACTTAGTTTGATCAGAGTAAGACATTAACACCGTTGCCTGTCGGTTTAGTGGGCCGGAAGTTAAACGTTCGCGTGCAAGATCGAAAGCAGTGAGTAGCAGGAGTCGTGGATGCTTATATCTAGTGAGTCCCACACAACGTCGAAAGGGCTGTCCAGTGATCCCTTGTTTCTAATGATGATCTAAAAATGATTCATTCATGATTTGATTGCGAAATAATAATTTTAATAATCCTTCTGTCAGTAACCGAAATCGAAATGACAGTAGACAGTAAAAGTAGTAATCAATTCTAGGATGTACAGTATAAAATAAATTTTGTAAGTGGTTGGCAGTAGAGTCAACGATCAAAGTTCCGTTCTACTGAATATTCTTTAGACAGTGCAGTGTTGATATTTATATTGAGACTCATTGATCTATGTTTAACAATGTACTTCCAATTCAACAATAAAAATTTACGAACAGACGAAAGGAACACCGATGAAGTCACCAATATCAGGACTTATTGCAAAAAGCCATGATGCAGAGATTAGAAGCTTCGACTCTACCGACGATCAAGCCAAAAATATGGGTTCGTTATGTTAGCAACATATTCAGCATCATCGAAAAGAACGAGCTGGAGAACATCTACAATCGGATCAACAACGTTATTGATGATATTAAAATTCACAATGGAAAAGGAATCATACCACAGTCTATCATTTCTGGATGTATTAATCACCAGAACTGACACAGAAACACTGAAGAATCGAGTACTTCCGAAACCGACCCACACAGATGTAATTCTTAACTACAGTAGCAATAATCGAAGAACTCGCAAAATCAACTCAATACCAACTTTATTCAAGAGAGCGAAAACACACTGAAGCACATTTGAAGCACAAAAAAACGAGGAAAAATATCTTCCAGAAGAACGGCTCTCCACGTAGCTTCATCAGAACATATCAGCTGAAATAATCGACAGAAGTAAAATCAAGTTAAGGAACCAACAAATGGATGATCCTACCGTGTATTAAAGACATATCGGAGCATACAGCATGGCTACTGAAACCATTAGGAATAGGTGTGGCACACAAACCAACAGAATCACTTCAATCAATCCTATATAGACCGAAGGACAAAATGAAAAAGGAAGGAAAACCAAATATCATTTACAAAATTAATTGCTCAGATTGTCAAGAACACTACATAGGTCAAAGTGGATGTCCTCTTTAGCTTCGTTTACATAAATACCACTTAACAGTCAAACGCCACGACAACGCTCCGTTTATATCAATACACACCGACAATCATGGATATACATTCGATTGGAATAATAAGGAAATACTGGGTAAGAGGAGGACAAAGAACACTAGAGAATTTTTAGAAGCTTGGCACTCATGTCAATCAGCAATCAACGAAATCATTGATACTGACCCAAATTATCAACCAATTAGAAAAACCAGATTCTAGCGGAGGAGGAAATCAGGAAGAAGCGGTGGAAGTGGATAGGACACACACTACGAAAAGCACCTGATTGCGTCGCAAGACAAGCCATCACTTCGAACCCTCAAGGTAAAAGGAAAAGAGGAAGGCCAAGGAACACACTACGCGGAGAAATAGAGAAAGATATGAGAAGAAAGAACAAAAATTGGAAAGAACTGGAGACGGAAGCCCAGAACAGAGTTGCTTGGAGAAAACTGGTGGCCGGCCTATGCTCCATTGGGGGTAACAGGCGTAAGTAAGTAAGTAAGTAAGTAAAAAGAAAAACCATAGGCAAACAAAGGATCAAGAAACAGATCAAAAGGGGGGGGATACAATCAAAAGGATGGTGCAGACAACGACAGGTTCAATATCAATAACAACCGATCAGGATCGATGTCAATATGGCAAGCAACGAATCATACGTGAAGAAATTCGAATACTTCACTTCTTCTATCTGAAGTTTGTGATGATGGTGTTGCTCAGAAGGCGAACAATGAAAGCTCCACAACGAAAACATCCAGTATGGGACTCCTCAGCAGTGCGCATCCACGACTCCTGCACCCCGCAGGAGTCGCATACCAGGACGAAACGGCCGTCCAGTGCCTCTGGGTTTCTAATGGTGGTCTAACATTGATCGATTCATGGTTTCAAAGAAAACTTAACAGTCTTCACAACCGCATAATGAAAACATCCAGCTTAGAAGAGAACGAAAATGCGCCACAATGGACAATCAGTAAATTTATCCACATATTGATTAACACTCATAAAATCCTCAGACATACACCTCATTTATTATTAATCAACATACTCATTCAATCTCAGGTGTATTTGACCCTCAAGTGTCTTATGGATTCCATTAATCTTTAAAAATACACATTAAACGTGATAACTAGTTGTTATAACTAATTATTCTCGAATCAATTCATGATAATACTAGGAGAATTCACCTGCTAAAGTACATCGTTTACGAGTTGACTTAATAGATTCAAAACGAATATGGCGAAAATAACTACTACAAACCATTAAACACAGATTTTCGACGGCATCAAACAAATCTTAATGCACATTCATTCATTCAAAATGCATGACACAGTATGCCGCCATATTAAAACATTGATCAAAGTTGTTTAAATCACGAATTCAATGTTCAGTGATGAAGAAAAAAAAGAGAAGAAGAATGTATACAACAACATACTCTACTATTCAATAATCCATTATTTTGAAGAGATAATAATTGATGTGATATTTTGCCAACTTGTATACGTTTAAATATACACATTGTTTGACCAGTACGATTACGTAATTTTGGTTGTAGAACGCTGATTTGTGGTAAATTACCTTCACCATACAATTCAAAAGCAAGAACTGGTGGATTTGAAGGACGTTTATTACTACCGGAACCAGCACTCCCACGACCTGAAGTAACAACTGTGGTACTTGAAGATAATTTATTGTCAATGTATACATTAAACATTGCTGTGTAAATCTATAAAAAGCGTAAAATAATGTACATACAAAATAATGAATAATTTTTTAAGTCATGAGAAAATCATTTTCATAGTAAGTTCAAGGTCTAATCAACTAATGTACTTCTGTTATGGAGTCGGTCAATCAATCAGTTACAACAGAGAACTTCGTACGTACGTACATCAGTTCAAGTTGTTATACTACATTAGCACAGAGACGCAATTGTTAGTTCAAATCCCACTGTGTTAGAGATAGTAGAAGTATTAACAGTAGTCGGAGGGATTAGAGTTCGAAGATATTATTCAAGGAGTATAAAATAGTGAAATAAACTTAAAAAGAGGAAGAGAAAAGTGATGAAGAATCCAGAGGATTAGAATTTTAGAGAACACAAAGAGAGGATGCACCTGCGCCATTGCAAACGATTTTCAGCCATGTCATTCAAGTTCTCTAACCATCAGTTACTATCGTCTGGCGGACCTACACCAGGTAGCCTAAATCTACCAACATGGCTCAGTTCACTTGTCAGTGACTTCATGGATTTGTGTCATGTTTTAGTCTGGTCGCCTCTAGCTTTCGTCCAACCTATTTCTACATCGCAAAACATAGATCGACGAGGCAGTCTGTGGTTAAGCATACGTAACAGATGTCCCAACCAATTCAAATGACGAAGTTTCAGTAACTCATCTATTGATCGACCATCCTTACCTCGTACTTGTTTGCTAACAACGGCACTGTTTATTCGGTTGTCCCGAGATAAACGAGCAGTGCTTCGGAGACACGTATGATCGAATACCAATAACTTACGAATGTCCTCTACTCTTACCGACCATGTTTCGCATCCATATAATAGGAAGGAGCGAACTACTGGTTAGTGGACGCAAGTTGGCAAGAACCAATCGAGCCTTTTGTATCCCTGCTGAAATTTCGTCAGTCGCCAAGCCATCAGCACTGATGAGACTCGTGAGATAAGTGAAGCGGTCGACACGCTCAACTACTTCACTCCCTATCAATAGATTAGGTGCCGATGCAAGACAATACTGAAGCAACATTTTGTATTTCAAGGAGGAGAATCGCATCCCAAATACGCTTGCATTGTTGATTAGGGTAGTCAGAAGATTTTGCATTTTGTCAGCGTCTTCGTCAAGTAGAACTATGTCATCGGCATAATCAGTTAGGCAGTATCAAAAATGAACAAGTAGACAAGTCCGAAAAACTCACTAACGCCTAAACTTATTACCTTAATATCAATGACTCATAGAACATAGAACAGAATACATATCAATTCTAGTAATCATACTCTACGAGCACAGTAAAATCAAATGGTTAGGGTGAATTCCGGAATAGTAGGGAACAGATGCGCACTGCTGATGAGTCCCATTTCAGGACGAAACGGCCAACTAGTGCTTCCAGATCTGTAATGGTGGTCTAACAACATTGATCGATTCATGATTTCAAAATGTGTAACCAAAAACAATACCCGGAAACAGTTAGATAGGCATTGGAGGTACGGTTCGCGAAAATACACAAACTAGTCAGGTGGTAAAAAGTATTAAGAAGTTAGAAACTTAATAAGTACTAAAGAAAAGACAGGAGGGGTGAATACATCAGTCATTCTGTCCAAAATCTCTAACTATTAGTGACAATAATCATGCAGACCCGCCAAACATTCAGTCTATAACTGTTAACATGGATTGGTTCAATTGTCAATTTATTCTGATTTAAAAAAATAACAGACTTACTTGCATAGATGTCGGTGCAAATGTAACATTTGCATAACTCGATGCGTGTGGTTCAATTTGTGCTTTCTCTGGTATCACTTCAAATGCATCGTATGTTGTAGATTGTTGACTATTTCGACTACTTGAACGACCACTTGATGATGGATTAGAGGAACTAGGTGTTTTTCCAATGGCACAAATTTCATATGACACATCCACCGGAACATTACTTCGATTAGCTATACGAAAACGTGCTACAACACGTGAACCAACTAGAACATTTCTATAAACAAAACGATTCTCTTCAATGCCATAAATACTACCAGATGAAATCTACGAAAGAAAATGAAAGGAAGTTTACAATAAATAAACAGGAAAAAATATTTCTTCTTGTTTTCATTAAAACAGGAGTGAACGATTTTGTAACTCAATCAGTCAGTTAGTGATAAGTAATATAGAGTGTACGACAAATGCGTTATGCTTGTCGATTGATATGTTTGAAGCTATTATGAGTTGGTAAACGAGAGCGAAGACAATGATGATCCAGTGACATGATAGGCTACTCTAATTCGAGCATCCGAATGCCTCACTAAATAGAGGAAGAAGTCTTGACAAGACCGTAGAAAGTGTATTCTACAAGCGTCCAGAAAATCGAGCTTGACAAGCACACAAATCGAGTTTATTTATACATCATAGAAACATCCTTGGGAGAGCCACAAAAATAGCCTACTAAAATAATACATCAACCAATAACAGTCAAGGATTTTCCTGGTGGGAAACGTAACCTCAAGGTCAACTTATCAGCTCATTTGCGAAAGCATATAATCCAAAATTGGGATCTTGATCAAGTGAGTTGTAGGGATCTAACGTCCCCAACAAAATGTAACTCAGTTTTAGTAATCACACCATATCATCACAACATGATGACTTTGTGAAAATGAATTTAAACATTGTAGTAGTAGTATCAGCGATAGCAGGAAAATATTCGGGATGAAGAAATTTGAGTTGAAAAGAATAAATTCCCTCAATATATGGTGTAAAGCAGGTCTTCTACTCATAATCTGCGGAGTGATAAAAAGCAAATGTATTTGAATCATCGTAAACGATTCTAGGCAACATTTTCAACCATTGCTTATGGAAATCTCCCCGACGCTAACCGGATAATCTCCACGTATCATCAACAAGGTTCAAGTTCAATAATCAGTCACTTCAAAGACAAGTGTCCCGTCTAGGTTCGAATACAGATCTACTTTTCCCAATGTATTATCACTTTGGTCAACAATGTTCTTTGGTGTAGATGGTAGTTAAACATAGCATATCCATATCTCAACCATCTCAGTTGAAGAAAATTCATCACCTTGTCAAACTATTTATCATCTTTTTCTAGTACCGTATGTCTAGCTTCACCTTTGCTCGGCTGGAGGCCCCAACATAGTCAAGTATTCTATCAAGGATATTTGAGGTCAATTACTAGTAAAATAAGAATATCATTTACTTTGAAAGACCATGTCCCGCTCATCCCTGAGTTCCCGAGCAGAGGTCACATCTGTACGACAAGTGCAAGTAAATACGAAACATCAATGGAGATAAACGATATTGATTTTTAGCTAAAGTTACACTGGAAACATGTATACAATGGATATCCGCCGTATAATATTGTCCTGTAGTCCATAAATATGACGTCACATGGGATCCGGCGCAGAGCTTTTACACCAAATGTTTAACAAAGTTTTATAGGAATCAACAAACAAAACTTAAGTTAGACGATCAATAGAAGACCAGTAGAAGCCTGGTCCAATGAGGCTAAACAGTGTTGAGAGTAGGGAAGCTGCCCTATCCTACACAATGGAGAATGGTGGGAAAATATCATGGATTGAGTGAAGTTAGACTTGCATACCAGTAGATCCTAGTTCAGTGGTTCAGAAGTTCAACATTCAAATGCAAGACCAAAGATCTTTAAGTGGCTCGTGTTAAATTCGAAGTAGAGCTCAAAAATTTATCGGCCCGTGACTTGACTCCAGTTTGACGAATGGTCGAGTATGTGATGAAATGAATCTTCCTTTCCTTAAGGGAGCCCCATTTGTGAGACGGTGGTAATAAGAAGCCAATTAAGGGTTTTGAAGATGAATATATTTCTTGCGTTCATTTAAGCAGGCAGACATGAGAATGGAAAGCGTACAGACAAAGCGAAGCGAATTGGAGAAGACAAGTGATCCAGCTCTAATGTGCCGAATCAATAATCAAGTATTTATAGTCAGGTAATAATAGGCCAGAAAAGAAACAGGCAAGTAAGCGTACACATACGCAATCAAACATAGAATCGCCGATACTGCTGTCAAATTATTACAAGTATAAAAAATGGTCGATCCACCTATCGAGTAATTTAAACAACAGTCTTGAACTCGATTATCACCTACAGGTATTAGCGATGTTAGACCCCCAGAACTCGTTTGATAAATGACTTAATTTTGGATTTGTCTCATGCGCCAATCAGTTGTCCTTGAGATCACATTTCCCACCAGGAAAATCCTTGGCTGTGATTGGTTAGTGCGTTATTTTAGTATGCTATTTCTGTGACTCTCTCAAGGACGTTTCTACCTTGTATAAATAAACGGGATTTGTGTGCTTGAGATCATTGTGTGCTTCCTGGGTATTTTTAGAATACACTTTCTACACAATATCAAGACTTTTTCGTTAGTGCCTTTGGGCCAACGAATCAGAGTAGTCTACCTGGACTCTGGTTCATTGTCTCGTTCTCGTTTATCGACTAAGGTGAACCCGTAATAGTTTCAAGCATATCAAGTGACGAGAATAAAAACATGATTATGGAAGAGTTCCATGGTACGATGAAACAATTCTAACTTGGATCGGTTCACGGTTTTTCATTACACTGAATAACTGTTGGGGATGTTAGATCCCATCAGGAAAATCCATGGCTGTGATTGGCTGCTGTGTATTTTAGTGTGCTATTTTCTTAACTGTTCCAAGGACGTTTCTATAATGTATAAATAAACGAGAGTTGTGTGCTTGATTGTATTGTGATTGCTTGGTGTTTGTAGAATATACTTTTTACGCTTATCAAGACTTCTGTTTTGCAGTTTGGGATTCAAAGTAGCCTATCTGGACGCTGATAGTTGTCTCGTTCGCGTTTATCGACTAGGGTAAACTCGTAATAGCCTCAAGCATACTTAGTGACGAACCCAATAATAACAATGAATAATATGAATAATTCACATCAATGTTTACATACCATATCTGATAGATCAGGTAAATCGAGAACGTTCAAATTTTTACAAACATGATGTTCTTCAAATATCACTGAAACATCATTGGTCTCGATCAATGGTAGATCACCTTCAGCTTTAAGATAATATGATATTCCATGTGGATATAGTTTCATATCGCGATCAGATATTTCAATTGCTAATTCCTAACAATAAAGAAAAATAACTTATTGACATGAGTAGAATTATTGTTAATACTAATGGTAATAATAGCATTTTTAAAATAAATGGAGGAAATTCTCGGAGTTCCTAGTGAGAAGATGTGATCAGTGGATTACGACGTTGTCGAGTGTAGGCAGTAACTATCAAAGACAAATAGGTGAGGCCAAGCAAAATCCCTAGATCAGTCAAAGTTAGAGAGTATCACTGTTGGATACCGGGCCCAGTGGTCCAGATGTTAGGCGCTTGCTCACAAGACAGAAAGTCCCGGGTTCCGATCTTGTGAGGTGCAGAAGTCGTGGATCACACTGCTGATGAGTCCCATACCAGGACATAATGGTTGTCCAGTGCTTCCAGGTTTCTAACGGTGTTCTAACAATGATTGATTGTTGATTTCAAATGTCTAAAAACACTCATCTTCATAACTCTAATAAAATGGAATGTAGCTGGCAATGAAATTCAGGATAAGCATTTTATCCTTGTAAAGCATTCGAAACCTTATCTACCGAATTTCAGTTTTCATTTTCAGTTTGTCAAGCAAGACCAAAGCCCCTGGGTTCGAGAGCTGTGAGTAGCAGGAGTCGTGGATGCACGCTGCTGATGAATCGTTTACTGGGATTTTAAAGGCCATCTAGTGCTTCCACATTTCCAATGATGGTCTAACATTGCTCGATTCATGGATTCAAAATGTAACTCAACAATCTCTACAAACCCTACACTGTAAATCTCAACAATGTTAAAAAGTTTACTATGACAATATGACAAACTTGAAAAAAACCAAATGAAAAATTCAATTCCAAATCTTTTAAAATTAGCAACTTACTTCTACACATTGACCCAATGTATTAGCCAAACAATCGACTGTGATAATTTGTGCATTACCAGGAGGAATAAGTCCACTAGCTGGACTCAGCGTAAAGAAACCCTGTTGTAGACGAGATTGTGACGTGCTTAACATCGTTGGATCTGACCTAAACAAAAAACCACGTACAAATTAATATTTTTAAAATGTGATATTTTTACAATTAAATTAATTTCAAAAAAAACTGGACTGACCATAAAAAAGCAAATCACCACATCGTTATATTAATTCAACTGTTAAATAGATTAATCGTAATATTGGATTTACGTTGTTGTTGGGGATGTTAGATCCCCAGAACTCGCTTGATAAATATCTTTATATTTATTTCATGGGCTGATCAGTTGATCTTGAGATTACATTTCTCACCAGGAAAATCCTTGGCCGTGATTGGTTACTGTGTTGTTTTAGTGTGCTATTTTTGTGACTTTCCCAAGGACGTCTCAATGGATTCATTGTGTGCTGGCTGGGTGTTTGTAGAATACACTTTCTGCGCTATATCAAGACTTCTGGTTGATTCAGTTTGGTCAAGGAATCACAACAGGCCTACCTGAACGCTGGTTCATTGTTTTGTTCTCGTTATTCGTCAAAGGTGAACCCCTATTAGTTTTAAGCATACCTAGAGACGGGCGTAACAGTTCTATGATAGACAAATCTTTCAATAAGCGAAAAGCATTTTGACATGTGCAAAATTAAAGTTATCTAGTGAATTCATGAATGAATCATTGTTAGACAACCATTTTAAACCTGGAAACACCGGACGACCGTTTCGTCCTAGTATGAGACCCATCAGTGGCATCGCGCATCCCCGACTCCGTCTACTTGCAGCATTCGTACCCAGGACCTTCGGCCGTGCACGCGAAAACTTAACGTCACCCAGTGTCTTCGGTAGTTACTGCCTATACTCGACAGGTCTGAACGCCATTAGTCATGTCTTCTCACTAGAACTCACTAGAATTTCCTCACCAAGCTGGTCATTAGTGAGCAAACTCACGATTTCAATGTAAAACACCAATCTTTGTGATACTTTATTGTAAAAATATAAATATCGTTAAAATAAATTCATGAAATTAGTTTAAGTGACATGATTATTTTGATGACAAGTGAATAACACTACTCCACAAAATATTACACCAGCAGACTACGATTTCCACCCTCCAAAATAGAATGCATGCATAGGAAAAAAGCTTATGATACCAGGATAAATATTAATAGGCAATCAAGCACCAAGATTATAGATTATAATGAGCTGAATAACAAAAAGCACAATGATGCATACATAGTAGAGCTAAGGAGATGTTAGTAAGCGGTGTTTATGAAAGGCAACGTTTATAACAAATAGTATAATGCTTTGTGTTAAAATTTAATAGTTTCATTTGAATTTACTAGTTTAAAGAGTTAAAAAAAGGTTTCATAATTTGCAAGAGTTTGTCGGTCAGTCAGTTACAACGTAGAACTTTGTATGTACGTACATAAGTTCATGTTGCCATAGTACATTAGCACAGAGATGCAATTGTCAGTTCTAATACCAATGTGGTAGAGATACTAGAAGTAATAACTGTAATGGGGAAGATTAGGGTTCGGAGATATTATTCAAGAAGTATAATTCAGTGAGATAGCTTTAGAAAAAGAAATATAGAAATGATGAGGAATTCAGAAGTTTAGAATTTGAGAGAACATAAAGAATGAATGCACCTGTGCCACTACAAACGGTTTTCAGCCATGTCATTCAAGGTCTCTAACCATCGATTACTATCGTGTCGCGGACCCCAACCAGGTAGTCTGCATCTGTTAACATGGCTCAGTCCACTTGTCAGCGACTTCATGGACTTCCGCCATGTTTGAGTTTGGCCGCCCCTAGCTTACTTCCAACCTAATCCTATACCACAAAATATTGCTCGTCGAGGCAGTCGGTGGTAGATTTGGTATACGTAAAACATGCCAAAACCACCCCAACTGATGGAGTTTGAATACTTCATCAGTTGTTCTGCCATCCTTATCTAGTACTCGTTTTCTAACGACAGCATTGCTTACTCGGTTGTCCCACGATACACGAGCAGTGCTTCTAAGACATCTGTGATCGAATACCAGCAACCTAGGAATATGATCTACTCTTACTGGATATCTTTGACATTCATATAACAGGACGGAGAGAAATGCTGTGCAGTACACTTGTCCTTTGGTTAGCAAACCGATATCTCGTCTACGCAAGAGTTTTCAATATAACATGGTTGATATTCAAGATGATAAGTTTTAAATATGCCAACATGAGAGTCTGGAAATCTTCAGCAAAGGGGTTCTTGTGAATTGCCAACTTTAGTATTAACAAACCTTATGATTACTATTTAACAATATGTTTACGAAATGAATTTATTATTCAGCTTCCTATCCACTTCTACACTGCAAATGGAACACACAAGAGAATATGACCAGTCAGGAAATAGGGACATTACACTATCATTGAGTCACCGTACACCAACCACCACATCGAAATTCTACGAATTCTGTGCGGCTATGGCTGAATAGAAAATCTTCGACTTCTTGGGAACTCCTAATGGTTTCTGGGAGCTATGTCAAGCACGTAATGTTATCTAGAATACTAGTTTCTAGAAAAGGTAATCTTATATCATAATTCACATTACTTTGATATGCAATAACTGTGAGTTTTAAATCAATCTTATTCACAAAGAACGTACTTCAGACAGACACAGAGAGAAGAGAGTGACAGTGAGAGTGAAGGAGAAATAGAGTGTTTATAAATTATCTAAATGATGAAATACGCAAACAAGTATTGATAAACGAAACTAAAAACTGTAAACTTTGAATCAAGAACAAACGACCTTTCGCATGCAGAAATCAATAATCCATTTCGTGCAATAAACTTTCATTCAAACACCCATAATGGTTAAAACATAAAACCAATAACAGTGGAAGCAGCATGTGAAGTAGTGGTTAGCTATATATAGCATAAAACAAACTTCTTATGTTTACTGTGATATTAATTAAATATGACAAAGATAACGCTAGATAGATTAATTAACATTGTGGATTGTGCTACTTATACGAACAATATAAGTAGTATACGAAGGGATGTGAAAGAAGAAGTCTCACGGTCAGAAGAGGAAAACGGAAAGCAAATGGAGCAAAAGCAAGAAGTAAATGGAGTACCAACAGGAAGGAAAGGAAGCAACGACAGGAATGGAAGAAGGATGGAGCGTTGGAAGTCACGACTCAAAGATGGTGTGCGAATAGAGTATTCAATGTAATGTTTTCGTTTTTAATTGACTAAGAGTGTAAATTTGCATAATACAATCATCCGCGCCTGCCTCAGTCTTCTCAATTGGTGTCGCTTCCTCTACACAGGATGAAGATCCCGTGGCCTCGAGAGTTTGAAGACGGAGATGTAAGGAGCTTTTTGAAGGAGTTCGAGGCCGTGGCGGAGCTGGTAGGAGTCAAGGAGCAGAGGGCGAAGGTGCTGGTGTTGGGGACTCTACTAAGAGGCAGGGCGAGAGCGGTGCACAATGGTTTGGAGGACGCTGACTGAGAGGTGATGACGGAAAGGCTGCTGGTGGAGTTCGACAGCCCGGCGGATAGGGAAGACGCGCTGCAGAATTTCCGAGAGGCGAGACTGACGGGTGGATAGCGACCCACTCGTGCTGGCTGTGGAGTTGACAAGATTGCTGCGCCGGGGTCTGCCGAATTTGGATGAGGAGTCGTAAGCACAGCTGCTAGCGTTGCAATTCATTGAAAGTGTGCCTGCAGAGGTTGCCCAACAGTTGGGACTGGTGGACGCGGCACAACCAATGGACGTCACCGAGCTGGCTAAAGTAACAAGACAACTGATGAACTCAACAGTCGCCTCGGTGGTGTGTGAAAGACAGGATGATGATATCGCGAAGAAGATAGAAGAATCACAACGCGAGGTGGCAGCATTAAACATAAAGGGTGGAAGAAATAATAAATGCTATATTTGCGGAGGAACCGGACATTGGAAGAGGAATTGCATAACAAAACGAAAACATTACATTGAATACTCTATTCGCACACCATCTTTGAGTCGTGACTTCCAACGCTCCATCCTTCTTCCATTCCTGTTGTTGCTTCCTTTACTTCCTGTTGGTACTCCATTTACTTCTTGCTTTTGCTCCATTTGCTTTCCGTTTTCCTCTTCTGACCGTGAGACTTCTTTCACGTCCCTTCTTATACTACTTATATCGTTCGTATAAGTAGCACACACCACAATATGAATATTGAAGAAATTATTTCGTTTATTTATTGCTCATCTAAAAATAATCAACAACTGTCTTGTTAGGATATTCATCCAATATCCTAAGAGGATTGTTTGTCAATTCCTATTGGTTGATTCCTACTGGTCAATTTTATGGTCGTCTTAGATATCAATGTCACGTGCTCCAATGGTGTTTATTATTGGTTGTCCTGACTATCAATGTCACTTCAAATGTTGCTTCCTATTGGTCGTCCTAACTGACTTCGATGATGTTTCCTTTTCGACCAAAATGTATAAATACGCATTATTTGTAACGTTTTATGACCGAGACCAGGACCCGGATCCCTGGTTCGGGGTTCTGGTTCTCTTCTGGACTCAGACCTCGTACTTTCTAGATGCTTGTAGAATACAGGTTCTATTTCATATCATGTCTTCTTATTTTTACTCAATATGAGGTTTGGGATAGTCGGATTTGAGTAGTATGTCATGTCGCCTGATCCTCTATCCTCGCTCTCGTTTTTTCCGACTAAGGAAAACTCGTAATAGTTCAAGTATATCAAGTTGATGTGTTTATGTGCAAGCATAACAAGTATCCTGCTTACAACTTGTAGTAAGTGTACTGAATTTTCCCAACCCATATGGCACGTCACAGCCTTTGGATAAAGCAAATTAAATTCATTCTACTCGAGTTACTATTCGCTGTGTCTTTTGACCTTGTCTATCAATTCGCTTATAACCTTGGTTGTTTTTACCTGAGTGAAAGTATATTCATTATTTGCACGTTAGGCTTCTTTTTTGCCTAACTACAAAGACTTCGTCATAACTCATCACCACATAGAGTTGGGCCATTCGTCTTCTCCATTTCACTTTACCTTGCATTCTATTGTCTGTCGTATGTTTACATGAATGCATGAAATATATTCATCCACATAAAATCCTGCTGAGCTTCTTATAACCGCCGTCGCACAAACCAGGTGGAAATTATGTGAGAGATTGATTTCACTGCATATTTGATCATTTGTTCGAATCAGAGTCAGACCGCTAAAAACTATTCATTTCATTGTAGCGAACAAGGTTTTAAATGTTCTAAGATGAGTTGATGTTCACTCTGAGACTCGAATCTAGTGTCGTTCGTACCAAACGCCATCGCGTTATCCACGTAACTACTGAGTACAGAAAGCCACTGACTTTCGCCTTTAGGTGATAATGGTTTGATTTACTTGCTTACTTACTTACTAATGCCTGTTACCCCCAATGGAGCATAGGTGGCCGACCAGTATTCTCCAACTTAATCTGTTCAGGGACTTCCTTTCTAGTTCTGTCCAATTGTCGTTCATTCTTCTCATGTCTGTCTCCATTTCTCGGCGTAATATGTTCCTTTGCCTTCCTCTGTTCCGTTTGCCCTGAGGATTCTAAGTGATGACTTTTCTTGTGACGTAGTTGAATGCTTTCCTCAATATGTGTCCTATCCACTTCCAGCGCTTCTTCCTGATTTCCTCCTTCGCTTATAACGCTGTTTTTTTTTACATGATTGTGAGTGTGCATCGCTTACTTTGCCTATCACATGTTTAGCCTATTTTTAACTGATTACACGTGCATCAAAGAACCCACCCTGGGACCTGAACCTCGTACCGTTCGTTTCAGACATCATCACGTTATCAGCGTAACTAAAGAGTCCAGAAAGTCACTGGCTTGTACAGTAAGGTGACATCAGTTTGATTTAAGCATTCACTTAATAAACTTCGAGCAACTTAGTCGAACAACACATCAAATCAGAGAGAGAAACTCTTATTTACCTACTCAATACCTAGTAATTTAACTCTGCGCCTAACTATAACTGATGAGTAATAAGTAATCTGTTTTGAAAAGAGATGACAAGTAAAGGAAGCATTAAGTGCAATGAGATAAGGTATGGTTAGATATCATGCAGAATGACTACATACTGTGCATTAATAGGCAATTATCTCATGCATTCACATTGCATACCTTGTAATTTTGTGATGATTTCTGTTCATAATGATAAAACAAATGTATAAATTTGAATGAAAATCAATAAATGTGCATACAAACAGTTAACTTATACACACATTAGACATCATCAATCAATCATTGTTAGACTGCTATTAGAAGAAACCTGGAAGTACTGGAGGGCCGTTTCGTCCTGGTATGGAACTCATCAGAAGTGCGCATCCACAAGCCCTTCTTGCCGGAGTTGAACCCAGGAACTTTGGTCCTGCGCGCGAACGCTTAATATCTGGGCCAGTGAGCCGGCATCTAATAGTGTTCATGTTTAACTCTGATATAGACAAGGGTTTTGCCCAACCTCACCCATTGTCTTCGGTAATTACTTCTTGCAACCGACAGAGATGAACTCCACTGGTCACGTCTTCGCACTGGAACAGAGAGAACCTCACAAAGAACGTATGTTCGAATACTGAGAGTATCTGGAGTGGTGGATGCGCACTGCTGATAAGTTCCATATCAGGACGAAATGGCGGTCTATTGCTTTCAGGTGTCTAATATTGATCTAATAGTGGTTCGTTCATGAATTCTAGGTAGAACTAACATCTCCCAATATGGTTTGGAAAGGGTCAGATGAAGACAATACACAGACCTATCTTGGTATACCTAATTGATAGTGGTCACATTGTAGATAAAACCTAATCATCTCAGGTGATCTATTATCCACCTCCATCATATCGTGACGGAGTTCGATATCTTCTGTCACATGTAGCTTAAGCCATAAGAATCCAAACTGAAAACCGCAGTTTTCATGTAATCAGAAGAAATTCGTGACATCCTTGTCCCTTCCTTAGTCGGCTATAAATTAACAGACTATTTTATTTGTAAGCTGTTATTATGATTATTATTTTGATATTTTGTATCTGTTTGTCATTTTCGCCTCTTTCCGTTTCTTCACTTCACTATCTCATGATTTTACGTACTTCATATTTGTTACGTAATTCTGCATCCATGAATCTCGCTACTCTCAGTAATCGAACTCAGAACCTTCGGTGTTGCACATGAAGGCCTAACCTTTGGACAAATATCAAAACAGTTCTACTGTCTTGGGCGGAAACTTGAAGAACCACAAAAGCCAACATCCAATAGATAAAAATGTTCGTTGGCAGTTGTCTACACAAAATACTTCGAATCTGTTTACAAGACACCATCTGCAACAATCTACTGTGGAAGAAAACAAGCCAGATATCGGCAGATGAAGAAATCAGGAAGAGGCGCTGGAGTTGAATAGAACACACATTGTGGAAATCACCCAAATTCGTTACAAGAGAAGTCCTCTCTTCGATTATTCAAGGTCAAAGGTGAAAAGTGCGATCGAAGAACATATTACATTGAGAGTTAGAAACAGATATGAACAGCAACTGGACAGAATCGGAAAATATGACACACAAGTATATGACACATTTCTTACGTTACAACATTTATCTATTACTGACCTCTTTTTCAGTTTGTATTCTGTTATGGCTTAGTTTATACTCCTATTGCAATATGTCAGTTATACTAATGTGTAGTTAAGATTTTACTCTTTATTACTGTCTGTATACGTTTTGTGTCGTGATTGAGTTAAAATTACTGAAGCTACAAGAAGCTGTCAAATTAAAAAGCTCAAATAAGGAAGAACAGAAAGCACACTTTGATTGATTTGTGGTGCCTCCACATTTACATTTGGTTAAGCTCTTTCGATTGATTTATTTAACCAAGCCATTTGTATTGGGAGCAACAATTTATATGTACCATTAGTTCTTATTATTGTCTGGTTTGTATGAGCTCATATGATGTGTCCCACTTGTCATTTGACCTTGTCAACTATTCGTCGCTTTTATTCATGTGTGCCCATTTCGCTTGTCTCATGTCTGTCTTATGTTTGTCTGACTATATACTCTTAGTCACTCTCTATCTCGTTGAGTTGGCTCAACAGCTTTCTCCAATTCACGTCGCTTCATTCGTCTTATTCACTGCTTCTCCGCTTTGCTTTGTGATGTATCTCAAATAAACCTATTCAACAACACTACGAGTTCACCTTCCGATTTATAAAAACTGTCAGACTCTAGTTAGTAACGATTGTCTAGACGAGCTAATTACCGAGCTATCCGAACACGCAATAAATCGACACACTACAGATTGATTGATTGAATTAACTTACATTTTATGTTTCACCGTACCGGTTGTTTCTTTATTCAATAAAGCTTCACGTGTTGCAATAAGCTCTAACATTTTACTAATCGGTACAATTGAATAACGAAATTCATAATCGCCATTATTCTCAATGATCAATTGTCTTGATTTATGATGATGTAATATGAGTGAGCCAAAATTAATATCTTTTATTGGAGATATTGTAAATCTATAAATAAATAACATAACAAGTTGTATTCACGAAAATATTAACCACGATTACGAGTGTACATTTATTATTATCCAAACATTATTACCAACTTCCTGACAAAATCTACCGAAATTCTAATTTACATTATAATCGTTGAACTAGCTTTGGACGTTTTTTCAGAAGTGTATATTCACAGTTTGGTCAGTAATCGAACCCAGTAGTTATTGGTTATGTTGTAAGAGTTTCGAATCTAGACAACTGAGTAATCAACGGTTGTGATGTTTAGTATATTTGTAACTACAATAAATGGAGGATTTCATAGGAGTTTCACATAGTGGAACCGGTAATGCCTGACACATGTTTCGATAGAAGCGAGTGCACAAAACTCGGAAAATACTGGTTGGCAGGTATGCTCCATTGGGGGTAACAGGCGTAAGTAAGAGTGCACACCACTGCCTTGCGGTCGATTGTATTAGCCTGATTTCTTCAGAAGTCGGGAGGCAGATGCCTCTTCTGACAACTAGAGCAACCATTCTTTTAGGTACACGGAAGGTTCGAACATTGTGGGACAACGGAGAAAAGAAGAATGAACAAAAGCTAAATGAAACTGGAAACGGATGCCCAGCGCAGAGTAGGCTGGAGAATACTGGTCGGCGGCCTATGCTCTATTTAGGGGGTAACAAGCATGAGTGAGTAAGTCACAATAATTATCAGCGGACATGGATAAGCACTTGGAAAGCACATCCAAATGATGAGTACCAAACACGCAGAATTGTGCATCCTGCATTCCATTGCTAGCTACTATCCATCTGTACTAGTCGTGCTTGTAATCCAAAAGCAGTATCGAGGCAATCCGCACCAGAAGCACATATGTCAAAGGAGACTGATCGGTTGCGGTTCTAGCTACACCAATGGGAGGATTCTTACAATCAATGCTGGTAGGTCAATTAATGAAAATATTACCAAGAATTTCGTTTCAGTAATGTCTTTTCTTAAAATTTCATTCATAGGACTGTTGTAATTCACGAGTATATACTAACAGCTCAATTTTCAAGTCTCGCTTTCGAGGGTTCAATGGATTTTACGATATCTATGTATCTTTACAATACTGGATGGAGTGTATATAGTTAGACAATCCATTACTGTTGGGGATGTTAGATCCCCAGAGCTCACTTGGAAAAGGTCCTAGTTTTGTAATTTATTCCTGAAATTTTGAATTTAGATGTTTTCGCGCCAAAGACGCTTAGTTAACCTTCAGCATACAGTCCCCACTTGGAAAATCCCTGAATGTCATTAGTTGATCGATTATTTTAGTACGCTGTTTAGTTGCTCTCACCAACGGCGTTTTATCATAGTATAAATAAGCTGGATTTCTGAGCTTGTGGCCCTCGCACTTACTGGTTGCCCGTGAAATACATTCTCTACGTCTTCTCAATCGAGACTTCTTCCTCTAGTTAGTGAGGCCTGAGACGATTGGATTAGAGTAGCGTATCATGTCGCTGAATCACTGATTTTCGTTGCGTTACCGAATAAGGTGACTCGTAATAGTTGCAAGCATATCAATTTCAAATTATGAAGCTATTTTAGTTTACAAATGCCATAGTTTGCAGACAAACATTGTTGATCCAATAACTCAGTATATTGCACATTCAGAAAAGTGAATCAGTGTACATTAAATCTGTTGGGGATGTTAGATCTCCGAAAAATTGGTTTTAAATGCCTTACTTTCGATTTCGCGTTTGCCAGCATGGGCTGATCAACTGACCTTGAGATTTCATTTCCCACCAGGAAAATCCATGGCTGTGATTGGCTGCTGTGTATTTTAGTGTGCTTTTTCCGTGACTGTCCCAAGGACGTTTCTATGATGTATGAATAAACGAGAGTTGTATGCTTGATTGTAATGTGATTGCTGGGTGTTTGTAGAATATACTTTCTACGCTTATCAAGTCTTCTGTTTTGCAGTTTGGGATACATGGTAGCCTATCTGGACGCTGGTTCATTGTCTCGTTCGCGTTTATCGACTGAGGTGAACTCGTAATAGCTTCAAGCGTGCCTAGTGACGAACACTGCAAAATCTCAGAATAACACCATATTCCTGGTTTGTAAATAACATCACAGAGAGAGAGAGAGACTTACTTGCTAAATTCCGCTCTCACTGATAATTTAATCGGTATGGATGCAATCAATTGTGGTGTACCTTTGATATTCGGTTCAATAATTTGACATTTGAGTATTTCTGCTTCTTTTAAAATTAACTCTGTCGGTGCACAACAAGTGAGCTAAAAATTAAAATAAATCAAAATACAATTGAATCCGTAGTTTGAATTTGCTCGAGAAAAACAGTGATGTCATCAAAGAAAAATGAAACTTCTAATAAAATTCAATACAATTTATTTTCAGTTATGTACACAATTGAAACTGATACTATAATGCGAAATCGAAAAAAAATGTGCTGACTAGTGACTAGCTTTGTGAGGAAATCCTCGGATTTCAACCCTATCGGAGGAAAGGCAGTAACTGCTGAAGACAGTGGATGGTGTGACGCAAAAAGCCTTTGCTTGCTCAGAGTTAGACAGTAACACCGTCGGGCACTTGCCGACTCAGAGAGCCAGACATTAAGCGTTTGCGCACATTACCGAAGGTCCTGGGTGCTGATGGCCTGGTGGCTGACGAAATCTCAGCTCGGACACAGAAGGCTCGATTGGCTTTTGCTAACCTGTGACACTTATGGCGTAGGCGAGATATCCGTTTGCTAACCAAAGGACGAGTGTACTGTGCAGCAGTTCGCTCCGCCCTACTATACGGATGCGAGTAGAGGACATTCGTAGGTTACTAGTCTTCGATCATAGATGTTTAAGAAGCATTGCTCGTATACTGTGTGACAACCGAGTAAGCAATGATGTCGTTAGGAAACGAGTACTAGGTAAGAATAGCAGATCAATAGATGAAGTGATGAAACTTCATCAGTTGAGGTGGTTGGGATATGTGTTACGTATGCCTAACCACTGACTGCCGCGATGAGCTATGTTTTGTGGTGCAGGAGAAGGTTGGAAGAAAGTTAGGGGTGGCCAAATCAAAACATGGCAGAAATCCATGAAATCACTGACAAGTGGACTGAGTCACGTTAGTAGATGTAGGCTACGTGGTTGGGGTCCGCGAGACGAAAGTCATCAGTGGTTAGAGACCTTGAATGACATGGCTCAGAATCGTTTGCCATGGCGCAGGTGCATCCACTCTTTGTGTTCCCTCTAATTCTAACCTTCTGAATTCCTCATCATCTTTATCTTTCTCTTTCTAAATTTATTTCACTGAATTATACTTCTCGAATCATATCTTCGCTCCCTAATCTTTTCCATTATTGTTAATACTTGTATAATAGTTATTTATTTAAAATATATTGCATTTCAAATTTTCATCAGTACTTACATTAACTTGAGTTAGTTTATCTGTTGGCAATAAATTGACACGTTGTGGTGACATTGTGAAGATACTACTGAAATCGGTTTTTAATTTTTCATTCTTTATAAATAGAAAACTAGTTTGAGAAGTAGAGAAAAGTTTATATAACATTAAAAGTTGTTTAAATAGTGTGTACATGCAACTTTTGAAATGATAATTTGAGAATTTACAAAAACATGTCAATTCCAATGGTCAGTATACGTATTCCCGAGACATCAAAATACTGACAACTTTAAGATTTTTTATTTCAACTGAAAATGTGTTTGCATCATACAGATGATAATCGATTTTTCAGACCAAACCAACTCACACCTAGAGAGGAGTACTTAGTATTTCTAAAATAATTTTAGATAATTAACTAATGAAGTACAGATTGGTGTACTCAACCTTGGGTCACAACATTCTTTATGCGAGAACTAGTGATATTACTTAAATGGCTAAACAGTAGTGTGTGAAGCGAGGCTTGATCCTGAGATTAATTAATTACGAGTCGGGTGATTTAGCCGCAAAATCTTAGACAGTAAATTAGGAAAGATCTTCACTTCCTTGGGTATAATCAAATTACTTGATTACTGCCCTAATATTAATCGTATCATTTTTTGGGTAATTTTTATCAATTCATCCAAATACCAGGAAAAGTATTGGACAGAGTGTTGTTAAACCAAATGAACTATTAGTTAGAAGCCAAATTTTGGGATCAGCACGTTAGATTCTCTTAAAGATTGACCATGTACAGATCAAATCGCATTCTAAAATATGGATTATTGTGGAACAGTCAATCGAAATCACTACTCTACAACAACCTTCTTGACTGTGAGAAAGCAATTAACATTGTGGAAGCTTCTCCAACACTACGGTGAATCTGAGAAGATAGACAAGGTTACTTAATCTCACCCATTCTGTTTCTCCTAGTGCTTGATTGAATTATGAAAACCTTAACATCTTAGCGGATGCACAGAATACACTGGACAGCTCGGATTCAGCTGAACGATCTAGACTTCATATATCATCAGGTCCTCTCATCCCACACACAACAACAAATTCAGGAGAAGACGACCAGGTTAGCCCCAGCCTCAGCAGTAGCAGGTCTCAACATATACAAATAGGAAAGCAAGATTCTACGATACAACACAGCATGCGCCCACCAAATCATACTTGGTGGAGATACCTTGGAGAAGGTAAAAACCTTTGTATATCTAGTCACGACCACTGATGAGCAAGGTGGATCCGATGCAGATGTTAGGGCGCGGATTGGCAAAGCAAGGGCTGCGTTACTAAAATTGAGCAACAACTGGAAATCAAAAAACTATCAGCCAACACCAGAGTCACCATTTTCAATACAAAGACAGTTCTGCTGTGTAAGGCGGAAACTTGAATCATCAAGAAGATTCAAGTACATACTCAAGATACTGCAGACCCGTTGGTCAGATACATCATTAGAAACCTAAAACTACTGGACCTCCGTTTCGTCCTACTATGGGACTCATCGAAAACACACATCCACCATACTACAACCAGCACCTTCGACCTCATGAGTGACCGCTTGGCATCCACAGGGGTTTATTGTATAATTAACAGTGAAAAGAAAGAACACCACTCAGCTGCTATTGCTTAGTTCAGGTGAAATGAAATCATATCGGTAAATTTATCCTTCAATTTGAAATCAGTCAACAACTTACTTTGTCACGATTTCATAAGGACCTTTATTCTTCAATGTAATGGTATGCTTAATTTCTTCACCAACTTTAATCAGACCAAAATCAATGCCACCATCACTCCCTTGAATGTTGAAATAAGAAAAATCATTATTAGTAGTAGTATTGTTGTGCTTGAGAACTCAGGTGAGGACATCAACAAAATATCTAAGTAAACATTACAGAGTTGTTAGGCCTATTTACAAAACCTTCCCGTGAAAACATCATTTGCAAACTAATCCTTATTTGTTTCATATTTCAGTGTTCTTTCATTTAGACTGTTCAGACTTCGGTTCACTTTACGTTAGCTACAAATCGCCTTCTGTTTCATTCTTTCCTTATCGATCTTTTGCTGTCAGACGTTTGATTTCCATTTGATATCTTATACTACTTATGTGAACATAAGTAGCGTACACCACAGTATGAGTGGTAGTAGTAGTAGCAGTAATAATAATAATAGTAGTATGATTAGTAGTAGTAGTTGTGTGATTGTAACCATCATTTAGATTGACAGTGAACATGAAATCAGTAAAACCGACATGTCTTTATCATGTCTTCCACAGTTTAAAACTTATCGATATTATGCTTTCGTTTAATGAATCAGCACACATTCCACTAAGCCGGATCACTCCAGTTTTATTTTGTGGCTTTATTGATCAACTTTCGAGAATCTATTTGTTGAATTTAAAAATTTCGTTACCTAATCGTATGATCAGATATTGATATTGATGCAAGGGATATGTATAGTCAACATTCTTCTATGACTGATTGTAAGTGGTTACGTATAATGGTCGAAACAATTTCAGAATAGAAATGTATATATATATATATTCTGGGAATCTGCGAGCGATTCCATATTTTACTGATGTCTTATCCTAGTATTGGAATTCCTCAATTGAGTCAACTATATGGTTAGACCACCTACTTAATTACGCCTGTTATCCCCAATGGAGCAAAGGCCGCCGAACATTATTCTTCAAACTACTCTGTCCCGGGCCTTCCTTTCTAGTTCTATTCAATCGTTGTTGATTATGTACATGTCTCACTCCGATTCCCGGTGTAATGTCTTCATTGGTCTTAAGGATTCTAAGTGGGAGATTGTTTTGTGACATGATCATGTGTTTTTCTCAATGTAATTCCTATACACTTCCAGCGCTTCTTTTAAACTGGAATCTGATTTGTTCTTTCCCACAGTGGGTTGTTGCTGATGATGTCTGGCCAACGGATCCAAAGTACTTTACACATAGATAACTGTTGATAAACACTGGTATCCGCTCTATATATTAGAACTGTCTCGACTTTTGTATTGAAAATAGTGACTTTGGTGTTGGTTGATAGTTTTTTCTATTTCCAGATGTTGTTCAATTGTAGAAATGCAAACTTTGCTTTGCCAATCTATGCTTTCACATCTGCATTGGATCCACCTTTCTCTTCGATGATGCTGCCCAGATATGTAAATGTTTTGATGTCTTCAAACGCATCTCCATCAAGTGTGATTTGGTTGGCGTATGTTGTGTTGTATCGGTGAGTCTTGCTGTCCTTCGTGCATGATTTGGCAGTTTAATCCATCGTATGAATTCCATATGATGTTGACTATGTTCTCAGGCACACCATAGTGTCGAAGAATCCTCCACAAGGTTATCCTGTCCACACTATCAAATGTCTTCTCATAGTCAGTGAAGTTGATGTAGAGTGGTGAGTTCCATTCAGTTGATCGTTCCAAAATGATCCTTAATGTTGCAATTCGGTCAGTACACGATCGATCCTTACAAAATCCAGCCTATTGATCTTGAATTTGGGCCTCAACGAAGTCTTTCACTGTGCTTAAGAACACCCTTTTGAAGACTTTGCCTAGTTAGTGAGTTTTAGAGAGTTAGTAATCTGCGGGATGGGGTCGCCAACCATTTGCTCAACCCTCTTCCTCTCTCCGTGCTTGAGACCGGCAGTTGCCCCAGAAGGAGTCCCAGGCGGAGCTTGATCCTGATTGGTGTGTCGTACTTGTCACATGATACTGGCCAATGGTTAAGGACACAACATCAACCTTAACCACTGAACAAACAGTTTAGAAGTTCGTTCAAATAAAATAAAGACTAACCTTTAGGAAATGTAATATCTAAAGCAACATCATAGGCTTCAGCTAATACTTGTATCGTTTCCACTTGTATTAAACCAGCAATATTTTCTAAATCATAAACTTCCAAACGTAAACTTCGCTTTTGATTTGGTTTCATCGATTTCATTGCACGAAAATAAGCATAAACAGTAAATTCTGACTGTGGTTCAACAATACCAGCATCTTGAGATATAGAGAATTCTTCGCCCAGCGCTTCAATTCCAGACAATTTCCATTGTGCTGGTAATAGAGTACGATTTTTGAATGTAATCGAACGTACTTCTTTTCTGTGCATAGAAAATATAGTGTGCAAAAAGGTTTATTGACTAAAAGTAATTATGCGATATTATAAATAGACATGTTATGTGATGTTTAGTTATTTCTGTAATTGTAGGATTATAAAATCTTTGATCAGACATCGGATAATATCTGAGTATTATGTACGTTATTGTTTCTAATAGTATCTATTGTGGTATGCGGTGTGATCTGCGCTAACCCCCGAAAAAGGTGGCAACTTGAGCAAGAAGGCAAGAGTAGAGAAGAAAGTCTACTAGGCTACCAACTAATATGTATGAAAACTAGTCTAGATATTGATATCCAACATCCTTAGAAAAGGGATCCATTTTATGATTAATGATCTGTATTCGTCTTTTAGGTACATTTCTGATGGTCATCAAATGGCCTTCTCTGATTGTTTCGTTACATTATTACCTTCCCATCATTTAAATATTATTTTATTACTACTTCTACATTTCTTACATTTTTGTCTCGTAACCAAAATGCAAAGTTAGACCTCCATGAGAAACCTGGAAGCACTGAACAGCGGACGACAATTGGGTTAGGTTACACAAAACCCTTAGACTGATCAGAGTAAGACACTGACACTGTTGGTGCCAGCTCAGCGGTTCCCACAAGATCGAAGGTTCGAGTCCGTCCTGATGAGATCTCGGATGACGAGCCCCATGCCAGGGAAAAACGGCTGTCCAGTGCTTCCAGGTTTCTAATGGTGGTCTAACGATGATTAAATCACGAGTTCTAATTTACGTAAGCTAAACTATCATATTCGTAGTTAATTGAAATTCAAAAGTCCACAACAGTCAGTTAGAAAATAGTTCCTTTCGTTTAAATGGTGATCCAAAATATTTCGAAGCGTCAAAATACAAATGTCAGTAGACCGAACAGATTACACATAGAACACTGCACCAATGACAAAAGTGACCTTGAACTCGACAAACTGCACCCAGTGGCTATTCACCTAACTTTCTGAACAGAAAGAGTCAGCCGAAATCTATGATATCGAGGGAACTAACACACCTTGATGAATAGAATTCGATCAGTACTATGAGAGTACAAGTATTCATTTTAACTAGCTGAAGTCATTGTTGTTTGTGGTATCAAAAAAAGTAACAAACGACATTCCTCACTGATAGATATTGTGACGTACCGTGTCCTAGATCCGTTTGTAATAGGTGATAACCTTCCAACTTTGTAATGCTTGTTATAATGTTCCCCTTGACAGTCAGAAAAGCAATCGACTAGTCTCATTTGGCATATGTACGGATTGCCTCGATATAACCAACAGGTCACAGGTGTTACAGACAGAGATGGATATTGGTTGGGAGTGGAATCAATGATACGCGTTTCGTCCTATTTGAGATTCGTCAGCTAGATGCACTTGCGAATTCATCTGAAGCAGACACCACCAGGTCCGAGTCCCAGAGTGAACGCCAACTCTAGGATGCAGTCATATCTAGCTTATGAAGAATCTCAAATAGGACAAAATGCACATCAGGGATTCCACTGCCAGCCATCATCCATCTCTCCTCACACTCACTAAACATGTTTAAATCACCCACCAAAAAAAAATTATACTTTACTTAAACTTACCTTTGTAATAATACTTTTTCAAAATTAAATACTTTTTTATCTAATTCCAATTCTGGTAAAACACCATCACATGCTAATTTAAATAAAATCGGTTCTGGATTATCTTTCACTGAACAAACTAACGCATCATCATAACGTTTATTGAATTTTGGCCAAGCACATATACGTACACTGGCTGATTGATTTGGTTTCAGATTTAATTCTTTCGGTTCTACACAGTAGCATTCTTCGTCTGCATCATTTAAAAAGCCTAATTTAATATCAGAATCCATTTGTGATGTATTCACTAAATTGAAATAGGTGATATTTTCAGGATAACAATTTTCTTGAATGCTACAGATATAAGAAATGAATGATGAGATGATCACTAAAACGATCGATCGATCAATCTACGATATGATTATTTAGAAGAAAAGGTTGACAGAAATTTTGGAAAACTCACTAGAAACTATCTATACAAATCATTGTAGGATGTTACTATATGGCTATGAAACATGGTCAATAAAGAGTAGAAGATATTCGTAGGTTACTGGTTTTCGAACATAGGTGTCTTTGAAGCATTGCTCGAGTAAGCAATGCTATTGTTAGGGAAACGGGTTCTAGGTAAGGATGGCAGGTCAATAGATGAAGTAATGGAACTTAATCAGTTGAGGTGGTTGGGACATGTGTTACGTATGCCTAACCACCGACTGCCTCGTTGAGCTATGTTTTGCGATGTAGAAATAGGTTGGATGAAAGCTAGGGGCGGCCAAACGGAAACATGGCAGAAATCCATGAACTCACCAACAAGTGGACTGAGTCCTGTTGGTAGGTGTCGACTACCTTGTTGGGGTCCGCGAGATGATAATAATCGATGGTTAGAGACCCTGAGTGACATGGCTCAAAACCGTTTGCAGTGGTGCAAGTGCATCCACTCTTTGTGTGCCCTGAAATTGTAACCTTCTGAATTCCTCATCACCTCTATCTTTCTCTTTCTAAATTTATACTTCTTGAATAACATCTTCGAACCTTAATCTCTCTGATTACTTCTAATACTTTTACTACCTCTACTACTATGGGATTTGAATTGAAAATTATAACTCTGTGCTAATGTGATATGGCTATTTGAACTGCTGTACTTACGTGCAAAGTTCTACGCTGCTGTTGATGATGATTGTTGGGTGTAATACAACCATCAATTACCGGTTAAGCCTCTGAGTGTCTGTATAAAGTCGACAGTGAAGACAGCCTGATCCCTCTCTCTCCAGATGTGCTTTCATATAGTCACGTATTTATAGCTGTTCCCAGAGAGAGATGTCACTCACTGCATTCTTAGCGTACGAGTCTTGTTTACAAAATTAAGAGAACGTAAAATGTATGTCCGGTGCTTAAATCGGGTTAATGGGTAATGGGATATTCGCCTAGGGCTTCTCTTGTAACACGATTGGGTGATTTCCACAATGTGTGCTATACCCACCTCCATCTCTTCTTCCTGATTTCTGTGTCTTCTGGAGTCTCATTTGTTCTTTCCCACACAAGGTTGCAGTTGATGGTATCTGCTCAACGGATCTGAAGTATCTTCAGCAAACAGATTTTTAGTAATACCTGTATCTGTTGAATGATGTTCTTCATAGATCGCCAAGTCTCCACTTCATACAGTAGAACTATATTGACAGTTGTTTTGAAAATTGAGACTGATATTTTGAGTTCCAGATGCTCTTCAATTGTATAAATTCTGCTTTTGCTTTTGTTAGGATATTCATCCAATATCCTAAGAGAATTATTTGTAAGTCTAATTGTATTGGTCTATTCCTATTGGTCACTGTCACATACTTCAATGTTGTTTCCTATCCGACCTAACAGCATAAATACGCATTATTCGTAACGTTTTATGACCCGGATCACTAGTCCGGGATCCTGATTATCATCTGGACTTGGACCTCGTACTTTCTGGATGCTTGTAGAATACAGGTTCTACTTCGTATCAAGTTTTCTTCTTTACTCAATCGGGGGTTTGGGACAATCGGATTAGAGTAGTCTGTCGTGTTGTTGGATCCTCGATCCTCGCTCTCGTTCAATGACTAAGATAAACTCATCATAGTTCAAGCACATCAAATTGATATGTTTACTTGCATTGGCAACAGCTTTGCCAATCCACATCTTCACATCTACATCAGATCCACCTTGCTCTCCAGATTTGTAAAGGTTTTCAAATCTCCCAAAGTTTCTACATGAAGCGTTGGTACATGTTGTGTTCTGTCGGAGAATCTTACTTTTTCTTTTGTGTATGTTGACACTTACTTTTGCAGAGGTGACTGCATCAATGGTCGTTTAGTAGTGAAGGAGAACACAGGTGGGGCAACCGAATTGTATTTAACGAAAATTACAGAGTTACTCAGTAAAATCGGAAAAACATATCGTTAATCGTTCATTTGCAAAATATCAATCCATCATATCGAACTGGACTGTTCCTGTTGCAAAACATCAATCCGTTGTCACCTCTATTCATGCGTTTCATACACAAATTCCATTGTGTTCTAACTCTTCCTTTCTCTTGATCTTCCCCCATCTTCTGCTGCCAGACATTACGTTGACACTCACGTCATATACTACTTATAAGTAGCTCACACCACAGTCGAATATGCATACACATATATTGTATATCAATGGATACAAATTAATTAATGTGATAAAGATCCTTCATTGAAACAAAAAATTTGTCATGACTCTTTCCCTAGGTTATATTTTATAAACTAACCATAGTAGTATGCTAGAAATAGAATAGAAAGAATAAAATTTTTTTCGCAAATTACCGATCTTTTGACTTTTCAATTAACAATGGTCCAAATTCAAAACATGATGTCGACATCAAATAGACACCATGAACAATTTCACCTTGATTACGGGTACGTTTACGTTTTGCAAAGATTAATCTTGATCACAAAAAAAGAAAATTAAAGAAAAAGTCTCAAATTAGTGCAGACAGAACAAGTGAATTCAATTAAAAAAATCAATCAGTTCAGTAAACACTATGATTCCAAATCAATACTGTGCTTACAAAATTCACTTACTTACGCCTGCTACCCCTGATGGAGTATAGGCCGTCGATCAGCGAATTATTTTACTAGTTAGGGTTTTTTTAGCGAGTAAGACATCTACAGGGTGGAGTAGCCAACCCTATGCTCAATCCTCCTCTTTTATCCGGGTATGGGACCGGCAGTGACCCTACGAGGGCTCCAGGAGGAGTTGTACTAACAAAGTAGTTATCTCAAACGAAGAATAAGATATTACGACTTGATACCAATGAAAGAATAATATGAATGATATCTAGTAAATGCAAAGTATCTTCTGATATGTATTTGTAAGTCATAACTGTTGAGCAGCATGATTAATAAGTAAGATGGATCTGAGGTCAATATGAAAGCGAAGATTGGTAAAGCAAGGGCTACATTTCTACAATTGAAGAACATATGGAACTTAAAACAACAGTCGGTCAACATCACAGTCTCAATTTTCAATACAACTGTCAATACAGTTCTACTGTATGGAGTGGAAACTTGGAGAATTATGAAGAACACCATACAACAGACAAAGGTATAACTTAAGATCTGTTAGCTCAAGATAGTTCAGATCGGTTAACCAGATACCACCTACAATGGCTGAGCGCAAGCCAGCTCCCAATTGAGGGAGAATCTAGGAAAAAGCGCTAGAAGTGGATTGAATATACGTGACAGAAATCCCCAAACTGCTTAACATTTACAAGCACCACACAGAATCCTTAAGGCAACTTGCGACGAGAAAGACTAAGGAACACATTGGGCTGAGAATCGGAAGCTAAAATAAAAAATTGAACGGCACGACAACTGGGTAGGAGAGTTCAGGTCAAAGTTGATTAGAGATAGCTGGTGGGTAGCCTATGCTCCATGAAAGGTAACAGGCTTGAGAAAGTAACTCACTTATAAATGAATAATAACTATACCCATATTAGACAGAAGGTAAGAACGGGTTAACTGTAATTTTACAGCGATTATTTTTTAGAGTTGAATCAGCAATCTGTCAATGGCGAGTTAGTCTAAAATGTTTTGAGTAATGGATATGAGGCACTTAGTTAAATCCTAACTGTTTATGGCGTAGAGTGTTATCGATCTCTGTGTTCTATTCCTTATTTTGACACAACATTCTTAACTCATAATCAAAGATCGATTGTTTTCGATAGATGAAATACTGAAAATCAATATTTGACTATTGAATACATAGTAACTATGGTCATTTGAATACAATCCTTTCTAATCTAGTGATTCCTAGTCCGTTAGTTTAATGCTTGCCACCAGTTGATATACTTGAATGATGTTACGAGTTCACTTTAGTCGGTAAACGAGAGCGAAGACAAATAATCCAGTGACATGATAGGCTACTCTAATCCAAGCGTCCCAATGCCACACTAAGTAGAGGAAGAAGTCTTGACAAGACGTAGAATGTGTATTCTACAAGCACCTAGAAAATATGACGTTGACAGGCACACAGATCAAGTTTATCTATTCATGACAGAAATGTCCTTAGGAGAGCCACAAAAATAGCGTACTAAAATAATACATCAACCAATAGCAGCCAAGGATTTTCTAAGTGAGAAATGTAAGTTCAAGGTCAACTGATTAGCCCATGTGCGAATGCATACAATCCGAAATTAGGACCTTTATCGAGTGAGTTCTAGGGATCTAACGTCCCCAACAAAATGTAACTCAGTTTCAATTATCACACCATATCATCACAACAAGATGACTTTGTGGAAATGAATTTAAAAATTGTAGTAGTGGTATCAGCGATAGTATGAAAATATTCGGTATGAAGAAAATGAGTTGAAAAGAATAAATTCCCTCAATATATGGTGTAAAGCAAGTCTTCTACCCAAAATCTACCGAGTGATGGAAAGCAAATGTATTTGAATCATTGTAAACGATTCTAGGCAACACCTTCAACCATTGGTTATGGAAATCTCCCCGATGCTAACCGGATAATCTCCACGTATCATCAATAAGATTCAGTTCAATAATCAGTCACTTCAAAGACAGGTGTCCCGTCTAGGTTCGAATACAGATGTACATTTCCGAATATGTTATCACTTTGATCGCCAATGTTCTTTGGTGTAGACGCGGTGGTTAAACATACCATATACATATCCCAACCATCTCAATTGAAGAAAATTCATCAACTTGTCAAACTATTTATCATGTTTTTCTAGTACCGTATGTCTAGTCTCAGCTTTGCTTGGCTGGAGGCCCCAACATATTCAGGATATTTGAGGTCAAATATTAGTAGAACAAGAATATCCTTTACTTTGAAAGACCATGCCTCACTCATCCCTTAGTTCTCAGGCAGAGGTCTCATCTGTACGACAAGTGCAAGTAAATACTTGACAACACTGGAAATAAACGATAACATCATATACGGTTTCATAGTTCATGATTCAACAAGTATCTCATACTTAGTGATGACTAAATTACTTTTGATGATTGAAGCCGTTACATATTGATTTTCAGCTAAAGTTACACTGGAAACATGTATGTGGCGCGAGCTACTTATAAGTAGTATATGACGTGAGTGTCAACGTAATGTCTGGCAGCAGAAGATGGGGGAAAATCAAAAAAGGAAGAGTTAGAACACAATGGAATTTGTATGAAACGCATGAATAGTAGTGACAATGGATTGATGTTTTGCAACAGAGGAACAGTCCAGTTCGATATTAGGAACTGATATTTTGCAAATTAACGATTAACGATATGGTTTTCCGATTTTACTGAGTAACTCTGTAATTTTCGTTAAATACAATTCGGTTGCCCCACCTGTGTTCTCGTTCACTACATGTATACAATGGATATCCGTAAGAGATTGTCCTGTAGTCCATAAATATGACGTCATATGGCATTCTGTGCAGAGCTTTTACATTAAGTGCTTGACAAAGTTTTATAGGAATCACCAAACAAAAACTCAAGTTAGACAACCAGTAGAAGACCTGGTCCAATGAGGCTAAACAATGTTGAGAGTAAGGAAGTTGCCCTATCCTACACAATGGAGAATCGTGGGAAAATACCATGGATTAATTGAAGTAAGACTTGCATACCAGTAGATCCTAGTTCAGTGGTTCAGAATTTCAACATTCACATGCAAGACCAAAGATCTTTAAGTGGCTTGTGTTAAATTCGAAGTAAGGCTCACCAATTATTTATTGGCCCGTAACTTGACTCCAATTGGACGAATAGTCGAGTATGCGATGAAACTAATCTTCCTTTCCATTTCAACACATGTGCGAAAGCATAAAATCCGAAATCAGGACCTTTATCGAGTGAGTTCTGGGAAGCTAGCGTTCCCAATAATTAGGATTTGCCTTTCCTAGGCGATTATTACTTTTTTCGGGCAGAGTTTTGGAGGTTTTGTGTTTTTACACATTTGAAATCATCAACCAATCATTGTTAGACCACCATTAGAAACCTGGAAGCACTGAACGGCCGTTTCGTCCTGGTATGGGACTCATCAGCAGTGCGCGTCCACCAATCCTGCTCATTGAAGGATTCGAACCTGAAACCTTCGGTATTGTGCGCGAACGCCGTTGGATGCCGACCCAGTGGTCCGATGGTTTGGTGTTTGCGCACAATACCGAAGGTCCTGGTTTTGAATCCTTCGAGGAGCAGGATTGGTGGACGCGCACTGCTGATGAGTCCCATACCAGGACGAAACGGCCGTTCAGTGCTTCCAGGTTTCTAATGGTGGTCTAACAATGACTGACTGATGATTTCAGATTATTACTTTGTATTACCATTTTTTTAAATATCTTACTCATGTAATAATACCCTAACTGACATAGTAAGTATGGTAACACGTTCTTCTTTGTGTAGCCGAATGATGCTTGTTACATCTCCCTCATTATTGTGATGAAACTCAGAATGTTCGTGTCCACTTTTTATTTAAAATCTTGATTGTTTAAGTTCCAAGGAACCTTGTGAAAGAAGTTAACTTTTGAAAAATTCTTTAGTTCGCCTGATTAACAGATCTCCTTTTGTCTATATATGCCTCAAGGACAAAACTATTTTATAATTGAACATTCAGTAAAGTAAAACAGCGGTGTACACAAAGTTGAAACCATTATTATTAATTAGAGTTATAGAAATTATTGTTGTGTTAGGATATTCATCCAATATACTAAGAGAATTATTGGTCTATTCCTATTGGTTAATCCCTACTGTTCAATTTGATGCTCGTCCTTGATATCAATGTCACGCGCTGTGATGTTATTTCTTATCGGTTGTCCTGACTATCAATGTCACTTCAAATGTTGCTTCATATTGGTCATCTTAAATGTCAATGCCACAGAATTCGATGCTGTTTCCTATTCGACCAAAATGTATAAATACGCATTGTGTAACGTTTTATGACCACGACTACGACCAGGACCAGGGCTCGGTCCCTTGATCCCTAGTCCGGGATCCTGATTCTCTTCTGGATTCGGACCTGGTACTTTCTGAATGCTTGCAGAATACAGGTTCTACTTCACATTCAAGTCTTCTTATTTTTCACTGAATATGGGTGTTGGGATAATCGGATTTGAGTAACATGTCGCGTCACCGGATCCTCGATCCTCGCTCTCGTTTTCCGACTAGGTAAACTCGTAATAGTGCGAGTATATCAAAATGACGTAATTACATGCAGGCGTAACATGTTGGTTATAATTGGAATCATAATCAATCGTTGTTAGACCACTATTGGAAGAAAGTTGGAAGTACTGGAGAGCTGTTTCATCTTAATATGCGACTCATCAGTGGCAGTGTTTATCCACAACTCCTGCTACATAAAATCATAGCATCGGTAGTGTGATTTTGTATCACAAAAGATGAAAATTCAGTTCAAATCAAGAAGTACTGTTTTTTTTAAAAATTATATAACAATTGTTGGCAATCAGTGTTCATCAACGGGATCAAAATTTGAAGGTGACTGATTGTTGCCTGTTTTGTTAGAATTAACAATGAAGTGAGTAGAGTATGGTGCAGAGATTTATGGATTGTCATTAAACTGTACTTATGTCAGTTGACACGTTATTCATGTGTTTGAATTCTTGATTTTAGAAAGCAAACAGGTTGATGTTTGAACAGTTAAGTAACTCACCTTGGTTCACGGCTAATTGTTGGTAGAGCACATATACCACGACAATATAATTGATAAATTCTTCTACTGTTCACTAATTCAAAATTAAAAATTTGATCAAACTGGCCAATTTGATCAGAACGGAAACGAATTCTTAAACGAATTTGTCCTTTAGCTGGTACAATCCAACGGAAATGATTAAGACTGTGTAGAGAGAGGAGAAGAGGAGAAGAAACCCTTTACTTTCATAAATCCATATGGCTTTCAGTGTATGTGAAAAAAATAACAGAAACTAAGTCTTGATAAGTGCTGAAATGAATGATTCGAAATGTATAATTAGCGTAGAACTTTGCACGTAAGCACAACAGTTCAAGTTGCCGTACCCCGTTAGCACAGAGATATAGTTGTCAATTCCAATCCCATAGTAGCAGAGGTAGTAAAAGTATTAGAAGTAATCGGAGAGATTCGGGTTCGAAGATGTTATTCAAGAAGTATAATTCAGTGAGGTTAATTTAGAAAGAGGAAGATAGAGGTGAAGAGGAATTCAGAAGGTTACAATTTCATAGAGCACAAAGAGTAAATGCACCTGCATCACTGCAAACGATTTTGAGCTATATCATTCAGGGTTTCTAACCATCGATTACTATCGTCTCGCGGACCCCAACCAGGTAGTCTACATCTACCAACATGACTCCGTCCACTTATCAGTGACTTCATGGATTTCTGCCATGTTTTGGTTTGACCGCCCCTAGCTTTCATCCAACCTATTCCTACACTATAAAACATAGCTCGTCGAGGCATTCGGTGGTCAGGCATATGTAACACATGTCCCAACCACCTCAAATGGTGAACTTTCATTACTTGGCTTTTTTTAATACTCAAAAAACCAAATCCCTGTAGTAGTAGAGGTAGTAGAAGTATAAGCAAAATTGGAATAGATTAGGGTTAGAAGACATTATTTGTGAAGTATAATCCAGTGAGATAAATTCTAAAAGGGATAAAACGGTTATGAGCGATTCAGAGCATTAGAATTTAGGGGAAGACAAGAATTAGATGAGTCTGTGCCATTGCAAACTATTTTGAATCACGTCATTTAAGGTCACTAACCACCGGTCATGCTTGTCTTGCGAACTCCAACCAGGTAGTCTACATCTACTAATATGGCTCAGTCCAGTTGTTAGTGACTCCATGGATTTGTGCTACATTCTGGTTTGACCAACCCTAGCTTTCCTCCAGCCTACCCCAACGTCAGATACGTCTTATCGAGGTAATCGGTGGTTAGGCATACGTAACACATATCCTAACCATCTCAAATGATGAAGTTTCACTACTTCGTCAATTGATCTGCTATTCCTCCCTAGTACCCGCTTCCTAACAACAGAATTGCCTACTCAGTAGTCCAAAGATAAACGAGAAATGCTATGGAGACGATGATGATCGAATACTAGTGATCTACGAGCATCCTCTACTCTTACTGGCCCTGTTCCACACCTGCATAGTAAGATGGAGTGATCTGCTGTGCAGTAGACTCGTCATTGTGTTAGCAAACGTATATCTCACCTACGCCGCAAGTGTGGCACGTTGGCAAAAGCTAATCCAGCCTTTTGTATCTGCGCCGAGATATCGTCAGACACCAGGCTATCAGCAGTGATAAGACGCTCAAGATAAGTGAAGCGGTTGATACGCTCAACTACTCCACTCTCAATCGCTAGTTCAGGTGCCCATACAAACCAACCTTGAACCAACATTTTGTATTTTGAGGGGAAGAGTCGCATTCCGAACATGCTTGCATGTTGTAGCTAAAGGTTGGAATAACCAACCATTGAAGAAAGTATACAATCTAGCAATTACAGTTAATAATCAATTTCGATATGATAATTGAAATTCGTTACAAAGAAAACAAAACACTTACGGTAGTCCAATCAATAATTGATTCGATTCAATGCTAAATAAAAGATGGAAAATCATTTATTAATAGGTATTAAAAAGAACAAAGAAAACATGACCATTTTCATGATTCATTTTTAATTATTGATGCATTTCATTGACTGAAACATTTGAAGTTGACAAAATTTGGTTGGCCGTTGAATCGAGGACGCGCACACTTCATCCTATTTGAAACTTATCAGAGGCTGGATATTCCTCCTACATCTCAGAGTTAATGTTCATTATGAAACTCGATATCGTTTGATATCGTTTTACTTCAGACGCTAACCATTAAACTTCTGAATTCAGATAGTCATTCACATTTGTTCAACAGGCATGAGATTGAATTCAACATTGAGGGAATAATCCGAATAGACTGACCATTAGCTAGCTAACTTTCAGTCACAATAATAACACGACACGATATTCCAAACCATTGCAAACTTAATTATCTCGCGATCAATATTCTAGGCTTAATTTATCTCCTAATAAGTCTATTTCTATGTCGTTTTTAAATCAAGAATCAAGCATTGTTAGACCACCATCAGAAGAAACATGGAAGCACTGGAAGAAAGTTTCGTCCTAGCATGGGATTCATCAGTAGTGTTCATCCATGAATCCTGCAAGTGGCAGGGTTTGAACCCAACGTTTAACTTTTGATCCACTGAGCCGGCAACCAACGTGTTTATGTCTAACTTCAACAGTGTTGCTCAACCTCATCCACGGTATCTGGTGAACACTGTTTCGTATCGACTGGTCCAGAGTTTTCTTTAGATTGGATTAAATAGATTGTGGATAGCAATCAGATCCAAGAGGAGAGTTTCGATCAGGATTTTCAAAGCTAGCTTTAATCCATCTCTATTCCTAATAATTCCCTATTATATCCATAAGTTCTACTCCTATATGATGGATTAGCAAAAGTAAAATTGGCAAGATTTGACGCAGTCAATCTTGCGTTGACTTTATTATCTCGTCGAACACTGGTGTCTACTCAAACTAAGGATAAGTTACCTGAGCTAACCTTCTCACTGTGCATTTACAAATTCAGCTGCTTCTGTGGAAATAACTAACTATATTGACCATACTACCAGGCAACTTAACTGACGAATGAAAGAACATCTCCCCAGAATGGTTTGGGAGGGGCCAGATAACAACAATACGCAGCTGTCTTTGCACACATGGTTGAGTGATCTAACGTATACCCCCCATCATTTCCCAACAAAGTTCGATCACATCTCTTGCACATATCAGAAACCATGGTAATCACAGAACAGTGAACGCCGATTTATGCGTTCAGAAGAAATTCGTGACATGCGTGTCCATTTGCTGACCGGATTTTAAATATGCCATTTGTTACTGTTTTGTGTTATTTTTACATACTGTATTTGTCTGTAAATTTTTTCGCCTCCTTCAGTTTAAATCCTTCACCATCTCATAATTTTTTCACTCATCTTATTACGTAATTTCAATCAAGCTTTGTTATTATTAGAGTTTATTTAACCAGGTTTGACCTTTGTTGTCGTATTTTGTCATTCTTACCACTACTATCAGTACATCTCTGTCTTCCTACTAACCAACTTGTACTTTTAACTACTATATGTAGTTACGTCATCTCTATTTCATTGTGACTATTGACTCACATAATTGCTTTGTCGAAAATCCGAGGAAACACAAACATGTCCATGTAAATAAATACTCATTGAATAGCATAGAAGAGTACTTAAACACATGTCCTCTTATGTACACATTCGATTTAAAAGAATCCATCTATCCTATACTTACAATTGCCATGTGCTGACCAGTGACTAGCTTTGTGAAGGATTCTTAGAGAAGTGAGAAGTGAGAAGTCTTCAGCAGTGGAGTTCAATTCGTATCGAGTACGAGGCAATCACCCACGCAACAAAATCAACGAGGTCACGCAATATCACAGACTGACTGAAATTTGTTACGCCTGCACGTAGACAGGTCATTTTGATATACTTGAGCTATTACGAGTGACCTTAGTCGGAAAACGAGAGCGAGGATCGAGGATCCGGTGACACGACATACTACTCAAATCCGATTATCCCAACCCCCGTATTGAGTAAAAATAAGAAGACTTGAATGTGAAGTAGAACGTGTATTCTACAAGCATCCAGAAAGTACGAGGTCCGAGTCCAGAAGAGAATCAGGATTCCGGACTATGGATCCGGGACCGGGTCCTGGTGCTGATTATAAAACGTTACAGATAATGCGTATTTATACATTTCGGTCGAATAGGAAACAGCATCGAATTCTGTGACATTGACAGTTAAGACGACCAATAAGAAACAACATTTGAAGTGACATTAAAATTCAGTATGACCGATAAGAAACCACATTGCAGTACGTGACATTGATATCTAGGACGATCATAAAATTGACCAGTAGAAATTAACCAATAGGAATCGATTAATAATTCTCTTAGGATATTGAACGTATATCCTAACAAAATCATAGACATTAATATCAATGATTGCCAACTCTGTAGTCTATAGGTTTAATGTTCGCTTGGGATCAAAATTCTTTGGTTCGATTCCCGTCAACTGGGTCGTGGACGCGTACTGCTGATGGAACCCATACTACAGACGATACGACCGTCCAGTGCTTCCAGGTTTTTTGACAGCGGTCTAACATTGATCGACTCATGATTTCAATGAATATCAATGCAGTCTGATATATCATTCCAGATGGACCGTTTGATGTGTCAGTGATTATACATTTTATCAACTGTTGACTAGCCCGAAAAAATATTGTCATGTGTAAATGATACCCAACTGAAACTTTGTGTATAGGGTTAGCTTACTGAAAGTTCACATCAGTTGCATCAGAATTGAAATGGAGGGAGTGAACAGAATAGGAACAAGTCCTGACTTGATTCACACAGTATTACATAACTAATTTTGGGGAAATTTATTGAATCAATGTCAAATAGTTTGATTGGTTCATAAAATAATCAATTACCTTGACATTTCATCATTTAAAGATGTTTGTTCTGAAAGTATACTACTACTTGTGATAGAAGTACGTCGAAGACCAACACCGCCACCACCATGACCAAGAGTTGTACCGCCAATGGAAACTTTAGATTTACGACTTGTTAATTCGCCTGGTTCTAAATTTTGATGTTTTTGTCTTGGTGATTTGCGTTCTTTTTTCATAGAACGACTTCCTGTTTTACGTGATGAATCGATAACCTGAAATGATTAGGTGTATTTTTTTTTGTAAATAAAAAAAAACGATTGATAACTTTAATTCAATTAATTTGTTTAAATTAGTTGATAAGAATTTGAATCAATGTCCAATAATCTATTGATGATATCATCAGCAACAGTCTACTATATCAGAGAACAAGTCGGATTTTAGCTGAAAAAGGATATTAGGAAAAAGCTCTGGAAGTGGATAGGAAACACATGGAAGAAAGCATGTAGTGCCTCCACATATATTCGAGTTCGCTTACATTTAATTTGGTTAAGCCCTTTCGATTAATTTATTTAACCAAGCCATTTGTATTACAACAATCAATATGTACCATTCGTTCTTATTATTATTGTCTGGTTTGTATGAGGAGCTCACATGACGTGTTCCACTTGTCATTTGACCTTGTCAACTATTCGTCACTTTTATTCATGTGTGCACGCCTATTTCGCTTGTCGCATGTCTGTCTTATATTTGTCTGACTATATAGTCTTAGTCACTATCTCTAGGAGTTGCCTCATTAGCCTTCTCCAACGCGCTTCGCCTATTCATTTGCTTCCTTCGCCCATTCGTTCGCATTGTAATCCTGGGAGTTGGCTCAACAGCCTTCTCCAATTCACGTCGCTTCATTCGTTTTATTCGCTGCTTCTCGCTTCGCTTTGTGGTGTGTTCCAAATAAACGTATTCAACACTACAAGTTCTCCTTAAGATTTATAAACCGTCAGACGCTAGTTAGTAACGATTGTCTGGACGAGCTGATTACCGAACTTAAGAACACGCAGTAACACCACACAATACAAGCACTCAACTGCATCACAAGGCCAATCCCTAACTTGGAATCCTCAAGGTCAAAAGGAAAGGGGACGAATGAACGTCAGTTGGATAGAATTGGAAAAGAAGGTCTAAGACAGAATAAGTTGGAGAATGCTAGTTCATGGTCTGTGCTCTATTTGAGGTAACGGGCGTACGTAAATAATTCAGTAATCCATAGCTTATGAATTCGGATGGTTATCAATGAAATTAGTAAGGATGAACAAAAAATTACAACAGAGCAAAAGTCACATGTCCAATCAATCCTGTGATAGAAATTATTCCAAGCTATGTAGAATTTAGTGACTAAATAAATGAGAAGATGACCATGATTATGGACTACAATAGTTTGTGACAATGTGGAGTTTGTCCCCAACTCAACTCAATTGTTTAAAATAGCCAATTCAACTTTAAAAAATGTGATTCGACATATATATAAAGTCAGCAGATGAATGAAATTAAAGGCACATAACCTAAGAACAAGAGCCAGATACACAACCACATGAGGGCGTACAAACAAAACAACCAAGGTCAAGAGGGCGTAAGGGACAAACTCAAAAATATGTGTAAATGATGACTCGTAATGATTTGATTGTTGAACCTCTTACAGTTTTTAATGTTTCGTGACACCAGTTAAGCGTAAAATGGTTAGATGATTATGGCAGTTGTAAAATTATGTCTTTGAATGTCAGCTCTCTATTCTCTTTTTATTAGAATTAAAAAACTCATGACTTAAAGCACAATTATTCTCAAATCATGAATGGATCATTGTTAGTCCACCGTTAGAAACCACAAAATAACTAGGACGAATATTCCTTCCGAGTATGGGACTCATTGACAATGCGCATCCATGATCCTGTAACCGGAACTCGAACCAAGGACCTCCACATTCCCACGCAAACATTTATCTTGTACAACATTGAGCCAGCGTCCAATGGTATTAATGTCTAACTTGAATCAGTCCACGATATTCTATGACCTCATTTATTGTCTTCGGATGTAAGCAGTTTGTCAATGGAAGACAATGGGTGAGGTCGCACAGTACCGTGAGTTGCAAGATGCCAGCTCAACGGTTAAGAGGCTAGGCGTTCGCGTGCGAAACCAAAGGTCCTGATTGAAGCGTCATGGATGCGTCTCGCTGATGGGTACCGTGTTGGGACGGGACGGACATCCAGAGCTTTTTGGTATCTAACGGTGGTCTAACATTTTACATTCGAGTATTACGAAGATCTTAGTTTCACTTTGAATTTATGAATGAATTATTGTTAGACCACCATTAGAGGAAACCTGGAACCAATGGACGGCCGTTTCGTCCTGTTATAGGACTTATCAGAAGTGCGCACCCATGACTCCTGATACTCGCAGGAATCAAACCCAGGATGTTCGGTCTTGTGCGCAGACGCTTAGCCTATGGACCACTAAGTCCGTATCATCCAACAGTGGTTATGTCCAACTCTGATGAGTCCCAGGATTTCGCGCCATCTCATCCATTCTCTTTGGTGATTACTGCCTACATTCGACCAGGTTGAACGCCACTGGTCACGTGGTCCATATGTTAAGCGTTCGCGTACAAGGCCAAAAGGCCTGGATTCAAATGCAACTAGTACCAGGAATTGTGGGTACGCATTACCACTGATGAGTCCCATACCAGGGCGAAATGCCCGGCCATTGCTTCTAGTTTTCGTCTAATGGTGGTTTAACAATAACTCATTCATGATTTCAATATGAAACTACGATCTCCATAATACTCTAATGCAAAAACACGATTGATTAATTAATAACAACCTTGTGTTTATTCAACGTTTCCAATGTGTCCGCTCCTCCTCCTCCTTCCTGTTCTTCTGCACCTTCTTTCATCAAATCAATAACACTACCTGACCTCAATGTATTCAGCATAAGCATCGCTGGATCACCTTGACCAGAGGTTAAAAATTCAAAATATTTCAAATTTGTGGTCGTCATTGATGATTTTTCTTCATTGATTTTCGCCGCTGCCAATGTTTTCAATGATTTTCGTATTGAATAGCTCGCATAATTCCCAATTGGTGTTTTCACATGTTGATTATTGGTTGGATAATAAATAATTGAGAAATTAGTTGGAGCGGGTATTGGTGGTCCATTCGGTCCAATGCCTAAATAATTGTTGATTTCATTAAGTTGTGGTAAATAATTGGCGGATTGTAATAATTGACATAGTTCAGGGATTGATCGGCACTTCTGGTGTTCTTGTTGTTGTGTTGCATTGTCTTCTATGGTTAATAAATTATTTTTAATTCTAGTACCGATTACATTTTCAACATGAATCACATCGGAGTCGGTTAACAGCAAGCTGATTTCTTCTTTAACCGCTGTAAAAAAAAATTATAAATATATTATAACATGTCGAGTTTAAAAAATAAATCTTGGTTAACCGACAAGCTCGCTGCTGTACATGCACATCACTGCTTTTTAAGCAACACAAGGATTTTCCCTTTAGCCGTTTAATGATCACCCCTGCCCCAATCGGGAACATACATGTTTGTTGTCTAGTATTGGCCTGAAAGCAGGTCGGACGTCGAAAAAGCACGCACACGAACAGTGGCCCTCGTTTGGGCACTTATGAATCGACAAGATCCGCAATCGGCATGAGCGGCAAGGCTGGCTTACCCAGCCGCACCTGGCACCCTGAACGGGTTACCGAGCCACCCAGAAGTGCAGCACTAACCAGCAGCCATTCCATTCATCTGACCACCTTATGCCTTGTGCTGATATAATCAACCGGAGCCCTCAGACCCTACATGAAGCTAAAGATCGAGTTTTTTCCACAAGGTCAGCCGGAACGTACACACTCCCATGAGGAAGATGTCATGGACTCAACGAAGTTCAAGCAGTCAGTCACGCTGGGTTAATCCAACAGAACTGGGAAGACATCATTGGCGTCCAGTACCCTTTAGCACCGGATCACATAACCGAACTCAAGTCCCTTGTTTAAGGAGCCTCGAGGCCAGTTTACACAACACACCGAGATGCAGACCGTTTGGGACAACTACATAGGGTCGGCGTCAATAGTCCAGGATGTCTACGGCTGCTTCCTAAACAGAACGTCTAGGGCCGCCTTCAATCACCCTGGAAAGCTACATCCCTTTAAAGGTATTTGCTACTACGGAATGATAGAGGACAAGTCCTCAAACCATTATTGGCATTTACCTACGCTCGATGGATGGGATTCAGAGTTAGATGCGTTTAGTCCTAATCCCCCAGAGTGGCTAACCTCATCCACATCCTAGCAACCATGAACACATACTATCATTCTGGACCATGCTAGGTACGGTATCCCAAGCGTTCGGAACGGCTTTTAGCCGCAGCGCTGTAAACAACGACACGTTTCCTGGCAGGACCACGAAGTGGTAGCCGCCACCACAACCCCCAGAAGGCTCCTTTTATGCGCGTCACCATTCAATTAGATGACGAGGCATTTGGCTACCTTAGGAGAGTCATAGTTACTCCCGCCAAACTTTACTTTTTTACTTAAGTCTGTTACCCCTGATATGGAGCCTGGAGCCCCCATCAGGCTACTATCGAGTACAACCCTAGGTTCGGCATGGAGTTAGCAATCCCATACTATGGGAAATTAACTAGTGAAAAAAACCGTTAACCAGAAAAATGGAGAGCTTATGAAGTTTGTTAAGAACTAGAAAGCACGGGTAGTCTAACTAACAATCAGTCCGTAGTGTAAACTGTAATGATTTCACTTTTACGAGGAAAACACGATTGAATAAATAGGAACAGTCATCACGATCAAACTATTGTACCAGTCGGTGTTTTTACCGAACATGTTATTTATTCGTACTTTTGTACCATACTTTGCTTCTGCGCGGTCGCCATCTTGGTTTCGCTGCTTCGTACATTTCGTCCATTTTTTCTCTAGTATGATTTCGGTGTTCTTTCGATTGCACGAAATTGCTAGCAAAAATGCTCCTTCATCTGGTTTATCCCTTTTTCCTTGCTATTAATTCATGACAGAATAACTCTAAATACCCGAATATAATTAGTTGGTAGACGTGTTCATAGTCATCCTCGATTTGGACTTCTACAAAACTACAACAATACAGCCACCTCCACCACCATATACGTACTAGAGATGAAATTTATGACGTGTTTCCAAACGTTCTAGTGAGAAGCTTTGAAAATGGCAGTTCAACCATGTCTGATATGAGATAGTAACTTATCAACCTCAGGTAGTGAGAGATTCTTTGACAGTTTTGTGAATTGGTTAAAGTTCTACATCAAACACTGTTGGACGCTAGTTCATTCGCTTAGAAGTTCGGCATTTAGCTCAATACCAAAGGTCCTGAAATCGATCCACAATGTGTAAGGTAATACGCTCAATTGAGGAGTTGTATACTATAATGAAACAATGTGTCCTGACATTCAGTGATTGTCTAAATCAGATCAGTCTGGGATTTGAATCATGATAATAAAAATTCTTAAAACAACTATTTTAATTTAAAAGTGATCGATGGAAAATGTTAGTATTCACCACTTGCTACCTTGAAGTTAGTTATAGTCTGTTTATGGCTAGCATAAGTCTGGTTATTATAACAAATTTTGGAAAAAACCTCAGCTAAAAACGCTGTTCAATCAATTTATAATCTGTGTACATATTATAAGAGTGACCGGTATTATTAAGAGTGATACTAGTGTTTGGGATGTTAGATCCCTACCACTCACTAGGATAACAGTCCCAAATTTGTACTTTACGCTTACGCACGTGGGCTGATCAGTTGACCTTGAATTTACATTGCCCACTCGAAAAAACCCTGACTGTCATTGGTTGATGTGTTATTTTAGTATGCTATTTTTGTGGCTCTCCCAAGGACATTTCTATCATGTAGAAATAAGCCCGATTTGTGTGCTTGTTAACCTCGATTTTCTGGATGCTTGCAGAATATACTCTGTACGTCATACCAAGACTTCATTCTTTACTTAGTTAGGCCTTGGGACGCTCGAATTAGAGTAGGCCATCATGTCACTGGATGATCATTTGTCTTCGCTCTCGTTTACCGACTAAGGTGAACTCGCAATAGTTTAAAGCATATCAACTGACGAGAATATCAACTAGATCTGTGAATGCATTTTTGTCATTACAATTCTCAGTTATATTGTACTGATTCGTGTGCAAGCATTGTCGGAGTTGGGTTTTTATTATTGACTGATATACATTTCTGTAAATATTATGGGTATCATTTCATTGTGAAATATTTAAGCTTCAGGTAATTTCTGATTTTGATCAACTTGAGAAGGTGAAAGCAAGTAAAACCAAATGACGATATCGCAAAGTAATTACACGATGACTTAAAACTCAGTCAGTCAGCAACAACGTAGAACTTCGTACGTACATACGTACATCAGTTCAAGTTGTAGTACCACATTTGAAAACAGAGATCGAATAGTTACTTCAAATCCCATAGTGGTAAGTGCAGTAGAAGTACGAGAAGTAATCGGAAAGAGTAGGGTTGCCACAAAACAGCTCGTCGAGGCAGCCGGTGGTAAGGCATATGTAACACATGTCCCAACCATCTCAACTGATGAAAAATTCACTGCCTCATCAATTTATTTGTCATTCCCACCTACCATTTCTTTTCCTAACACCGGCATTGCTTGCTCGACTGTCCCAAGATATACGAGCAGTGCTTCGAAGACACCTATAGTCGCTGACCGGTAACTTTCGAATGCACTCTACTCCTACTGGCCGTGTTTCACATCCGTATAGAAGGACGGAGCGACCTGCTGTTCAGTAGACACGTCCTTTGGTTAGCGCAGACAGATGTTTTGTCTACGACACACGTGATGCAAGCAGACAGACATCAGTCGAGCCTTCTGGATCCATGCCGATATTTCGTCACACGCCAGCTCATCAGCACTGATGAGAGTCCAAAAATAAATGAAGCGGTTGACGCACCTAGCTGCTGCGCTCCATACAATAGTTCAGGTGCTGACACAACCCAATCCTGAAACAGCATTTTGTATTTTGAGTAATTCACTGTTGTAACTAAAACTCTTTAAACATTAAAACGAACCAAAAAACAAGAAACTACAATTTTAACATCTGAGCAATTTAACAAATTTTAGTCTGATATGATGTGCCACTAAACTGGGACTATTTAAAAAAAATACATGTTTGCTCCTAGAACTGGATTGCATTTTAGGCAACTGAATTCTCATGCCAAGAGAATGACCAGTGGATTTTCCCTAAGATCTAGCCAGATCATCCATCAAAGTAGATTGTTTCGATGTTAGGCAGTAGATTACTGAATGTTGAACATTTTACTGACCATTGACAATATCAGGAGAAACACACTTGGGTCCCTCGGGTGTACATTATGAATAAGCGCTTGTGACAGTACCTGTTCACTTCGAACAAGCATCAAATAAAAACAAAATCAAAAATCAGTGTTGTTTTAACAACTGATGTTGAGATCAATTTCTGTCAATGTTGTAAAGAAATCACATTACCTTCAATAATGTTTGTATCTTTTCTAAATGGAAATTCAACAATCAAATGTGGTATTCCAATAGTTTGTGAATTATTATTATCAATGGAATCTTTTTCATTTTTCACGTCACTTGATTGATTATTAAGTTGATTTTCACGCAAAAAATTTAAATCACAATAGATTGGCGGTAATAAAATATTTGTACTATCATTGACAGTTTGAACATTATTAGTTGGATTAATTTTACCAATGGAATGTTTAGTTTTGTTTAAATGTGTACCGATTGTGTTCGGTGGGAAATTTGAACCACTTTGTCGAATACGTTTACCAACTGGTAAATTGACAACAGTGGAAGTTGGACTATCTTCATGTGATTCCAGCAATGATGTTTGTGGTTGTAATGTAACACGATTCCATGTACTGAGTAGTTCACATATTGATCGAAATTCATTATCGAATGACTTAAACCTGAATGGAATAGGGAAAAAATACATAGCCGTCACTTTAAATCAACAAGCAAAATGTATTTAGTCGTGAAACTATACTATACAGTTTCCTATTGATATAGTGGTACTTAAGGGCATTGAAAGACCTGTACAACTAAATCGAAAATAATAAAATTTAACTATGTCAATCTTATATATTTTTAAATCTATAGAAGAGAAGCGAATAGGAAGAAAACTGTGAAAGCCACCGTCCAGAAGATACAATAGTTTAATAACACTGTCGTCTAAACACAAAATACTTCGGATCCGTTGGCCAGAAGACATCATCAGCAGCAACTCACATTGGCAGAGAACAAACCAGCTCACGGCTAAGGAAGAAATCAGGAAAAAGCACTGAAGATGGACAGGACACACATCGAGGAAAGTACCCAACTATGTCACAAGATAAGCTCTCACTTGGAATTCCCAAGGCCAAACGGAAAGAGGTGGATCAAAGAAATGATTACGTAGAGATTCAGGAGCAAATAGGTAGAATTTGAAAGGAAGACCCAGAGCAGACATACTTACTTACTTACTTACGCCAGTTACCCCCAATGGAGCATAGGCTATACACCATTTTTCTCCAACCAACTCTGTCCTGGGCTTCCTTCTCCAGTTCTGTCCAATGTTTGTTCATTCCTCCTATGTCTTTCTCTATTTCTCGGCGTAATGTATTCTTTGGCCTTCCACTTTTCCTTTCACCTTGAGGGTTCCATGTGAGGGCTTGTCTCGTGACGCAGTTAGGTGCTTTTCGCAGTGTGTGTCCTATCCACCAACTCCACCGCTTCTTCCTGATTTCCTCCTCCACTGCAATCTGGTTTGTTCTCTACCACAGTTCGTTGTTGCTGATGGTGTCTGGCCAACGAATACGAAGTATTTTGCGTAGAAAACTGTTAATAAACACTTGTATCTCCTGGATGATGGCTTTGGTAGTTCTCCAAGTTTCCGCTCCATACAGTAGAACTGTCGTGAGATTGGTATTGAGAATCCTGATTTTGGTTTTGGTTGAAAGTTGTCTGGAGTTCCAGATATTTTTCAACTGTAGAAATGCAGCTCTTGCTTTCCAATGCGCGCCTTCACATCTGGATCGGATCCACCTTTCTCGTCGATGATGCTGCCCAAATATATTAACGTCCTCCAAGGCATCTCCACCAAGAGTGATTTGGTTGGTGCACGTTTTGTTGCATCGGAGAATGTTGCTTTTTCATTTATGTATGTTGAGACCTACTGTTGCAGAGGCTGCTGCTACACTGGTCGTCTTCTCTTATATTTGTTGTTGCGCAGAACAGACATAGTTGCAGAATACTGATCGGAGGCCTATGATTCATTAGGTGGATGGATAACAGGGTTAAGTAAGTAAGTAATTAGAGAAGTACTGTTTTAGACAAAATTCGCATCAACGCTTAAAATACCGACAAAAGCTCAAAAAACTCTTTTTGACATCATCTTAGGTGTATGGTACACTACTTGTTTTTTACGTCCATTTTTAGATGGTCAACCTGCAAAGCTATCATTGTTATTCTGAACGACTTCAGCATTGACTACCTATAATTATTTTGCAAGGTCTAAATCAACTATTCAGATTCCAGCGGAGGAGGAAATTAGGAAGATGCGCTGGAAGTGGACAGGACAAATATTGCGGAAAGCACCCAACGGTGTCACAAAAGGCAAGCCCTCATTTGGAACCCTCAAAGTCAAAGGAAAACAGGAAGGCCAAGGAGTACATTACGTGAACAAATGGAGCCAGACATGAAAAGAATGAACAACATTTGAACAGAACTGGAAAGGGAGACCCTCGGGAAAGTAGGTTGGAGAACAATGGTCGGAGGCCTATGCTCCATTGGAGGTAACAGACGTATATATATGAAATAAACTGTAAAAGAAAGTTTTTGCTACCTACATCATCACATTTTTCGAAATACTTACATCTGAGATGTTAGATGTTCTTCTTCCGTTATACAAACTCCTAATTCTTCTTCAACTAAAGCTTCATCTTTGAAACTGGTTGCAGATCGACGATGTTTTTCATGAGATCTTGATGTACGACGACTAAAAAGTGGTTGGTATTTTTTTTGGAGGGTTAGAAGAAACGAAAGCGTCAGACAATTTTGAACAGATATAAGTGTAATTTTAATATACAGTTCAATTTAAAACACTACGACATGCATTATTTCAAGATTCTTTAAACAAAGGATTTCTTAACAAATACTCTCTTGATTTGGTAAGAAAAGTTAAGGCTTAAGAACTAAAATCATTGTCGATCTGTGGCATTCAACAGATATGTTTTCCATTACTTATGAAGATGTACATAGCAGAATAAAGTTTTGTACAGAAATGAACCACCAACATTTCAAGAAAGATTTCTGTTCTCCCTTCCTATTTGCGTTGGTACAAAGAGACACTTAAATATTTACGTATTTGTGTTTAGGTTGGGGCCTGAGCCTTTGATCAGAAAGTCTGATCCACAATTTCATAGTAACCGGTGACGAACAGAGTAGAGTCACGTACCATTCGTCCCCTCAAGAGGTCATGTGCACCCTTAGTTTTAAATTAGGGTCTTCTAATTCATCTAGGCAGATTCGCTGTATCCACTAACCCAGTTTTGGGTAAGAGACATTCGTTTCCCGTTCCCTCAATCTCATAAACAACAGTCTCACCGTAAGAAGGCGTTGATTTGAACTTCTCTGACAGTAGCTATATAAGTGCGCGACTATATCAGAGCTATTGAGAGGGCGAGAGAATGCGGATTAACCTCACTCTCGTCCGTACCAAGGTGATAGAAGGCGGAAATACTCAAACCAATAGATAACTCAATAGATAGTTTCGCCAACACAAATGAATACAAATTAATAATCGAAAAAGTCGAATTGACTAACCCCTCTTCCACAACCGGTAACGGAGATTTGTCTGATACATCGATTTTACCCAAATTACTAACACCACCTTCTTTTACAGGTTTTGAACTCATTCGACCAGACAATACACGAGGATTTGATGCAGTTGGTTTAGGTAATTTTTCATCGATCCGTTTACCTTTTCTCTTCAAATTACTAAAATCAAAACATGGGATGAATATATGCAATTTGCATTTGAAGTAAAATCATAAGGGATAGACAATATATTAGTCAGTCAGTCAGTTACAGTGTAGAACTTCGTACTTATGTACATCAGTTCAAGTCTTCGAAGCATTGCTTGTATATCCTGGGACACCCGAGTGAGCAACGCTGTTCTTAGGAAACGGGTGCTAGGTAAGAATGGCAGATCAATAGATGAAGTGGTGAAACTTCATCAGTTGAGGTGGTTGGGACATGTGTTACGAATGCCTAACCACAAACTGCCTCGAAGAGCTTTTTTTTGTAGTGTAGGAATAGGTTGGAGGAAGCTATGGGCGGCCAAACGTGGTCGGGGTCCGCGAGAGGATAATAATCGATGGTTAGAGACCCTGAATGACATGGCTCAAAACCGTTTGCAATGGCGAAGGTGCATTTATTCTTTGTGTTCTCTCAAATCCTAGTCTTCTGGATTCTTCAACACCTCTAGTTTTGACTTTCACTGAATTATACTTCTTGAATAATATCTTCCAATCCTAATCTCTCCGATTACTTCTAATACTTTTACTACCTCTACTACTATTGGATTTGAATTGACAATTATATCTTTGTGCTGATTTGGTATGGCAACATGAACTGATGTACTTACGTAGGAAGTTCTACATTGCATCTAACTGAGTGACTGACTAACATCAGTTCAAGTTGCAATAAAACAGAGATTCGATTGTCCATTCAAATCCCATAGTAATAGATGTAGTAGAAGTATTAACAGTATTCGGAGAGATTAGAGTTCGAAGATATTATTCAAGCAGTCTAATCTAGTGAAATAAACTTAAAAAGAGAAAGATAAAGGTAATGAAGAATCCAGAGGATTAGAATTTGAGAGAAGCGCTATGGATAGATAACGTGCATTGGTACATACATTGTTACCTTTCTGAACAGTACAAAGAGTAAATCAACAAAATAAGATGGACATTCGGGTAGTGATTCATTCAGTGATCAAGTTTACGTATTAATTAAATTTCTCAATTTAGGTAAAATCAGCTTTTTGTCAACGATGTTTTAATCCACCTAACATCAGGTTTTCGCGATAGTAACCAATCACATTTCCACAGAGTCAACAATATTTAAGTATGAATTTGAAAAAAATGACTTTATTTCGAATTTGGTAATGATGTAACATTGATGAAAGCTACACATTCTAATCACTGACACAACACACTGTGAAATAATGTGGCTGCCTTAATTTTTGAAACCATGAATCGATCGATGTTAGACCACCATTAGAAACCTGGAAGCACTGGACGGCCGTTTCGTCCTGGTATGGGACTCATCAGCAGTGCGCATCCACGACTCCTGCACCTGACAGGATTCGAACACAGGACCTTCGGTATTGTGCGCGAACGCCTAACCATCAGACCACTGAGCCGGTATCTAACGGTGTTAATGTCTAACTTGATCAATTCACGGAGTTGCACAACCTCATACACAGTCTTCGGTAGTTACTGTCTACACTCGAACAGGTTGAACTTCACTAGTCACGTCTTCCCACTACAACTCGGAGAAGATTCCTCCCGAAGCTAGTCACCAGTGAGCATAGGTAATTTGCATTATGAGTTACACATTTCTGAAACCATGAATCTTCACAACACCGTAACGCCTTAATTTTAGCACAAATTCATCTCACCATCGTACGTAACAGCTAACAGTTTTAAAAAATATTTAGTGACTTCAGCTGCCTGGAATTTCGCAAGATTCACTAATCATCAATCCCAATGTATGTACCAGCTTCTATAACCGATCATCCATGATCTTTCTCATTTGTCATCTTTACATGACTAAGTCCAACAGTAAAGTTATAGCTTAGAATAAAGCACTACATTAAAAACTTGCGTTTTTTTGAAAAGTTTTTAACATTTGTTCAGATTCTATAAGTGTAGTAAACTAGTTATTTCCAGGCAATACTCTCGTATTTGCACTTCGATTTCATGAACCACAAATATGTTATGAATTTGAGATGGCTCAGCAAGTAAACATCAACTCTACGATGACGAGTCCCAAATGGGACGAAACACGCCTCCTAGATTTCACTGATAGCCACATTCTATCTATTCTCAGTGTCCTAGTGCAGTTCAACGATGTCGGGCGTGAAGCAACAGATGAGGTCGCGTTATATCGCGAATTGTGTCAAGTTAGACCCGGACACCATCGGATGTTCACGCTCAAGACCGAAGGTTCTAGGTTCGATTCCTGATTACCGGTGTTATGGATATTCTCTGCTGAGAATAATTCTTATTCTTATAAAGTTGTGCTTATGGACATCGCTTACTGTCAAACAATGAAATCACTTGATCTAAAAACCATCTAAGGCGAAACATTACTCACCGTTCCATTTCTAAACGTTTCGCTTCTGCTTCTTGTTCTTCACGCAACTGTTCTTCTTGTATACGTTTTTGTTCTAATTCAATTTGACGTTTTTCACGACGTATTTTCAATTGTAATTGATCAATTGTGTGACGTTCACTTTCCACTAATTCTTCATATTCATAATCTGTTAAATTGTCCAATTTTTCACAATATTGTTGATTTAATAATATTTGCGCTTCATTCAAATCTAATTGTTGTTCATAAATACATTGTTTATATTGGTCATAATTAGATTTCAGACTTAGCGTATAAAAATATTGATAATTATTTTTAAAACATTTTAATAATAATTCTAAGGTAGATGTGGCATTTTTGGTGAATTCTGATTCCAGTCCATTGATAATGATACCTTTATGCGTTGTTGTTGTATAACGATGTTGATATTGATGACGATGAGAACAATCATGTAATTGATTTAAATATTCTTGTATTAATTGTAAAATTATTTCATCCGGTAGAATGGTTGTATACAATTGTTCATTGTTCAATAATTTCAGTGGGGATTTGTCAATGAATGATTTAATAGAATCATTTTTATTATTATTGAACATTGAAGAATATGTAATACGTCGGGGTTTCAATGTTGAATTCAATTCAGGACTAATTAGGCTCTGTTTGAAAATAAGAATTTAAATCACTGGGTAAATTATTTAATGTATTAAAACAATTTACAACTTTTAAAATATATATATTCAAGTGTTCAATAAGTTATTGAAACTTACTTAGAAATTGAACAACTATACGAATGTCAATCATTTGCGAATAAGCATAGGATGAAGTTTGAATTAGTTTTTCTGGTTAGCGTTTTTTTGGCAAAGTTAGTTTTTGACGGTGATGATCGACTGGATTATGAAGACGTCGACATCTGGAGGGAAGCACGGTATCAACTGGACGATCTGGACTTCGCAAATGATCTGGCTCTTCGATCGCACACTCAACAACAAATGCAAGAGAAGACGACCAGTGTAGCAGCAGCCTCTGCAGCAGTAGGTCTCAACATTCATAAAGGAAAAAGCAAAATTCTCCGATGCAACACAACATGCATCAACCAAATCACGCTTGATGGAGATGCTTTCGAGGACATTGACAGCTTTACGTATCTTGGCAGCATCATCGAAGAGAAAGGTGGATCGGACGCAGATGTGAGGGCGCGGATTGGCAAAGCAAGTGCTGCATTTCTACAGTTGAAAAATATCTGGAACTCCAAACAAATTTCAACCAAAATCAAAATCAGGATTTTCAATACAAATGTCAAGACAGTTCTACTGTATGAAGCGGAAACTTGGAGAACTACCAAAGCCATCATCCAGAAGATACAGGTGTTTATTAACAGTTGCTTCACAGAATACTTCGGATTCGTTGGCCAGACACCATCAGCAACAACGAACTGTGGGAGAGAACGAACCAGGTTCCAGCGGATGAGGAAATCAGGAAGAAGCGGTGGAAGTGGAGAGGACACACACTACGAAAAGCACCTAACTGCGTCACAAGGCAAGCCCTCACATGGAACCCCCAAGGCAAAAGGAAAAGAGGAAGGCCAAAGAATACATTACGCCGAGAAATAGAGAAAGATATGAGAGGAATGAACAAACATTGGACAGAACTGGAGAGGGAGGTCCAGGACAAAGTTGGTTGGAGAGAACTGATGGGCGGCTTATGCTCCATTGGGGATAACAGGCGTAAGTAATTAAGTAAGTATAGGACAAAGTTCATTAGAAACAATTCTATGATCAATTCCAGAAATCCCCTTCATTAATAACAATTATTTGCTTACAGGTAACTGGCTTCATGATGTATTCCTGGAGTGGAATTCTATTTGCGTAAGTGGGAAAGAGAGTTATCTGACACAGGATATGGATGAAGTTTGTGAAACATTATGGACTAACTGATGCTAGATGTCGACTAATTCATTGGCCTATAGGTTAAGTGTCTGCGTGACACCAAAGGTCCACAATTTGATTTCTGCTTTCAGGGATCGTGAATACTCACCGCTGAGAGGCGCCATACCAGGATGAGGACCGTCCAGTGCTCAGAAGTTTCCAATGGTAGTTTAGCTAAGATCAGTTCATGATTTCAACCATGAAAGTCATACAATCTTCACAAATCCCCTTTATTATTAAGTTAACATTGAGTTGATAAAGTATTTCAACAGACACAACATTCAAATCAAGAAGTTTATTCGCCCATCATTATTTCATAAATATTTCGAACTAAGAGATATCTCTTAGGTTATAGCAAATGTAGGCTCATGGGTTAATACTAAAAAAACTGTCAAGAAACACTGGACAAACAAGTTTGTAGTAGTATGTACTAAAACATCTCAGTGTGGTGCGCGCTACTTATAAGTAGTATATGACGCGAGTAAAAACGTAATGTCTGGCAGCAGAAGATGGGGGAGATCAAGAAAGGAAGAGTTAGAACACAATTGGATTTTTATGAAACTCATGAATAGTGAAATGTCAGACAATGGATTGATATTTTGCAAATTAACGATTTACGATATGGTTTTCCTATTTTACCAATTAACTCACCTGTGTTCGCCTTCACCACATCAGTAGTGCACATAAGAAATGAATTTTTTTTAGTTCTAGTTTCGAAAGTCATGATTAGTGGAGTTCATTTGTGTTTCTAGAGTGAAATAATTCTCGCCAATATCAATAAATCAATCAACACCAACTTAGATATCTGTTAGGATATTCCTCCAATATCCTAAGAGAATTATTGGTCAGTTCCTATTGGTTAATTCTTACTGGTCAATTTTATGGTCGTTTTAGATGTCAATGTCACGTACTTCAATGTTGTTTCTTATTGGTTGTCCTGACTTTCAATGTCAATTCAAATGTTGTTTCCAATTGGTCATCTTAACTGTCAATGTCACAGACTTCCATGCTGTTTCCTATTCGACCTAAATCTATAAATACGCATTATGTGTAACGTTATATGACCAGGACTAGTACCAGGACCCGGTCCCGGACTCGGACCTCGTACTTTCTGGATGCTTGTAGAATACAGATTCTACTTCACATTCAAGTCTTCTTATTATTACTCAATATGGGGGGTTGGGATAATCGGATTTGAGTAGCATGTTGTGTCTCCGGTTCCTCGACCCTCGTTGTCGTTTTCCGACTAAGGTAAACTCGTAATAGTTCAAGTATATTAAAATGACCTGTCTACGTGCAGGCTAACCACCGACTGCCTCGACGAGCTATGTTTTGTGGTGTAGGAGTAGATCGGAAGAAAGTTAGGGGCGGCCAAACCAAAACATGGCAGAAATCCATGAAGTCAATGACAAGTGGGCTGAGGAATGTAGATAGATTTAGACTATCTGGTTGGGATCCGCGAGACGACAGTCACCGATGGTTAGAGACCTAGAATGACATGGCTGAAAACCGTTTGCAATGGCGCAGGTACATCCACTCTTTGTGTTCTATGAAATTCTAAGCTTCTGCATTCCTCATGATCTCTGCCTTTCTCTTTCTTAATTTATTTCACTGAATTATACTTCTCGAATCATATTTTCGCTCCCTAATCTTCTCCATTACTGCTAATACTTCTATTATTGCTATCACTGTTGGATCTGAACTGACAGTTGCATCTCTGTGCTGATGAGGCATGGCAACCTGCACTGATGTACTTATGTACGAAGTTCTGCGTTGTATCTGTCTGTCTGTCTGTCTACGTGCAGGCGTAACAATATTTAACACTAAAACAAAACTATGCTTCAATGCTCTTTAATTCTTAATTGTCTGACAAGTGGACTGAGACATGTTTGTAGGTGTAGACTACCTGGTTGATATCCGGAGATCAAAGTAACCAATCGCTACAGATTTTGAATGATATGACGTAAAATCATTCGCAATGGCACCGGGTGCATCCATTCTTTGTGTTCTCTCCAATTCTAATCTTAACTCCACATCTCCTCTATCTTCCTCTTTCTAAATTTATTTCACTAGGTTACACTGCTTAAATAATATCTTCAATCCCTAATCTCTCCAATTTCCACTCATGCTTCTACTACTCCTACCACTAAGGGATTCAACTCGATAATTACGTCTTCAGGCTAATGTAGTATGGCAACTTGAACTGATATACATACGTACAAAGTTCTACGATGTTGCTGACTAACTGACTGACTGACTGAATTCTCAATAGTACTTTAAAACAACTGTAATTATTCTCGGGCAGAGTTTTGGAGTTTTTGTATTTTTACACATATGAAATCATCAATCAATCATTGTTTGACCACCATTAGAAACCTGGAAGCACTGGACGGCCGTTTCGTCCTAGTTTGGGACTCATCAGCTACTTTTCTTCATTGACAATTTATTTCTGTTATAATTAATTATATCGTTTTAATCAGTTTAATAAATGGATATAAAATTTTACAAACTTACCATATCATTCAATTTCTTAGTTATATTCAATAGATCACGTTGTCCGGCAATTTTAAATGGAGCTTGACCTTGTCGATTAATCGATAATTTGTGCTGTCTTTCTTGGTGGCCTGCTTTTAGCTTTGACTGTTCGCCATCAATAGATGTGATAGATGAATGATTACCTGTGCAAAATTATTCAAAATTCAATTTTAATAAAATGATATATTATTACAATCTGAAAGCATTCTAATTGAGAGTCTGACATAATGATTGATCGGATTAAACTCAGCTTCATCCATCATGAAGTAGCTAGCTAACTGGATAACACGATATCGTTTGAAACAAACGGTACGGTACTGGGTTCAAGTCTTTGCGTGAAAAAATCGACTCTGAGATGCAGGTGCATCCAGTCTATGACAAGTTTCAAATTGGATGAATTCGCATCCTCTACTGAATTGTTAGTATTACGAATGTGAGTAAACATGTCAATTTGATATGTTTGAACTATTACAAGTCGGAAAACGAGTGCGAGTATCGTGGATCCGGTGACATGACATGCTACTCTAATCCGAGTGCCTCAAACCCCCATTGAGTGAAAGAAGAAGACTTGATATGAAGTAGAACCTATATTCTAAAAGCATCCAGAAAGTACGAAGTCTGAGTCCAGAAGAGAATCAGGATCCCAGACTAGGGATCCGGGACCGGGTCCTGGTCATGGTCATAAAACGTTAGAGATAAACATTTAGGTCGAGTAGGAAACAGCATCGAATTCTGTGACATTGACAGTTAAGACGACTAATAGGAAAAAAACATTTGAAGTACGTGACATTAATAGCTAGGACGATCATAATATTGGCCAATAGGAATCAACCAATAGAATTTACACTTACAAAATGATTCTTCGTAGGATATTCATTGAATATCCCAACAGTTAGCCACATCCTGAGTGTAAAAATCTGATATTTGATTACTTGAATTATAGAAGAGTTATAGTTTTACATTAAATGAATACAATGAAATTCTACTAATACTGAAAAATATAACTCCACTTGGAGTATTTCTAGAGTTCTTACTGGTCTTAAGACCGAATAAAGGGGAGTGTAGTAAAGGAAGACACAGGTGAGGGCAACCGAATTGCATTTTGCGAAAATTACAGAGTTACTCAGTAAAATAGGAAAACCATATCGTAAATCGTTAATTTGCAAATCTTTAATCCATCATCAATCCATTGTCTGACATTTCACTATTCATGCGTTTCATACAAATTCCATTGTGTTCCCACTCTTCCTTTCTTGATCTTCCCCCATCTTCTACTGCCAGACATTACGTTTTCACTCGCGTCATATACTACTTATAAGTAGCGCGTATCACAGGAGGAGGGTTGGGCCTGGGGATTAGTGATCGCATTCATGTAGAAATCCAACTCACTAAAAAAACGCTAACAGGCGTAATACTTAATTACTATCTTAGTCAGTTTTCTTAACAATTCAGAAGTATCTTTATATAAATTTTCACTAAAAATTAAACGAAATGGGAGGGAGAGAGTTCCTGTGTTTGCTTCATCTGTTTTGAAAGCATGGATCGATCAATGTTGGACCACCTTTAGAAACTCGAAAGCACTGTGAACCCCTTTGATCCTGGTACGGGATTCATCATCAGTGCATATCTACGATTCCTGCCACTCACATGACTCGAACCTTCAGTCGTGCGTACCGATTCCTAACCTCTCGACCACTGAGCTTGCATCTAACTGATATGTTCGTCACTAGGTACGCTTGAAGCCATTACGAGTTCACCTTAGTCGATAAACGCGAACGAGACAATTACCAGCGTCCAGATAGGCTAACTTGAATCCCAAGCTGAAGACATAAGGCTTTGTAAGCGTAGAAAGTATATTCTACAAACACCCAACAATCACACAATACAATCAAGCACACAACTCTCGTTTATTGATACATCATAGAAACGCCCTTGGGACAGTTACGAAAATAGCACACTAAAATACACAGCAGCCAATCACAACCATGGATTTTCCTGGTTGGAAATGGAATCTTAAGGTCAACTGATCAGCCCATGCTGGCAAACGTGAAATCCAAAATAAGGCATTTAACAAGCGAGTTTTGGCGATCTAACATCCCCAACACTAACGATGTTAACGCCTAACTCTGATCAATCTAGGAAATGTTGCACAATTTGACCCGTTTGTCCACCGTAGTTTGTGCGCACTACACCCGACAGAGTTGAACGCCGCTGGTCACGGCTTCTCTGACTAGAACTCCGAGAAACCTCCTCACGAAACTAGTCACTAACTAGTTAGCGTGTTGTATGATTGTTTTTCAAACAACCATCTTCATAACTCTAATCTAAACAAAAAAATGACAAATTTACTCATTTACCTTCCTGAATCGTTTCCTCTTTTGGCCCATTATCCAATAATTCTGTTGGTGAATCTAATTTAATTTCTAAATCGGTCATCATTTGTAATTGTTGTTGTGACTGATCATGGTCTAGTTGTTGTTGCTGCTGTTGCTGATGTTGCTTTTCAAGTAATTTTGTTTGAATCAATTCCAAACCGACATTCAAACACAATTGTCTTGCTTGATAAGCTGCCTCTGTGGTACTAGTCAATAAAGCTTCAATAATAATTTGATTTAAATTGAATATCATGGCTTGATATTCATTGGCTAAATTGTTGACAATCTCTGTTGAAATTAGAAAAATAAACAATAAGATATGTAGTTAATTTGTATGACAGAGTTGTGTGAGTCTGTCAGTCAGTCAGTCAGTTGCAATGTAGAACTTCGTACGTATGTACATAAAGTTCACGTTGCCATACCACCACATTAGCACACAAAGACGCAAATGTCAAAGCAAATCCCAATAGTGATAAAGATAGTAGAGGTATTAATGGTAATGAGGAAGACTAGGGTTTGAAGATATTATTCAAGAAGTATAATTCAGTGAGATAAGGTTAGAAAGAAATAGATAGAGGTGCTGAGGAATCCAGAAGATTAGGATTTGAGAGAGTTCAAGGAATGGATGCACTTGTGCCGTTGCAAACGATTTTAAGCCATGTCGTTCAAAGTCTCTAACCATCGTTTACTATCGTCTCGCAGACCCCAACCAGGTAGTTTATATCTACCAACATGACTCAGTCCACTTGTCAGTGACTTCATATATTTCTGCCATATTTTGGTCTGGCCACCCCTAGCTTTCTTCCAACCTATTCCTACACCACAAAACATTGCTCGTCGAGGCAGTCGGTGGTTAGGCATACGTAACACATGTCTCAACCACCTCTACTGATGAAGTTTGAATACTTCATCTATTGATTTGCCATCCTTACCTAGAACTCGTTTCCTAACAACAGCACTGCTTACTCGGTTGTGTGAAATTATGTTGAGTTCCTTTGAAATCATGAATCGATTCTTGCGAGAGAGGGGATTGTGCATCCGCGCTGCTAATGAGTCCCAGATGAGGATGAGAGGGTCGTCTAGTGCTTTGAGGTTACTAATGGTGGTCTAACAATGATCGATTCATGATTTCAATGATATTATAGAGAAATGTTGAAAGGGAAAACAGCATGATTTTAGATCTTAATTCGAATCCACTCTCCTCATTCTTGTTTAATTTTATCATACACAAGCTCTTAGATATAACCTTATCCTCGTCCGACTTTTCAGGAGTCGACTTTCTACCAGAAAAGTCGCTTAATGATCTAGAATATACCGATGACATAGTTCTATTCGGTGAAGACGCTGATAAAATGCTGAGTCTTCTGACTACCCTAAGCAACAATGCAAGCATGTTCGCGATGCGGTTTTCCCCCTCGAAATGCAAACTGTTGTTTCAAGACTGGGGTGCATTGGCACCAGAACTAGTGATAGGGAGTGAAGTAGTCGAACGTGTAGACTGCTTCACTTCTCTGGGGAGTCTCATCGGTGCTGATGGCTTGGTGAATGACGAAATCTCAGCTCGGATACAGAAGGCTCGATTGGCTTTTGCCAACCTGCATCACTTATGGCGTAGGCGAGATATCCGTTTGCTGACTAAAGGACGAGTGTACTGTGCAGTAGTTCGCTCTGCCTAATATAAGGATGCGAAACATGGCTGTTAAGAGTAGATGACATTCGTAGGTTACTAGTCTTCGATCATAGGTGTCTTCGAAGCATTGCTCATGTATTCTGGGACGACCGAGTAAGCAATGCTGTCGTTAGGAAACGGGTGCTAGGTAAGGATGGCAAATCAATAGATGAAGTAATGAAACTTCATCAGTTGAGGTGGTTGAGACATGTGTTACATATACCCAACCACTGACTGCCTCGACGACCTATGTATTGTGGTGTAGGAGTAGGTTGGAAGAAAGCTAGAGGCGGCCAAACCAAAATATGGCAGAAATCCATGAAATCACTAACAAGTGGACTGAGTCATGTTGGTAGATGTAGACTACCTGGTTGGGGTCCGCGAGACGAAAGTCACCAATGGTTAGAGACCTTGAATTATATGGCTCAAAATCGTTTGCAATGGTGCAGGTGCATCCACTCTTTGTGTTCTATGAAATTCTAACCTTTTGAACTCTTCATAATCTCTATCTTTCTCCTTCTAAATTTATCTTACTCAATTATACTTCTCGATTCATATCTTCGCTCCCCAATATTCTCCATTGCTGCTAATACTTCTATTATTGCTATCACTCTAGGATTCGAACTGACAGTTGCGTCTCTGTGTTGATATGGTATGGCAACCTAAACTGATGTACTTACGTCCGAAGTTCTGCGTTGTTTCTGTCTGTACTATTCGAATGGAGGTTAGTCATAATTTGAATGGGGATAATAGTAACATTTCTAATTCACAATGAATAACATGTGTTTTGATCAACAACGAAATATTAATTCTCACAAAATCAGAGCTAGACTGTGCTTACAAATACTTACATACTTACTTACTAATGCCTTTTTTCCTCTACTGGAGCATAGACCGCCGACCAAGATTCTCCAGCCAACTCTGTCCTTAGACTTACTTTCCAATTCTAACCAATCGCTATTCATCATTTTGATGCTTGCTTCCAATTCTCAGAGCACTATCTGTATGTTCAATTTGCTCACAAATACCATCTTTCTAACATAAAACTCAATGCTAAAACTTCTTGTTGACTGTTTAAAACGATCTTACATATTTCAGTTTAAATAATTGGGAAATTCTTTAGTCTAAGTTAAAAATAAGTTATTAGCAAATAACCATTTGCAAGGTTTCCACCATGGTGGAACAGGATATCGAAAGATAAAGTATTGAAACTTGTTCAGTTGAGGCGATCGGGACACGTATTATGAATGCCCAAGCACCGACTGCCTCGATGAGCGATGTTCTGTGGTGTAGTAGGTTGGAAGAAAGTTAGGGGCGGCCAAACCAAAACATGGCACAAATCCATGAAGTCATTGACAAGCTGACTAAGTCATGCTGGTGTGCGTAGACTACCTTGTTGGGGTTTGTGGGACGAAAGTCATCGTTGGTTAGAGACCTTGAATGACATGGCTCGAAATCGTTTGCAATGGCGCAAGTGCATCTCCCCAATTTTTGTTATTACTTCGACTACCTCTACTATTATGGGATTTCGAGTGACAATTTCGTATCTATAGATCGTTTTAGAGCGATCGGTGAAGTGAAAATCACCACTCCATATCAGGCTTCTTTACTGTGAGAAACGACAGCATTCATAATAGGAAAACTAAGATTTTGAAGTTCAGCCAACAGAGCACCAAACAAATCATACTTGATAGCGAAGCTGTAGAAGATATGGAGATCTTTACATATCACTGATAAACAGAAAAGATATGATGGCAAAGCACGGTCAGTATTTATACAACTCAAAACGACAGTTAACCAACTCTCCCTAAGTCGCAATTTTCAATAAAAACTTCAAACCAATTCCATTGTTAATACCATGAATCGATCAATGCTAGACCACCATTAGAAACCTGGAACCACTTGACGACCGTTTCGTCCTGGTATGGGTCTCCTCAGCAGTACACCGTGTTTACCGAAGACTGTGTATGAGGCTGCGCAACTCCGTGAATTTGATCAATTTAGACATTAACGCCGTTAGATACCGGCTCAGTGGTCTGACGGTTAGGGCTTACGCGCTCAATACCGAAAGTTCTGGGTTCGAATCCTGTGGAATGCAGGAGTCGTGGATGCGCACTGCTGATGAGTCTCAACCAGGACGAAACGGCTGTCCAGTGCTTCCAATTTTCTAATGGTGGTCTAACACACGCAAGTAAGCACTCAAATCATCTCTACACACACTTTGCTACTATTTTTTTTAATCAACTTACCATGTCTTATGGATTCCAATGCTCCATTGACTAGAATCACTATACCAAATTTCCCATATTTACTAGGATCTTGCATTGAATCCACACCTAAATAACGTGTTAAAGCTAGTGACACAGGTGTTACATCGAATGTTGGTTTTCGTTGATTGAAATTTGATAAATCCGTTGATAGATTTTCATGAAGAAATAATTCAGACAACAATGTGGTTGGTTTATCGAATTTATGCGGAGGTTCTAATAATTCATTTGTAGTTGTTGTAGTTGTAGTTGTTGAATTGGTATTATTTGTCGGTGTAGTAGTTGTATTCGTTGTGCTTGTACTGGATTTTTTCAACTCTTTCAATGATGAAGATGATGTTGCTGTTGTTAGCGTTGTTGTTGATGTTGTTGATGATGAAGAAGAAGAAACTCCAATGAACTGAATGAAAGAGGGAAAAAAAGATAGGGGGGGAACATGAAATATCTATGTGAATAGAAGTTGTCTCGTTTGTGATGAAAGTGAAATTGAAATGATGGAAAAAAGAAAAGACAACCATGAAGTAATATGTGCATTATGAGGTTGGGAAGATTGTTGAGTTACTTTTTTCAACAGTGAATAGAACGAATGAAGCGACGTGAATTGGAGAAGCGCGTTGAGCCAACTCCCAGGATTACAATGCGAACGAATGGGAGAAGGAAGCGAGTGAATAGGCGAAGCGCGTTGGAGAAGGCTAATGAGCCAGCTCCAAGAGGCAGAGAAAGACTAAGAATATGTAGTCAGACAAATATAAGACAGACATGTGACATGAATAAAAGTGACGAATAGTTGACAAGGTCAAATGACAAGTGGATCACATCATGTGAGCCCATACAAACCAGACAATAATAAGAACGAACGGTACATATAAATTGTTACAATACAAATGGCTTGGTTAAATAAATTAACCGAAAGGGCTTAACCAAATTAAATGTAAGCGAACTGGAATATATGTGGAGGCACTACAAAATAATATTTGCATTATGAGGTTGGGGAGATTGTTGAGTTACTTTCCGAAATCATGAATCGATCAATGCTAGACCACCATTAGAAACCTGGAAGCACTACGCGGCGGTTTTGTCCTGGTATGAGACTCATCAGTGGCTGTGTACATCCACAACTCCTACCACTCCCACTATTCAAACTCAGGACCCTCGGCCTTGCACGCGAACGCCTAACCTCTGGACCACTCAGATAGTATATAACGGTGCTAATGACTAACTTAGATCAATCCACGGTCTTTCCAAACCTGCTTCACATCCGATCAGGATTGAACTCTACTGGTCACAACTTCTACCAGGATGAAACGGCCGTCCACTACTTCCACGTTTCTCAAAGTGATCTAACATTGAACAACTCATGATTTCAATAAGTAATATCATGCTTTAGCTCTACTAGGACACTTTTTAAAAATGTAAAAATATTGCTGTATACATTAACAAAATTTAATGTATACGATGTCATCTGAGGCATAACCGACCAGTAATCTACATTAATTGAAAGCAGTTTAATAAATACTTACAAATATTTCTGAACTGAAGCATAGTACTCACTATTAAATTAAGTAGTATATTTCTCTGCTCATGTGTAACAGTTTTGTCTGTGTATAGTGTTTGAAGAAATGAAAATTGGTTATTCCACGGTTTTAGTGTTACCAATTACCTTCCAACTACAGGGTGTTAGTTGAACACTTGAACGTATGATAATAAATATTATTATCATTACTGAGTGGTGATTAGACATTTTGTATGATGCCTTTAGTCCCATCGCTATTCTAAAGCATTAAAACCGAACCAAAGGTCTTCAAGAAATCTGAAATACAGTCCTACAGAAGCTGATCGATCAATGTTGACTTGAAAAGTTCAAAATCACTCAGTTTGTTTGTGCATATGAAATCAAGTATATTCAGGGGTGTGTCTGTTAGTAAATTGCTTGTATGTACAACACGAAGACCTCAGTTTATATGCTTGTTACTGTACCGCACAAAACTAGAGTGGACACGTTTAAGTGTTCATACTTCATGTATATACACAGTATTAGGTTGATCTTACTTACTAACTTACTTACTTACGCCTGTTACCCCCCATGAAGCATAGGCCGTTGACCAGTATTCTCCAACCTACTCTGTCCCTGAGTTTCTTTTCCAGTTCTGTCCAAATTTTGGTTGATCTAACACAGGATATGTGTAAAATGACCTTGCTTTTTTGGCATATCAAGATAAATAAATCTATTCGTTCTTCGAAACAATGGCTAAGTCACTTTTGTTTCCATTGATGATTTCAAACTTGGATGAGAAGCAAGTGAGTATCAGCTCCAAAATAAGAAGGACATCTTGGCACAAAATCTACTTGAAACAATCATCACGAAACAAACGAAACAAGTTGCTAAATAACCCAATTTATTCTGATTCATATTAACCAGTGTTGTTTACTTCAAACTAAGGAAAATAATTATGTTTTTCCATACTGTAAACCCTACTACTTAATAAGGTCATCTGACGTTTTTGGATATAAAATTTAAACTACTGAAAATATTTATAGTAGACAAAACAATTAATGCAAAAAAAATTCAATCAGATGATAATTACTTTTAATTCTTTAATATTTTTTTCATCACTATTTTCTTGACGAATAGTTTCATCCAATTCATCGGATAATTTAGTATTGACCATTTTATTAGCATATTCTTCATAATAAGATAGAATCTCCGAAGGTAATGCATCGCCTGGTTTACGTGGAGGCAATATTAACCTGCCGTATTCATCGTAACCATCAATGAATCTTAATATTTCATCTTCCTTGATGAAAAGAAAAGAAGGGGAGAAAAGGAAAATGTTTGGTCAATTCGAACTACTTATTTCACACCAGTCAACACAATCATTTCAATTCAATCTCGAAATGAAATTTTTATAGGTTATTTAGATGGAATTGAGGTTGAGACATACATTACAAATGCTCAACCACCGATTACTGCCTTAACAAACGATGTTTTGTAGTGTAGGTGTAGGCTGGAAGAAGTCTAAGGGCGGCCAGACTAAAATATGACACAAATACATGGATTCACTAACAAGTGAATTGAGCCATCTCAGTTTATGTAGACTGACTAACTGGTTGGTGTCCGCGAGAGGATAGTAACCAATGATTAGAGACGTTGAATGATATGTCTGAAAATCGTTTCCAATGGCACCGGGTCAGCCAATCTTTGTCTTCGCTCAAATTGTAATCCTCTGAATTTTTGTCACTTTTATCTTTCTTTTCTAAAGCTTATTTCACTAGATTATACTTCTTGAAGAATATCTTCGAACCCTTATCCTCTCCGATTAATGTTAGTACTTCTACTATCTCTGCCACTCTGAGAGCTGAATCGACATTCAGATAGAGGCAACGACAGGTCAAAGATCAATAAAAGCCAATTAACATCAAAGTCAACAGGACAGACCGTGAGTCATACATGTAGAAATTCGAAAACTTGATTTCTAACTGAAAAAATTTGTCCTGATGATTTTGTTCGGACGAACAATCAAAACTCCATAACCAAAACATTCAGCTTAGGTACTGCTTTGAGAAATTATATGCTTAGAATCAAAATTATTCATCTCCAATATTAAGCTTAGTGTAAACTGACATAATAGGTTGACTAAAATATCAGAATCATTTTCATAAGTATGTATCCGTTAATTTCAATTTCCACTTGTCATTGACTTCATGGATTTGTGCCATATTTTGGTTTGGCCGCCCTCAGATTTCTTCCAGCCTCCTACTACACCACAAAACAAAGCTCGTCGAGGCAGTCGGAGGATGGGCATTCGTAACTCATACCACAACCATCTCAACTGATGGAGTTTCACCACTTCATCAGCTGATGTGCATGCAGTCCTTACCTAGTACCCTTTTCCTAACGACAGCATTGCTTACTTCGTTGTCCCATGATACAACAGTAATTTTTCGGAGACACCTATGATCGGAAACCAGTAACCTACGAATATATTCTACTCTAACTGACCATGTTTCACGGCCATAAAATAGGATGGAGCGAAGTGCAATACAGTAAGTAGACTCATCCTCTTGTCAGCAGACAGATGTCTCGCCTATGTAAGTGATGTAAGATATCAAAAGCCAGTTGGGCGTTCTGCATCTGTGTTGATAGTTCGTAAGATACCAGGCTATCAGCACCAATAAGACTGCTAAGACAAGTGAAGCAGTCAACGCGTTCATCTACTTCACTCACGATCACTTCGAGTTCAGGTGCCTATGCAAGCTAATTCTGAAGCAATATTTTACATTTCGATGGTGAGTATCGTATCTCGATCATGCTTGCATTGTTGCCTAACTCATGTATATGTAGGTCATCAATCAAACGTTTTAAATATATAACCATGATGTAACACGCCATGTTGGATGTTAAATCGATATTTACATAAATTAATTCATGTGTGTTGAAATCTCTTTTACTATATCACAAGTGAAATATTCACACTTAGAAAACCAGGCATGTTATCAATCACTAATATATCGATTTTGATAATACGCCTTGAATCTTATCAGTTCACTTTCAGTGTTGGTTTTTATTATGTTCGTCACTAAGTATACTTGAGGCTATTACGAGTTTACCTTAGTCGATAAACGCAAACGAGATAATTACTAGCGTCCAGATAGGCTACCTTGAATCCCAAGCTGTAAACAGAAGGCTTTGTACATCATCGAAACGTCCTTGGGACAGTTACGAAAATAGCACACTAAAATACACAGCAGCCAATCACAGCTATGGATTTTCCCTGGTGGAAATTGAAATCTCAAGGTGAACTGATCAGCCCATGCTAGCGAACGTGAAAACCAAAATAAGGCATTTATTAAGGGAGTTTTGGGGATCTAGCATCCCCAACAGTTTTAACCCAGTGATATATATTCAATGAAGTAACAGTTTTTAGTGTTAAATATATCTATAGTTTAATTGACTTGATAATATTAACTAAAAATAAAATAGATTATTCAGATCGATATTTGGATAATCTGTACTGTTTGATGAATACAGTTGATGTGTATAATATTCTCTGTCTTAATAAACAACTCGTACACACCTCTTTACTTCTTAACAGAATCCATGTTATTTCGAGATGATGGTGGAGGATATTTGTAGTTCAGGGGGATGATGATAGTGGTGGTGTTTCGTTATCTGAGCTGGATATTTTTTGTTTGTAAAGCTTTCATTGTTTTTCTTGTGGTGGTGTTTTGTTCTCTGAGCTGGTTGTTTTGGTTGTGGAGCTTTCATTGTTCTTCTGAACAACATCATCAGCACGAACTTCAGATAGAAGTGAAGCATTAGAATTTCTCCACGTTTGACCCGTAGCTTGTTCTGCTAACCTCAATCCTGATTGGTTGCTGTTGACCTCTGACCTGTCGTTGTTTGCAACTTTGTTTTTATTGCCTCCCCCTTTTGATCTGTTTCTTGATCCTGTGTCACCAATCATTTTCCTGATTGGTTGATAAATTGGGTCAATGTCGATGTGTTTGTTGCAGAGACTGGAAGCGTCGATTCTGCCAGTGATCAAGCCAAAAATGTGGGTTCGCTATGTAGACGACACATTCGTTATTATCAAAAGGAATGAGCTGGAGAACATCTACAATCAGATCAACAACGTCTTTGATGACATCAAATTCACGATGGAAAAGGAATCAAACAACAGCCTATCATTCCTGGATGTACTAATCACCAGAACTAACACAGGAAAACTAGAAACTCAAGTATTTCGGAAGCCAACCCACACCGACGTAATTCTCAACTACGACAGCAACAACCCAAGAACCCACAAGATTAACTGCATACAAACTCTGTTCAAGAGAGCGAAGACACACTGCAGCACATACGAAACATTAAAAAACGAGGAAAAACATCTGATGACTATCTTCCAAAAGAACGGCTATCCACGCAACTTCGTCAAAAAACATCAACCAAAACTATCATCAGGAGTGAAATCAAGCACAGGAACAAATAAACGCATCATCCTACCATACATCAAAGACATATCAGAGCATACGGCACGACTACTGAAACCATTTGGAATAGGTGTGGCACACAAACCAACGGAATCACTTCAGTCAATCCTATGTAGACCAAAGGACAAAATGACAAAGGAAGAAAAACCAAATATCATCTACAAAATAAATTGCTCAAATTGTGAAAAACACTACATAGGACAAAGTGGACGACCTCTTCAGCTCCGTTTACGTGAACATCAATTAGCAGTCAAACGCCACGACAACGCTTCGCTTATATCAATACACACCGACAACTATGGACACACATTTGATTGGAACAATGTGGAAATACTGGGTAGGGGGAGGACAAAGAACACTAGAGAATTTTTAGAAGCTTGGCACTCAGGTCAATCAGCAATCAACAAACACATCGAAATTGACCCAATTTATCAACCAATCAGGAAAATCATAGGTGACACAGGATCAAGAAACAGATCAAAAGGGGGAGGCAATAAAAACAAAGTTGCAAACAACGACAGGTCAGAGGTCAACAGCAACCAATCAGGATTGAGGTTAGCAGAACAAGCTACGGGTCAAACGTGGAGAAATTCTAATGCTTCACTTCTATCTGAAGTTCGTGCTGATGATGTTGTTCAGAAGAACAATGAAAGCTCCACAACCAAAACAACCAGCTCAGAGAACAAAACACCACCACAATCATCCACCTGAGCTACAAGTTTTCTCCACCATCTCAAAATTGTTTTTCTTCTTGAACAACATTATCAGCACAAACTTCAGACAGAAGAAGTGAAGCATTCGAATTTCTCCACGTTTGACCTGTAGCTTGTTCTGCTAACCTCGATCTTGATTGGTTGTTGTTGACCTTCAACCTATCGTTGTTTGCAACTTTGTTTTGGTTGCACTCCCCTTTTGATCTGTTTCTTGATCCTGTCACTTATGATTTTTACACATTATGATTTTCCTGATTGGTTGATAAATTGGGTAAATGTCGATGTGTGTGTTGATTGCTGATTGACCCAAGAGCCAAGCTTCTAAAAATTCTCTAGTCTTCTTTGTCCTCCCCCTATCCAGTACACAACAGCCAATCACAGCCATGGATTTTCCTGGTGTGAAATGAAATCTCAAGGTGAACTGATCAGTCCATACTCGCAAACGTGAAATCCAAAATAAGGCATTTATCAAGCGAGTTCTGGCGATCTAACATCCCCAACAAAATGACGCTAATAATAGATTTCGCAGTACCTTTCGTCAATCATACTGGTGTATATACACGAGCCTTTAAAAGAAGGATCTTTGAGCTGGTGGAGAAAATTTGTAACTCAGGTGGATGATTGTGGTGGTGTATCATTCTCTGAGCTGTATGTTTTGGTTGTGAAGCTTCCATTGTTCCTCTGCTGAACAACATCATCAGCACAAACTTCAGACTCGAAGCTGGTTCTGTTAACCTCGATCTTGGTTGGTTGTTGTTGACCTTAAGTCTGCCGTTGTTTTCACCTTTGTTCTGATTAGTATCCCCTTTTTGATCTGTTTCTTGATCCCATGTCACCCATGATTTTCCTGATTGGTTGATAATTTGGGTCAATGTCGATGTGTTTGTTGATTGCTGATTGACCTAAAAATTCTCTAGTGTTTTTTGTCTTTCCCCTATCCAGTATTTCCACATTGTTCCAATCGAATGTATGTTCATAGTTGAACGTATTAATTGATATAACGGGGAGAAACGTCGTGGCGTTCGGCTGCTAATTGACTTTTACGCAAATGAAACTGAAGAGGATGATGTCCACTTTGTCCGATGTAATGTTTTTCAAAATCTGAGCAATTTATTTTGTAGATGACAATTGGTTTTTCTTCTTTTGTCTTCATTTTGTCCTTTGATCTACATAGGATTGATTGAAGTGATTCTGTTGGTTTGTGTGCTACACCTTTACCAAATGGTTCCAAGTAGTCGTACTGTAAGTTCTGATATGTCTTTTATGTATGGTAGAATGATCCGTTTGTTGGTTCCTGAACTTGATTTTGCCGCTTATATCGATGGTTCCAGTTGGTATGTTTATGATGAAGCTGCGTGGATGGCCGTTCTTCGTGGAAGATGCTTTTCCTCGTGTTTTAGTGCTTCATGAGCGCTGCAGCGTGTCTTCGCTCTCTTGAAAGAAGTTCGTATGTAGTTGATTATGCACATTTTTGTGTTGTTGATAACGTAGTTGGCTTCGGAAATACTTGAGTTTCCAGTTTTCTTGTGTTAGTTCTGGTGATTAGTACATCCAGGAATGACAGACTGTTGTTTGGTTCTTTTTCCATAGTGAATTTAATGTCATCGAAGACGTTGTTGATCCGACTGTAGATGTTCTTCAACTCACTTCCTTTTGATAATGACGAATGTGTCGTCTACATAACAAACCCACATTTTTGGCTCGATCACTAGTGAAATCAAGGTTTGATGTAAATCGTGGTTGGAATTCAAAAATATGGTTCTTTTGGTCTAAAGAACTAATAGATTGCGACTAGCTATCACCGGGATCCAAGACATAAAAATTTCATCTCGTCCAGCCAATCACTAGCTAGACATATCGTCTGCATCTCAGTGTTATTGCGCACATCATTTCAAAGGTATTTAAAAACACTTGTCCACTCAAGATACTTCAGATCCATTGGCAAGACACTGGAAATGAATAGGACACACATTACGGAAATCGTAAACCTTTGCTACAAAGCAAGCACTGGTTTTAAGCAGAATTCAGAAAGACTAAAGAACACATTGCCCAAAGAATCAGAGGTAGGAGTCAATCGGAAAGGAATGGATTGGAGAATCCCAGTAGGCAGCCTATGGTCCATGATGGGCCAACAAGCGTAAGTAAGTAAGTAAATTTAAAAACCAACATGTAAATATATATAGATACATACATATCTACACATATACACTTACTAAAACAGCTTGTTTATCCAATTCGACGGAATAAAATTCTATCGGATAATCACATGGATTGGTTATTGTCACCAATTCTTCACTTCCATTTATGGGATATGGTAAAATTGGTGTAAATTGTAACATAACACGATCAAATGTTAATTGTGGCTCTAAACCTTTACCTTGACAATGGATTTTCAACATTGTATCACTACTATTTTCAATGTTCAATTGAATTTTGGTTTCATATTTTTTCTCTTCAATTGGTGTAAATCTTATCTAAATAAAATAATGGGAAATAAATGGAATGGAATCATGGATGCATGTTTCGTCTTACTAAGGATTCGTCAGCTGGATATTCTTCTATGTCAAAATGCAGTCACTTACACATCTGTACACCCACTTGAATCACAAGTGTATTGATGTGTATAAATGCTCAGAGTAATTAAAAAAACGTACTTTGCACTTCATACTGGACAGAGTTTACATTAATTTAAGGCAAATAGTATTTGTAGTGAATAAAAAAGTCTAACTGTAAATAAAAGCAACATTATGCTGAGCAAATTATTACGTCAAATAACGCTGAGACTTCGAGCTAAGGACGACGTTTGAGTGACACCGAGATGACCTTGACAGAACTCGTCTACTTACCCGGGTCTAAGGAGGGTTATAAACTAGCGTAAGGAAGTGACATTAGTGTAGTGAACGAGAACACAGGTGGGGCAACGGGATTGTACTTAACAAAAATTACAGAG